TTATTTAGCAAAATTTTTATTATAAATTAATTATAAATTATAAAATATTAATTTCTATAAATTAATTCTCCCCCAGACAGTAAATTATTCAACGTTATCAGAGCTTCATTAATAATTGTGATTTGCTTTTCATTTTGTAACCGGAGTCCAATACGCAAATCATCTGGATATAAAATAATATTTTTAAATTGGCGAAAATCAAAATTGAAAAAGGTAAATGAAAGAAAAAAGAAAGAGTGGCTGTGGAGTGGAGGTCTTTCTTCTATCATTTATCTTTTTTTATTCACAAACAAAAACATTAGGTAAAATGTCCATTCGATAATGTCCACTATTAAGACATGTCAACTAAGACATGTCAAGAAAAAAGAAAGAGAGTCTGTGGAGTGGAGGTCTTTCTTCTATCATTTATCTTTTTTGATTCACAAACAAAAAAATTAGGTAAAATGTCCATTCGATAATGTCCACTATTAAGACATGTCAACTCTTGGACATGTCAACTATAGAGACATGTCAACTATAAAGGCCATGTCAACTATAGGGACATGTCCCCAAAATTCGAATTTGAGATCTGTGGGGCCCCAAAATTTGAATTTGGGATCTGTGGTGCCCCAAAATTTTATACTACGGACAGAGAGACGGACGCTAAAGTGAAACTTTAAGGCTTTCGGCCATGGGACACGAAACCCTAACAACAATTTGCATCGATTATACAAGTTTAATTTATCTCATTAAACAATCTTCAAAAATTCAATTGTAAAAAAAATGACAACATAGAAACTATATAACTTATTAATTAATTAATTTTTCTATTTACAATTAAAAAAGAGAATTTTTAAAAAGGGGGAAAGTATGAATGCTGCCACCTACCGTGCAAAGTCGGCGGCTCAACTTCTTTATCGAGTATCAATTTGGATGTCACTAGAAAATTCCCTAACCTGTCAAACTCACTTACGCGAACATTTTACATTTTAAACTTTATTTATTTAATAATAACACGTTAATTTATCACAAATACAGCACAAATCTATCACTAAATACTTTTATTATTCAATTCAATTACACTTTTCCACAGTTTCCACTCAGTTTCTACACAATTTTCACTCCAACTAACTGTTTAACCAAAGTGTAACGAATGTACAACGAATTCAGCGTACATTCCGATTTCGAGATCCGCCAGGGATGTCAGATAAGTTTCTTTCTGACATTTTAATTGGACAGGGAACAAGAACTTGTACATTTTCCTCTACAAGGTTTTTTAGCCAGGACGATAATAATTAATGAAATGATATTTTATTTCCAAAATAATACACATGTATAAAAAATAGTTTAAAATTATTCTTGGTTCGTTTAAAACTCTTATGTATAAAAACAATCTTAGTTAAGTTTTTCTAAAGAAGCACTTTGTTTATAAACATTGGATGAAATTATAAAAATTCTCTTTAAAAAAGTTAACAAACATTATACTTAATTTTTACTTTGTTGAGCTAGTATCACGAATTTTTAAATTATAGAACAAATTTATACGTTTTTCCATTAAATCCTCGGATAACAAGTTTTGATTAAAAAAGTGACAATTCAAATCGATAATGGCAGCTGGAATCTGTAATAGTTTTTTTGCAAAAACTGACAATTCGTAACATTCATCTTCTGCTAAAGACCAAAATACAGTGGGCATCTTCACACCCTTTCAAATAATTGAGAAAAAATGCCTTTTTTCGTCTTGTATGATACTAACTGATCTAAAGCCTCAATGCTCAAATTTTCTATCATAAAAAATTGACTTTTTTTAAATGTTCCGCATTCAATCGTCAACCTTGATACTCCGGATGTATCAAATTCGCTGCTACTGAAACTGGCTGAATTATATCACTTAAGTGATACTTTTTGTATCTTTACAATCTGCAACCTTGATAAATAGCACACCAGGAGAGTCTTTGAAATTCTTACTGCGAGATTTAAATTTCGAAAACTCATTTTCTAAAAGTGTTGTTGATATTTCTTCTGATTTCGGCGGAATGTAACCAGGCCTCAAAAGTTTTACAAAAGTCTTAAACAATTCACAGTCTGCAATGTCAAAATCTAAATTACAACCAAAGAACAGGTTTGAGCAAGCTGCATCAAGAATCTTTTTATCCTTTTACGAAACGGAATCCAGGAATTTTTTTATTTTGCTTTGGCGTGGTTCTGCAATTGTTTTGAGAATTGGTTGCTGAGCAGGAATAATCGAAGCAGCAGCAGCAAGAGGGTCATTTTCATCTAAATCAATCACATAAATACCAGACTCGGCGAGATTCTTGTTGTGGTTTATCTGTAGAAATAAAATATAGGTATATATAGATATAAATCGTGATATATGATACTTATTATACAATAATAATTATAATAATGACAGTAATATAAAATTAGAGATACTTACTGTTTTCAAAAGTTGAATTGCAAACTGACATATCATTAGTTGCAGACTGTTAACTGGTATCAATTTCCATCTCATTTTGGTTGACTGGTGGCAATATGTATTTTCTCCTAAAAATAAATATCAGATTAATATTATATTATAAAATATTTTCAATTATAAAAATAATTTCAACCTTCTTAATTTTACCTGTGATTTTTAATCTATCTTCCGCAGTATTTGGGAAAACTTTGTTGCACACGCTGCAAAGGGCGCCGGTTCTGCCTTTTTCGGTTTTCACTGACGTGAATCCACGTCTTCAAAAGACATGAATGTTGAGAGGCCTTCCACCTCGATTCATTTTTAAAAAGAATGTCCAGAAAGTAATAATCAAACGAATCAAACAAAAATTCAAAGACTAAACACATAGCGGGAACCAACTAGATTGAGGTTTTATTTGCTTCTGACCATTACGAGTGCCTACGTCATGAAATGTAACAAACGTTGTGTAGCAAACTAGACAAGTTGTATACACATGTAACATACGTAGCAAACTTAGGTAACATACATGAAGTATGTTACTTACCCATCTCTGCCAATATATCAAATTTTACGGTCTTTAGACTCAAACCAGTGCCAGTGGAACATCGACATAAAAAGAAAATTTTTTTTCATAAAAATTTAGAAAATTTGTCTAACGTATTTCTCAGAAAAGTTTTGATGATTAAATGTGTTTAGAATGCTCCTATTCCGGGCCGCACAAAGTTTTGAATCGTATGTCGGACAGAGTCTACGAAATTGATGTAAATGGTGAATCAAAAAAAGTCTCTGTCGAGAATATCAAACCGGCCTATTTTGCGATAAGCGATGATCCTGCGAGAGATGCGACCGAACAAACAAACAGTTTTCCGTCGAGTTCTAATCTATTTGTCAGAAATAAATTTTTCTTTGGATCAAATAAATTCTTTATTTCAATGAAATAAAATATATATTTGCAACAAATAAATGAGTTAGTAGGCTCGGAGACAAATATACCATTTCTCTGAGTGTGAATAAAAAGAAAAAAGTTACTTTTGAACCAAAAACGAACGACTAATTAAAAACTACCTAATTTTAGTAAGGAGAATAAAGACGATTTTTGCGTGATTTTTTTTTATATACATATATTTTTTAACAATATTCGATTTATAAATAAATAGACGATAAATTTTTTACGTGAATAAAAAAAATCCTCTGATAAAGCGTAAAAATTTTAAGTTAAAAAAAAACTAAATTGTACATGGACAGAAAATTTTACAGGTACACAGAAAAAAAAGTCTTGAATGCAGTCTACAAAAGAACTTATTTTAAAATGTAACAAAAAGTAGTCTTCTTGGACTTAATATTAGTTTGATAAAAGAGTTTTAAAAGAAGTCGGTACTAAAGCTTAAATAAAGTCCCCAGTAAAAAAAAAGAACTAGGAGTAAGAGAAAAGAATTGGTGGTAACTTAAGCTGAATTCGGTTTGGCGAAAAAACCGAATTGGAACGTTACGGTGAATTATTTTTTCTTACCGTGAATTCTTTTTTCTTAAACATTTGAATTGACGTTTGTTTATTCGAGTTTGTATTATAAATGAATAAAATAAATTCTTCGAAGTCTAAAAAAGCCGATTTGGAATAAGAAATATATAATTTTTTAAAAAGAAATAAAAGTGAAATGTGATAGATTTACCGACAATTTTACCATGTGAGTACTACTCATATGGTAAATTTATCGTATGAACACTACTCACTTGATAAAATCGACGGTGAATCTGTCACACTTCGCTTTCATTTATTTTTTTTAAATTATATATTTCTTATTCCAAATCGGCTTTTTTAGACTTCGCAGCATTTATTTTATTCATTTATAATGCAAACTCGAATAAACAAACGTCCACCAATTCTTATCGCTTACTCCCAATTCTTTTTTTTACTGGGTCACCATGTGTTCTCAAAAATAGCTGTAAGCCGAAAAGTAGGCTTAAAAATAGTTCTTTTTTAAACTCGAATTTACTGCATGTCAAAATATTGACTAAAATAAAGTTTTGTTAAAGACTTAAAAGTAGTAAGTAATACAGTTTAAATTTATCCTGATTTATTACTTATGAAATTATGGGTATAATTAATTGCATTTTATAAAGAAAATGTTAAAAATAACAATTTGCCCATAATTTTTAGCAGATCCTTACTGCTAAAAAGTTTAGTAAATTTTTTTTAATATTCTCTTAATACAATAAAAAATAATAAACGCTTTTTAAACATATAAGCTTTCAACTTTATTCATCTTCTTTAAATACAAATATAAACAAGTTATAAAAATATTTAAAAACTATCGCCTTCAAACAATTAAATTGTTTTTAAATTTTTAATACTTTTTTCAGGGAATATTTCCATAAAAATGTAAGTTTAAACAATACTGATGCAATGAGGTAGTTTATTTGTCGATGAAAAGCAATCATCAACTTATATAAGTTGTTTAATTAGTTTGTCTATATAGATTTTTTAAATTAAGTTTTCAAATATATTTCTATATAGTAACAAAAGAAAACATAAATTTACTTTTTGAAAGGGGTTAACAATAAAAGTGATATAAAATATATAAAATATTTTTTAAAATAGTTGAAGTTGCTCTAAAATTTTTACTACACTTTTGTACTTTGAATAGTACTGAGAAACTTTTTCTCTAAATAATACAGCCGCGATGAAATTATAAGAAATTTTTGAGTCACTTGGATAGTCAATGTTGAAAATCCAATACAGCGCAAACATTTGAAGCAATGAATCTACAGCTGTTCCGCAAAATAAGGCTTTAGAATCAACGAATAATGAAAACATTAAATTTATCTTATCATTGGCACCTACTCCTATTCATCTCGGAGCTTCATCGGCTTTCGGTTTTATTTGAGCAATTGATGTTGCAGCCTAAACAAAAAATGTTACTAGTATTTTAAAAATCACAAATAAAAAAAATTAATATTTAAATACATTGTTGAGACCCTCAACCAGATTCCCTTTTTTATGATTATTATTGTAAAGATTAAGATATCTTTTAAACGTGCTTTGCTAAACTTTCAACGGATTTATTTTTATTACTTTAGAGTTTTATTTTCAATATCCGAAAATCTTCAAACTCCCCAAATTCTCCGACAGATTAATTTTATTACTTTACTGTCATCATCTGTTAACTGTAAAACTCAGACAACTTGAAACGAGTAAACGAACCTTTCCGGGTAATTGTAAATTACGAATATTCTTTACCTGGACGAACTCCCACTTTTCGGTTTTCGCCCTTATTAAGAGTGGGGTAAGTAAGGGATCGCTTCCTGACAGTATCTGTTAGTATTGTCAAGTCAGTCAATTTTGAGTAGCTGTCGAGCAAACTTACGTATACTCTTTGACATAATGTAATTGTTTCACCATTATTAAATAATTAAATAAGTTTTAACGTATGATGAACTTGTTTGATTTCTATTTAAACCATCTTTCAACCAACACGAAAAAGCAGTTCTTATAACGAACACAAGGTTATAAGAGTCTCAACATACATACATCGAAAACATGGATCAAAACTGTGGTGGAACTACAGTTTTTTCCTTTACGTACTTTAAAATATTGCGGAACTTTCTCCAAAATTATTACTGTCATTTGGTCTAAGGACAAATTCTCCATGTTTTGGAGGTCAGGACAAAAAAATGTTGAAAAGGAGTGAAGAGCAGATATCCAATTGTTTTTAATTTGGTCCTTAGTTATTGAAATTTCTGCTTCGAATTCTCGCCACAGCTGTAAAGAAATACTTAAATATATGTTGTCCATCTATATATGTACAAAAAGAATAAATACTTTGAATGTATGCTTACAAGATCAGGGATGTTAAGAGCTGGGTAGTTCCTTAAATGATCAGCTGCTGTTCCCGCCTTTTTAGCTTATTCTCGCCTTTTTACTCGACATGATTGTAAATGTTTTTTTCATTAAATAAATTGGGGGATTTTGTTTTGGCATTTCAATTTTCATTTCTTCTTTCATTTCTTCATAAGTTCTTTCTTTTTCTTTCAGTTTTAAGTTCTTCTTCATCCTTTTTCTACCATAATATTTCATGTTTTTAAGTCTCTTGTTCATTTCGCTGGCTAAAACTTTCTGTAAATTAAGTCAAATTCATTGAGGAGAATTTTAAAAAAAGATAAAATTTTAACTTGTGACATTAAAACATTAATTTGATGAATTACTTACACTAGATGGTGCTGATTTTGTACGCAGAGCTGGTATTCTTATAAGGGCTTCTTCTGCAACAAGTGAAATTTCTGACACACTTGTTTTACCACACGCATTCAAATTATTCATTAGTATGCGAATTATTTCGCAGCGAGTGGTAGAAAGAATTACATCTCCTGTTTCTCGATATTTTAATAAGGCATTTTCCACAAAGGTAGGCCACTTACATTCTTTGGAATCCATAACTACATTGTAAAAAAAGTTGTTTAAACATTTTTTCTTTATTTATAATACTTTTTTATTTATTATAAATATATGTTTTTAAAAATTGAATTTTTTCAAAATAATACGTCAATAATTTATACATATCTTTCTATAAATTGTTCGATAAATATAATATTCAATAATATAAAATAAATGTAATATTTAATAAGGATATATATACCCAGATAGCACGCAAGTTTGCTGCCGACTTGCGTTGGGACATTGCAAGCTTGCAGTGCAAACTTGCAAAACTTGCGTGCTATCTGGGTATATATAAACTACGTTACTTATTCTTAGGAAACGAAAAATATTCAAATTCTTATACTCGGTATAATATTTCAAGGTTGACCGACAGTAAACTCGAAAATATTGATATCTTCTTCACAATGTGTATATGATAATATACATATATAGTCACCGAGTAATAAATTCACTCACTGAAATTAAATTAATCAAACTTTTTAGTTTGAAATTCGATTTCATTGCTTATTTCCACAAATTGAAATTAAATTTAATTCTATTTTGATATTTTTTGATCAAAAAGTTTACATAGGTAACCTCCTCATAAATTTTTTGTACACATTTTTTTTCAAAACTTTCCATTTCACTGACTTTACGGTATACTCCAAGAGACAAGTTACAAGAAAATTTAAATTATTTTAGCATAAATGTATTGCTTTAACTAAGCTTTACTTACCTTAAGAAAATTAGTCTGTATTTTGTCTGTATATTTCGTCCACAGAAATTCAGAGATTATCCACAATAAAATTCCACAATTATAAAAGCACACTTCTAACCTAAAGCCATGACATCAAATGACACCAATCAATGACACATGCGCGTTTACTATTTCAGGGAACAAGACTCTAGAGGACTAAAAACTAGCCTACATTTCGTCTTCATTTTATCTCTTGAGTTCTTAATACTTTTACTAGTCTAGCTAAGACTATATTTAAGACTAACATATAAATTTTAGTCAGAAGAATGCATTGTATTAAGATTAAGGTGACTTAGCAAATCTTTTAAGTTAATTATAAGGCTTGAATACATTTACAGGCTAAAATTAAGACTCACTTTAAAAGTAGTCCTGCATGAAATTAAGAATTTCTTTTTTCTGTGTACCCTTAATATTGTACAGTTAGAGACCAGTGCTACAACGATTTAAATTTACCTTTTCTTTAATTTTTATTTTTCAGAGAAATATTCAGAGAAACTATGTATGTATTACGAAAAATTCAAATAAGTAATTTTAACTAAATAATTTGATTTTTTTCATATAAACTAATTTTTTCGCCGATCGTTAGCACTTAGGGGGAGCAATGTGGGGAATATCGTCCCCTTCTTACCTCTCCGCACTTCGTCTATCCGCGAGTCACATGCTACAGCACGCGGGTTGATGGTTGAGCGGGCTTCGTTGCCAAATGTTAATAGTATAGCAATTAATCTGGTCAGGGACCTTGTAGAGTCGACGCGACAGTAGCCTGTGTACTTAATCAATTAGCTTATTAATAAATTATGTCCTTTAAAGTTAATAGTCGTCAAAGTTATTTGTTGGATACGCAAAGTTGGAAACCTTCTGGGGAAGATACCTGAGTCCCTTTTTCCCACATTTTAAACCCTTGTGCTGCCATCTATCAAATTTTCTCAAAAACTACTTTTTCTTAGATTTATCATATGATACTATTCATCACTATGTTCACAACGAAAATACTACAGCTGGATACTACACATATACTTTAAATTTACTACAGGTATACCTGTAGTACACTTGTACTACAGGTACAAGTTTTTGTTTCCAAAAAGTTTGAAAATAAAAAACTTAGCGCATTAAGAAAAATAAGAAGTTTGAATTCTTTTCTATTGACTTATATGTACTGGGAATAGAAAAGAATTCATTTTTTTATATTTAGATGTTCACTGGGGAATTGGGTAAAAACGTAAATTTGCCTATTCAGAATAATTGAAAATAATCAACTTATGCTTAGTATATGCAAATTTTAATCTTTCTCTATTCTTCGCTTCTTAATGGGTAGTTGATTTGCACAATTAAAGAGTAACAAATCTTTCCAATATAGTTTAAAGTAATTTCCCCAACGAAGATAACAAACGAAATAAAATATCCAGTTAGTAGAATGTGGAGCAGAGATGGTAATAATGACAAATATTCAGGATTTAGCAAATTTTTTTCTTCATCTTTCATCAGCAGAGCAGACAGTTTGATCCAATGTGATATTATCCCAAATTCCAGCAGATTCGTTGAAATTTTATTAAATTCATTAACAAATGGTGATGCTGGTTCAAGAATCATACTTTGAGGTAAATTATATATAACTTCATCAATGATTTTCAACTGAGAACTTCCATCTGCATTTTTATACTTTTGTACAAACAATTTTGCCATTGTTTGTCTTAGGAAACACGTAACATTTCTGTGTTCGACTAACATATGTACACATTCCTTTTCTTTCGTTAAAACCAAAGTTTTCTTTAGTAAATCTCTAATAACTGGTTCCTTATTAACAGATAATTGTAATGCATAATATTCTCTCATCATTGGCGTAAGATTTGTTCTATTTAATTTCTCTAAAGTATCTATAATCGTCATTGGACCCATTGTTATTTTTACATCTGTCATAATTGCAAAAATCGAGGATGAAAATATCGTAAAGGCGATGAATATTGATGTTAAGACGAATCTCTCATGTGTATTTTGAGGTTCTCTATAAACAGTAAAACCAAGCGTAGCTTGTAGTATATGTTCTAAAGACCATATCTGATCATCAAATTTCATAATCCAAGTAATTCCCTTTAAAATGAATATAATAATAATAAAGTAAATCAAGGACCATTGATAGCATATATTCCAATTTGATTTTTCGGGTGCAGGTATCAAAGCACACAACCGATCAAAATAGATAATTTTTGTACGGGAAAAAACTGTTTTCTTTATATAGAGACACAAGTTGGTAATATATCGAATTTTTTTTATTAATAACTGACCTATTAGACCAGTACCTCTCTCATTATTTTGTAATTGACTGTATGTGCCAAACCATTCCTCTTTTGATGGAACCTCTACTGTTGTAAAATGCATTTTTTCTGCCAATTCACGAAATATCTTTACAATTGGTCCAAAAACTTGAATGGGATGCCCTGTAGAATTCCTTTTTACGAAAACAAACGGAGGCAAATTAAATGTTCCTATTCTCATTTCAAAACTATTCATGTTTCGCAATTTATTAACAAAGATTTGTTGCTTTTCATTGCTGTACCTTTTTATTTTGTAAACATCTGTAAACGGATTGTACCAATGAATCTTGACATTTTCTGATCTAGTTGAATTTACAGAATAAGTATCGTTACTTTTTTTTTGGCCTATTTCAAAGACCGTAAAATCCAAGAAGTCATTTAACCACATTTGATGAAGAAACTTCTTATAACTCAATCGGTTAACTCCGGAAGAAATTATCGTCAAGCATTTTGTACGCGATTCATTTCTATGCAAAGAAATTAAAAATTTTGATAAGTCAAAAACTTTAGAAAATTTTTTGTTTTCGAGAGACAGAATTGTCACAATTAATGTTGTTGACTGTAAATCTTTGAATTGTGACATTTGAGACATTTGCTTTGCGTATTCTAATGTAGCATTTTTCAATCCAATTATATTATGTGGTACAAATTCTAATTTTTGAACAACGTTATCAATTGTGTTTTTTGTTGTATCATTGTCATCATCAATAATAAAAAGTATCCGTGACATCCTCGAATCTTCTATTATGTATTTTACCAAATAATTTATCCAAAAGAAATCTGCATATCCATTTTGAAAAGAAATTGTGAATATTGCGAAAAAAATCACAAATACAAAATTTTGTAACTTCATATTTTATAATTCACTTTTTTAGAAAAAATTCACAGAAATATTAAATTTTATTGTATTTAAAAATAATTATATTCTTCATTTTTACTTTTTTCTATTTGCTAAAATAAGAAAGCACAATAATACACCTTGGAATATTGTGTAACAAAAGAACTACCTCATTCGAGTTTTATTGAAAAAGAGACTAGAAAGATGTTTTTTGATAAACTAATGCCCGGAAAAAATTATTTTCCTTTTTCTGTAATGTTATCATTCATCATTCAGAAACTTTGTAATGTTTTCTATTTTATCAAAACATCTAAACTAATTTTTGTTTTCTAGAAAGAGCGACAATCAATAAATTATAACCTTTTTTATTTCTACACTGTTAAAAATGTTCGTAAATTTACAACATTTTTAATATACCAATATATATTAAATTTAAGAAACTGTACTTTGAATTATATTAAGATACCTTTTTGTGGTAATATTAATATACTGGTGTCTTAATCCTGATGTTTGTAAATTTAATATACTTTTAATATACCACGGTATATTAACTTTAAAATACATGTACTCTAAGTTAATGTAATGTACATCTATATATAGTAATATTAATACATTAGTGTATTAATGCTTTATTTATCCTAAATTTGTACGTGTCTTATATGTTTAAAAGAGTAGTTATTTTAATGATTTATTTTCAACTTTTACGTTTTGCATTGAATCAAAAATTTATTTGATTAAAATATTTGATATCATTAAATATCACAGAAAAAACCTGGTTTCAAATTAAGTATAAATTCCATACTCAATTTGATTCGCAGCAAAAATGAAACTGGGATAATTATCAAATTAAATATGGAATTTTATTCATACTCAATTTGAAACTAGGTTTTTTCAGTGATTAATCGACTATTTGATTAGCTTTTATCAAATAAATATTAATTTGTATTTTTTTTTAGTAATGCAATTATATTATTTTTAATTAATTTAATAATTACTACAATATTACTTATTTTAATTAAATATTTATTTGACATAATAGTCAAGTGGCAGGTTGTTTGAATCTAATAAATTGTTTTCAGTGTACAACTCTAAAAGTTTACTTAAAAAATTTTTTAAATTCGCTTCTATTAAATATACTTACACAATTTTTCCCCCTGTAATTTTAAGGTTAATAATGGTATAGATTCAAATGACTTTCCACTAAATTTCGTTCATTTTCATTTTAAATATTTATTTAGTTGAATTTCACAACAATTACCATCCATAAATAAAAAAATTAGTACTTTTTCAAAGAAAAAATAATACATTTGTTTGTATAAAAATATTTCTCTTTCAAGTTGTTGATAAGAAAAGTGTAAACATTTTTCAGACGAAAAAAAAAATAAGAGGTGAATAAACAGCATTTGTGATAAAAGTTACAAATCATCTTTGTCTAGTTGCATTATGGAAAAAGTTAATATTCAGCAACAATAATTTCTTTAAATATGTATCAAAAATTTATTTCAAAGCATTTCTTTTTTTTAGAACATTCTTATTACTGTATAATGTAAAATTATGGAAGAATTGGATGATTTTAGGTAAATTGTAAAAAGAAATTTAAATTACGACAATACTGTCTATATCTTATTACTTTAAATACTTTAAATGGGATTAGAAAATTTTAAATTAATAAAAATTGCAACTATCTAGGTGAAGTAGAAAAAATATTAATAATTAGAGACACTAATTGTATTTTAAATAAGTAATAAATTTTTATTTTAAATATATCTTTAATTTTGTATAATAACTAAATCGAAATGTTTAAATATTTTACACAATCTTATGTCTTCAGCAGTTACAGTTTATATAGACAGTGCGAATATTAACTACTAATTCGGTTATTTAGTCGCGGTAGTTAAAGCGTTAGCTTTAGGTCTTAGATTAGGTAGGTGCACCTGAGTTCAATCCCCGTAGGGTTCAAATTTTAATTTAATTCTGAGATTCGAACGTAAAAGATACAAGTAGATAAAATTATAAATGATAGTATTAGTTACAATTAATGTTTATTTTTATTAATTGTTTAAATTATTTTTTTTATAATCATTTTAGCATGAGATTTTGATGTTTTAAATTTAATATACCGGTATATTAATATTAATATACCGCAGTAAATTAAATTTAATATACACAAATATATTGATATTAATATACCTGTATATTAATATCACAACATTGTGGTATATTAAATTTAATATACGGTATATGCAAATTACACAGTTTTCCTAACAGTCTCAAATTGAGACCAAAAATTGCATCAAATCTTTGCAACGTTTTGATGCACATAAGTTATATCAAAAAGAGATCGTTTTGTGTATCGTTTTTAGAAATGATACACGAAACGGTCTCATTTTTTGATGCAAAAAATTTAATCAATTTATATCAATCATGGCCGAATTGAATCGACTCAAAATTAAACGAATTTTTTTCAGATATTTTGTTAATAGTACAATTGCGGAGACCATTTCACTATTTAATTTGAAAATGAAAATAACAGAAAATCAAAGACAATGTGCAATTCGATAATTAAAAAGTGACAACTTATAAACATAACCTAAAATGCATGAGAAAAAATTTGTCGATAAAATCAATATAGCCGAGCTTTTTAGAAGGTAGATGGCAGCACTCATCTATTTTCTTTTTTTAAATTTTTTCTGAATCGTTTTTATAAAAAGCAAAACTGCCATCTACCTTCTAAAAAGCTCGGCTATATTGATTTTATCGACAAATTTTTTCTCATGCATTTTAGGTTATGTTTATAAGTTGTCACTTTTTAATTATCGAATTGCACATTGTCTTTGATTTTCTGTTATTTTCATATTCAAATTAAATAGTGCAATGGTCTCCGCAATTGTACTATTACCAAAATATCTGAAAAAAATTCGTTGAATTTTGAGTCGATTCAATTCGGCCATGATTGATATAAATTGATTAAATTTTTTGCATCAAAAAATGAGACCGTTTCGTGTATCATTTCTAAAAATGATACACAAAACGATCTCTTTTTGATATAACTTATGTGCATCAAAACGTTGCAATAGAAAAAGAGACAACCAAGTTTACTGTGTACTTCATATACAAGTATATTAAATTCCCCGTAGATATTTTTAACAGTGTAGAACTATTTATCTTCTTGAAAAGCAGTAAAACTGTAAACTGGATATTTCGGTGCAAATAAACTCATCGTATGTTCTGTATCGTTTTCTTCCGTTAATTGTTCAACGACAAATGTTGATTTTTCATAAACTGGTGAAACTATAAAAATATCATATTTTGCATTTTTAAATATTCGGGAAAATCTTTTCTAATAATCTTATGTATACAGATATAATATTTAAAAACATATTACTTACTCTTTATTGATAAAGAATTTGCAAATGATAAACAGTTTGCTAGAGGAATAGTTCCTATTACAATAGGAGCAGAAACTTTTAAATTTATACTAAGCCTAAAATTTAAAAAAAATATTAATAGTATATAATTTGAATATAAAATATATTATAATGATACACCACCACCCCAAAATGGTTAGGTCGATTAACGTGAACGTGAAGTTACTTTACATTAGATTAATTTTGAATTTTATTATTAAGGAAGTTTAATTATATAGAATTATTAAAACTTCCTTCTTTGAAAACATAATTCTTATAATTTTTTCTTTCGTTCATAAGTGCTTTTTATAATCAAGTTGCGTCTTTAAATTAAAATAACTTTTATAAAACAAAATCAAATAAATCCAATGGGCAAAAAACCATGTTCGTTCTACAAAAAGTTTTTAGAACGATTCATGTCTGCCAAATAATGTTCTAAAACATTTTAAGAACAAGGATGTTCAAACAAATTCTAGAACATTATTTGGCTGACATAAAACGTTCTAAAAACGTTTTAAGAACGTTTTTGTAACAAAATATGGTTTTTTTCCCGCTGGGTAGTTATTTCTAAAATGGGAAAAAGATTAAATAATTTTCGACTTTTTAAATATATTTGTCTAACACATACACTTTGTTGACTTCCACTTCAAGCTCAATTGTATATGCAATCGAAATTATGTTACAAGTTGTACCAATATTTGAAGGTGGTATAGGAGGAACTATAATTTCGTGGTTGAAGCTTAAGAAATCTCTTTCAATTTTTTCCATCCTTTCTTTGACAATTGTTTTACTAACTATCTTTTTGATTGATCGAAAAGGAGTTGATGAGAATGTTGCATACTAAGAGACAAATGTTTGATTAATATAAAATAGATACAGCTAAAATTTTTCAATATTTAATTATACAGTCGGGTTTCCGTACCGACAAGTATTTGAAGACCCGACTGTATTTACAAAAAAATTAAAAAAAAAGATTTAAATTTCAATAACACATAAATATTATAATTAACAAAAACTATAACAAAAAAAAAGTTTACCATTTTCATTCGCAGTTTTATGTCATTAATTTCTATACCCGATTGATTGTTCACATTACAAGAGACTGGGATTATTTGTCCTGGAACATATCCTCTAAATGGTAATGACAAAGAAGCAGTCAATGGAGGTGAACTTGAAAAAATTCCAAATGTTTTTGTTCTTTCTTCGAAAATTTGTTCCTGAAATGAACACTACATAAAAATGTTTCATTTAGCATTCATTGAAATTTTGAAGCTGAAATATCTAGAACTAAAATTCATCAAACCAAGTTGAGTAGAGAAGCAATTTAAGGTCATATGAAGGGTATTATAAAGTAAATGGTATTGAATCTTACTAAAGCAAAAGGATCAGCGTTTAGATCATATTTGGATATAACAGTAAAAGCAGCTTCTATTTCATTATCAGATTTCCATGGCCAATCAATAATAGCTTTAACAATATATCGGATGTGTGCTTGATCATTTAATAATTTTAGTTCGTAACTAGTTGGTAAATTTGTAGGTAAAACATATTCAAATGGAAATATGTGTTCACCTGAATTTAAATTGATTTCAACTGCAAGCAAACGTAAAAAAAAGTAAGGGTACGTGAATTACCTTAAATACAACTTTAGGACTATTTCGGAACTTTAATTTCTGTTCGAAGAATTCCCTAGTGTTGTTGATATTTAAAAAGGTTCCCTTTCCGCCGCACTGTGTTATTTTTGCAATTTCATGTTCAAAACCTAATGTCTCTTGAACAATTTGACCAAATTGAATGAACCTTGGTCAAGGAGACTTGGTACTTTAACGTTTTCGAGGTCGCTGAATTCAAATATGATGGTAAAATTTTAAAATTCAAAATGGCGGATCCAATATGGCGGACAGAAAAATTTAAAAAGTGCTTAGATTTCAACGAGACTTGGTACTTTAACGTTTTCGTGGTCGCTCAATTCAAATATGATGGTAAAATTTGAAAATTCAAAATGGCGAATCCAATATGGCGGACAGAAAAATTTAAAAAGTGCTTAGATTTCAACGAGACTTGGTAATTTAAGGTTTTTGAGGTCGCTGAATTCAAATATGATGACAAAATTTAAAAATGCAAAATGGCGGATCTAAGCACTTTTTAAATTTTCTGTCTGCCATTTTGAATTTTGAAAAATGAACTTTATTTTTTTATTCAGTGATCCTAAATGCTTACAAAAAAGTTGTTTTATTAAGTTTCACCATGATATACTGGTTTGTATACTTCAATTTACCATTTTTTTCTAAAAAATGCTAACTTCACTCGACTCCCAGGAGCTCAAAAAGATAAATTAAGGGTTCCCTATAATTTTCCTCTATTCTACATTTATTTAGCTTTATTTTGGACCAAGGTTCCCTCACAACACAAGGATATTCAGGATATCCCTGGGACGTCCTGGGGATATCCATTTGCTTTTGGCGATTCGGATATCCCTAAGATATCCTCTGGATATCCATGGACATCTCTAAGATATCCCAGGGATATCCAAACCGCCGAAAACAAATCGATATCCCCAGGACGTCCCAAGGATATCCTGAATATCCTTTTGTTGTGAGGGTTCATTCAATTTGGTCAATTTGTTCAAGAGACATTAGGTTTTGAACATGAAATTGCAAAAATAACACACTGTGCGCCGGGAATGGAAAATAATAACAAATATTATTTTCTAAAATATGTACACATTTCTTCATTGAGTTTAATTCTAAGAAACTAAATATTTATTTATACTTAAATAATACCAGATTTTCCTCCAGCAATGTAGAAAATTGATGAAAGATATTTCTCACGACCCTGAACATTTCTGGTTCCATAAGCATATAGTCTAGCCCAACGAGTTAAAGCTTTTCCACTTACTTTAACTTTAATCCCTTTGAACAATATTTAAAATGTCAGGTGTACATATGACGCACAATGAAGAAAGAGACATAAAGAAGCAAACAAATTATAGGTTATGCTTACGATATAACTTTGCCTTGATTAAAAGTTTTTTTTTATTTCTATAAAATCAAAATCAGTTTTTAGTGAATATTTTGGATGTAATGAAGACTTATACATCAATAGTTTGTTTTGAGAATTGATCCTATTTGTGTATATTCACTTCAAAAATTTTAAAACCAAACCTATAATTGTTTGCTCCTTAGGTCCCTTTTTTCAGAGTAATTTTATTAATTATTATTAATTAATGATTCACATTAATAATTAGCCACTACCAGTAGTCACTACCGGGAACTTTCCACCTGGTTTGCAGAAATCAATATAAATAGATATAGAATAAAGATATTGCGCACATACCTCGACATTTTTTAACTGAATCTAAATCTAATATGACTCGTCCGCTAATAGTTTCTCCAGGACTATATGTTTTAACAGGATTATCAAATAAGATTTTAAATTCTTTTATTCCCATTGTCAAAAAATGATTTCGTTAATTATTGAATTAAATTAATTATTAAATTATTTATTAAATTTCTTCTTCTTTTTCACTTGAACGTTTTATAAGTACAATGCAATAAGATAATCATCGTATGATTATTATCACTTGAAGTTAATAGGTATAGATAGTGTTATAAAAGTACTGCGCACACTCTCAATATTCTGCACTATTTCATTGCATGATGTCATTGACAAGATAAACGTGTGTTAATCACAGACTTTTTACTATAATGAACTTTATTTAATTTTCTAGAAAAATTTCAAGACAATGTTTAAGACAAGGCCTAATTTAAAGTCTCATATTTGTCAGGACACACCCAGTGGGCAAAAAACCATGTTCGTTTTAAAAACTTTTTAAGAACGTTTCATGTCCGCCAAATAATGTTCTGAAATATTTTAAGAACATGTCTGTTCAAGAAATTTTCCAGAACATTATTTGGCAGACATGAAAAGTTCTAAAAACGTTCTTAAAAAGTTTTTAGAACGAACATGGTTTTTTGCCCACTAGGCAGTTTTTCAGCGGGATTGTATATTTGATAATAAAGATTGAAAATTATAATTTAAAAGCACATCTCTGGTTAAAATCCTGTTCTATCCTGTTAAAAATTCCTGTAAAGAATCACACATGTTCGTGTACGGGTTTTACATACATAGGATCTTTTTGTGTAAAGAATCCTGTAAGGAGCTTATGTGATCTTGCATGTATGGTTTCCTGAATACTGAATCCGAAAATGATCAGCAATTGTCAAAACCAGTTTGGCCAAAAAGACAAATCTGAGATCAGTCTGGATTTTCTATGAAATCAGTCTGTAACAATTCAATTTTTGTTTGATCAAGAAACTTAATTTAGTCAGGTCAAAACATTTGTCCGGAAAAATACGGATTATGTACAAAATCGATAGAGATTTATGTATGCAGCAGTCTATGTAATTGGCATATACAATTTTTGTCTTTTGCATGTAAAAGAGTAACTCCAAATCTGTCGATTGGCATCGAAAACTCAAAATCGATTTTTTAAGCTAAAGTTATACCTTCTATCGTCAGAGCACGTTTATGCCCAAAACAATGTAAATTAGATAAATCACATAGTTTTGGGCATAAGCATGCTCAAAGTACTATATTTTTTGTAATATACAAGAAAGACAGTTATTCATATACTTTTAGATTTAACAAAAAAATATATTATAGAAATATCAGTTTTAAAACTTTTACAAATATTTGTAATTAACAATATGCAATATTGTTAACTCGATTGTTAATTAATATATTACGATAGAATAGTTATTTTTATAATTGTTCCTATAGCAACTTTCAACAAACACATGAAAATCAATTCTTCTTTGAAGGTCAAACCGTTATTTTATCATATTGTTTCTATAGCAACTTTCAACAAACAAAAGTAATGAAAATCAATACCCAGTGAGAAATTTACTATTTTTTTACTAAAAAAACTGCAGTGACAACTTATGACATTTATAAAAACAATCCATGGTATGAAGTATTTTATAAAAGAGATATAATTTTATTTTATTCTTTAAGTTTTTAATTTTATTAATATTATCCCAGAAATTTACTCTCAAGTAAATTTACTCTTATTTACAATTAACAAAATTGTAACAAAACATTTAGAAAAGAAAAATCCTTTTCTTTAAATATTAGTCAACTGCAACTCGAGAAAGAAAGGTTTTATTTGAATCTGTGAAAAACTTTTATTGTTTTTAACTTTAATAAAAAAAATTTCTTGTTTTTATAATTTCAGAAACTTTTTTTGAAATTTTTTTTAATATTCAAATAATAGGTTATAATTGACAATATGATAAAACAAATATTTATTTGCAGTAAATAAATATTACTTGAGTTAATTATAAATTATCTTTGTTTAAATTCCAAAATTATTGATTCAATTACAGTTTACTTGGTTCAAAAAATATTTATTTGATGTTGTTCCTTATGACTATGAACCTTATAAACTATGGCTGCATAGCAGATCAAAATAATAAATTTTAGTGTAATAGGTATTTGCAAGACATTTTTATCCTATTTATGTAATACTGTAATTAAAGAAAATAAATTTGCTTTTTCAAACCAACCAAAAATCAGGCGCAATAGGTGAAAAAACAATATGGTCATGGGTTCAAATCTCGGGGGTCGACTTACAAGATAATTCCGTAAATATGTGGAAAATACTTTTTTTTATTTACTCCGCATTGTTTACATTATATTAAAACAAAATATAAAGGTTTCGTATTTTTTATATAATAATTATTATTTATTTTTAATTAAGCTAATTTAGATTTTACTAGCGCTGCTGCTTAGACCATGAAAAGCCCGTCTGATCAGACCATGTCATGGATGAATCGTCACCATTCTGACAATGAGTATCGCCATGATGAGACGGTCTATTTAGTGCCTAGATAGGCAGCAGACGGTCTGGCAAGGACCCTGTCAGTTCCCCAACGTTTTTCCACACGGGCAATTAGGGCGTTTCGCCGAAAACTGTTTTTTCGATTTTCTAAAACCTTAAACCGAAATTAGACACCTTTTGACCCACAAAATATGTCAGATTTTTTTCAAATTTTTTTGAATGTCAATTAGAGGTCGCTATTTTGATTTTTATGCAAAATTTGTGCTATTTATATAACAAAATTTTATTCTTTATTTTTAAGTGTTAAATATTTCCAAAACTATGCACATTACTACTAGAGGTTACCAAATCAGTAAAAAAAATTGTTCAAAATTAAAAAAAATGTTTGAAGCTTATTTTTATGACCTTAAATGAAAAAACGGCCTCCTGCACGTTCAAAGTTACTTTATTTTAATTTAAAGCCCCTTAAAATTAGGGGTCGTCCATAAATTAAGTCACACATTTTTTAACCTTTTTTAACTTCCCTACCCCCACTATTGCGTACTTTAGCGCCATTTTTTTGCTGGTTGCCACAAATTTACTGACCCCCTCTTCTCTATTAAAGTGTGACGTAATTTACCACTAATGTTTAAATTTTTATTAGATAAAAAATATTTAATAAAAACTGATTTTGACTTAACATAGTTAAAATGAACGTTTAATCAAAGTAAAACAATTACTCAACATTTACACGGAAAAAATTATTTCAGTATATTTTTCAGAATTAGTAAAAGAGTAGCGGATATACAAGATTCCTTAACAAAGTTTCTTGTAATCTCAGAAACTTTCTTTACATCAAGCAGAACATTTCAAGAGTAATTGAAACAGTTCTGTAATTTTTAAAATGGACCCTAGTGTAAAAAAGTTTTGTATTTTCTAAAGAATAACTTTTGAGAAAATGTTCAGTGGAATCTAAGTTTAACGTGGTTTAATTTTGCACGACACTCTTTGCTGCAAATACTCCATCAGAGTTCTGTAAAATTCGTCCTGGATAAAATTTAAATTTAAAATTAAATTAAATAAAATTAAATTTAATTTGAAATTATTGTAAGTTAATTATTTTAATATAGCATCATCTTTTAAAAAAGAAATTATAATAGGTTTAAATAAACAAATATATTATGGCGGAAAGATTCATCAAAGTTTTTGTCAACAAAATATAACCTCAAAATGAATTTGACGTATTATTCATTAGATACAACAGGTATATAACGCGTACTGTAAATACATACAAACTGTTTTAAAAAGATTTTTTCTTTTAATGAAATTCACGAACAATTTTAATTCACTAATATCTTGTAAAGCTAAAAGACTAATTTGAATACATATTCTTATTACACAACCATTATAGTGCTGTTCTGCCTGACTGACATTTTTGGATATGACAACACAAGCTTAGGTAGCCGCGTGCGTTAAAAGTATTCCGTAGATCAGTTAGGTAGTTCGTATAAAAATGATAGGCAGGTTTCGAATCCCCATAGCGTCCAGAATTAATTAAATTAAGTGCGTTTCAGTTATGCGAAAATGTGTATAGAATTAAGAAACAGTGACTTTAGGATTAAGAAGTAATAGAAATAACAGTATAGAATGTGTAAAATAATTATGAGTAGAATAATAAATTTTTTTTTGCAGAAAAATGTGGGAACTTGTTTGAAAGGATTTACTTAAAATCTCCCACTTGCGTGCTCGTTAACTGACTCCATTAATTAATATAACCACTTTATTTGACTTGTAACGATAGAGTATCGTAGTATAGTGGCGCGGCGAAAAGAGAGAAAGTAGACAGCGTAAGTAGTAGTGTCACTCTCTTCCCCCACGACTCGCTGTCACCTAGCTGCTAGTGATATACCTTTCGTCTCGCACCTTTTTCGTCAGTCTTCTTCCGACTCGCCTAGAGGTGCTTCTCTGACGATTGGGAGCGACTCACTCCTGGCTACCTGGTGCTCAGTAGAGGTGCGTCTCTTTGAACACCAGAGCCTTCCTCACTTCCTAGAAGGAGCTGTACTTGTTCCTGTAGGTGCTTATGCGGAACAGTAACACCCTTCGCCCTCCTTCTACCTGGTGAACCGGACTTCCTATGGGTGCTTCCGTGGAAAACTGGTGAACCAGGTTACCCACTCATTTCCAACAGGACCATGCTTGTCAAGTAGAGGCGCTCCTCTCTTGACAAAGATGATGCACTAGGCCAATTCCCCATCTCGAGACGCTTCTCGGGTGGAGGAGACTCCTAGTGAATATTACTTCGCACTAGCTTCGCGTCGGGCATAAATATTGGAACCGAATCCAATATCTAGCTTCTTCCCGATTACGAATAATAATCGACCTAGCGTGCACGACCCTAGTATTCGTCCGTACCGTCGTCTAGGGGTAAATTCTAGAAAGTACCCCACGCGAAAGTAATATGCGTCGTCCTGACCAACATCTTCGCGAACTAGTTCTTTTATCGTTACGTTTTCTAGAGTTTAGTATTTTATTTGCATTGTATAGATTCTTTTGTTCTTTATTATTTTATGTAATACTTCATTTTTGAATTTTTTATTATTCTTTTATTTTAACAATATATTCTCTTTCGAAGGTTTAAATAAAGACTCGTCAATGACTACACCTCTCCTCTACATCATAGTAAGAAATAGTTCCGAAATTAATCGAAACATAGATGGCGCTTCACGCCATCTACCGAGATTTAAAGTAACTAGTTAAAATAGGTACCCGGACTCCATCCGGCGAGCAAATCCTTTGGCAATAAAAATACAGATCATTACAGACTACTAAATATAATATAAAGTTAACATGATCAAAAGACCAGACGACGAATATAAACTGTACAGTGTTCGAAGACTCGAGTCTATCTGCCTAAACTTTTTCGCGCCCAGCAGTTCTGCGATCTCGCGTCTGCGCGCACCAAAAGAGAGAGAGGGGAATAGAGAGACCGAGCGTATTCCCCACAAAAAACGATTTAGTGGCTCCATCTATGATGCCACAAATTAACTACATTAGTAGTTCTCTTTTTCAAGTGGAGGTGCAGCCCTAGGTCAACCCAGTCTTTCAACTGCGCAAGTTATTTTGCGCAACATTTTACAGAACTCCTGTTAGAAAACGTACGACGGGTTACAGAAGAATTTAAACTTACATTATTCTTGAATTTGGCAGAAGTTTCCTTTACATTTTCGTGAAATCATTCTTTATTCATTGTAAATGACACTGTTTTAATTTATACTAACTTCTTCTCTATATCCGCCAATCCGCAACTAGTTATTTAGAATATACTGAATTTATTTTTTCCGTGTAGAATATATAATATATTTAAATTATATTTAATTATTTATAATTATTTAAATTTAAATCTTTTATATTTTTCGTCAAAGTTATTCTTTCGATTATACTTTCTTTATATACGTACTGCTCGCGTACTGTGTATTTGTATCAAAAATAATTAAATTATTTTGATTTATTATTTTGAAGAACCATTTTTTCTTCAAATTTTTTATATTTTAAACAAATACATATCTAACAAAATTTTCTTTTAACAAACTTTTAGCCCTTTGTATTTTCAACAATAAAGTAGAGGAAACAAAAATGGAACTTGTAAAATATAAAATAGAAATTTTTAAATAAATATTAACCCTCTAGGATCAGAACTGACATGGGTTAGCATAATTCTGCAACTATGATCAGTTGCATATTGATCAGTAATTTATCTGTTAAAACCAATTACTTTAGACCTTTTCGTAAATTATTATAAGCAAATTATTTAAACAAATTATTAATTTATAAAAAAAACTTTGATGGATTTTAATGAAACTGGTTACTCGGGAGGTTTTTGGGATCGTTGAACACGATTTTGAGATCATTTTATAAAAATTTTAAATGTCGGATTCAATATGGCGGACAAATTTGTAAAAAATCCTTCGATTCGCTTGAAACTGGTTACTCGGAGAGTTTTTGGGGTCACTGAACACGAATTTGAAGTCAATTTTAAAAAATTTTAAATGGCAGATCCAATATGTCGGACAAATTTGCAAAAATTGCTGGCTTGGCTTGTAACAAATCCGTAAAATATTAGTTCCTTTGATAAATTTGTAGAAAGTAGTGGAGGTGAAAGTTTTGACGTTTTATATGACTGGCATTTTTAAATCCACATAATTATCTTAAAACTTAATAGATTTTAATTTTCAACTAATATTTTTTAAAGCATTTTTCATGTACTTTTCAATAAAAAAATTTTTTTCCAAAAACAATTTTTACCCCCTCCTTTTCTTACATCCATAAACTTATGTTAAAGTTATATGCAACTATGACTGTATTATAATAATTACTTTTTTTTGTATTGTCCATTGTTAGCAATATTATACAGTCATATTCAGATGCGTATAACTTTAACATAAGTTTATAAATTTTAATTTTCTACTAGTGGTTTTCTGAACTAATTTTGACAGTAGCTAATTTTTAATGTATGAAATTTACAATTTTCATGTATCCTAAGAAGCAAAAGTCAGGATGGAATCTACTTGTTTGAAACTAAACCAATGATTCATAGCTTCTTCGTTGTCAGTAGTTATCTAACCATGAAGAAGATCGGTTGAATGATTTCAGTTTCTCACAAGCACAATACACTTTTTTTATTTTTACAAGTTTAAATGCAATTAACAATTAATTATTTTTACATGAATTAAAATTATTTTTATACAAAATAATTTCAAAATAGCCAATTTCATATTATTAAAAAAAAATTTGAAGTGCAAAAAAAATTTAAGTAAGTTTTGTTGTTAGTGAAAAAAGTGTAATAAATTTTAAAAATGTGTTTCTAATATGAGACTTCAATAAATGGTGAGAAGAAAAATTTGTTTAATTATAATCTAATTAATCTAATTATTGTTTAATTAATTAATTTTATTTCAATTTTAATTGGAATATTTAATTTTAATATGATAAATTTATTCTACACATTAAAAGTAACTGATTTTTCAATGAAAAATTGAAAAAAATTCTGTATTTTACATAACTTTTGTTTAATAAAATTTATATCTTTTTAGTTTAAAGTTTTTTTTGCTTTATAAAATCTCAGGAATAAATTTAAAAATAAAATAAATTTAAGTTTTAATATTGTTTTAATTTCATATTTATAAATTGTAAATAATTTTGTTAATAAAATTTTAATAATTTATATACATGAAAAGATTTTATTAGATTCGAATTTGTTATAATTTTTATTTATCTACATTTCAAAAGATGAAATGACATAAAAATTCTTTTTTATTTGATTTGTTAGTATTTTCACTTTATTTTTAAGACAGGAAGGTTGATCATTATTTAATAAAATAAATATATTTCTGGTGGTTTAAACTGTTTCAACTCATAGCCCCTGGCTATTAATATAAACAACATTAAAGGGGCCTTGCTGAAAAGGGTTAGCAACCGAAAGCATATTATTTGTATAAAATTATATATCTGACCCTTAAGTTACTTTTATTATTCTAACTAGCAATATTTTAACATTATAAAATATTAACAATATTCTGTTATTAAAATTTTGTTTAAATATTAATATTATTATATATTATAATATTATTAATATTATTTAATTAAATTTAATTACCTAATAATTTTATATATTAATATTTTAATTAATAATAATTTATTTAATATCCCTAGGACGTACGTTAGGAAATTTTATTTATTTAATATTTTTAAAGTAATTATATTTTTAAAAAATTCCGTTAATTTTTCAACGTTTTTATTGAATTTGAATTTAAAAAATTTAATTTTTTAACATTTTTGAGTTTTAATAAATATTCTTTATCAGAAGGAATATGGGTCTGTGTGAAGAAAGTGTATTTTTACTTTTACTGCCACCTTATGGAAGGCAAGTTGTCTGGAGCTGGAAAAACGGAAACGGTAGCAGCATTAGAATTCCTGGAAGTATGTCTCCGAGGTCTGACTGTTTTGTTGAGCTTGCAAATGTTTTTGCAGCGGCAATAACAATCATCGCATCAATAATTTTAATTGTCAAGTACAAATGTAAATATTACAAAAAGTAAGTTATTTTTCAGTGTTTAAAATATGTATTTCATTTTCTGAAATATTTCTACGCAAATACGTTTATAATCAAAAATTTTTACACGTTTTTAAATCATAGATCATATATTAAGTTTAAAATTTAATTTAAAAATTTAAAAAAAATTAAATTACACCCAAAGAAATGTTTTATTTGAATTAAAGATAATACATTTGTGTTAAATAAACCTATATTTGAAATTAAATGTACCATTTTATCACATCTAAGCATTTTTAAGAAGAGGAGACCTCTTGATCAGTCCACCTGAATCTGAGAATTGTATGTATGATTTATTCTCTTTATGTTCAGACCATATGAATCATTGTCATCTCATACTAATTCTTCCAAAGACAAATTTTTGAGCTGATTGTTAATCATCAATTCTGAAGCAACTACATATTTTACAATATATAAAATACCTTCTTAATTAAAGACGTAAAAGACTATTTATTAAAATGAATCTGACCTAAATAAATAACATTCTTTTCTATCACGTCCGTGGAAAAAAAATTTTCTTTCAACATTGACAATTAGGGAAATAATTTTAATTGAAGTAAGATATAAATTTTTTTTTGATTACACATAACCACAAAAAAAATTGAATTTTTTCCACGACAAGTCGGATTTTCTCCAATCACGTCAGGATTTTTTTCTGACCTCAAAAAACATGACTAATCAAACAAGTAACTTAAAATTCTTGTGGGCTTGGATTCTAGGGGTCTTTGGGGTCGCTGATTACGAATCTGATTTCATATTTTCAAAATTCAAAATGGAGGACAATTTTTTAAAAAAATTATTTGATTTTCATGAAAATCAGTATCTATGGGTTATTGGGGTCGCTGATCACGAATCCAATGTCAGATTTTAAAAATTCAAAATAGCGGATGCGATATTCCTTTTAAATTGTCCACTAATTGCATCCACCATTTTGAATTTTTAAAATCTGACATCGAATTCGTGATCAGCGACCTCAAAATACGTCAGAAAATCATGTTATGGTTTGATAAATCTGAAATAACTGTTTCACTTTTGCAACATTATTTTTTCATAAAAATTAAACGAAATAATTTTTTTAAAATAATTTAATTCAGTAATTAATGTTTTTTCTTCTCTAATACAAATAAATGAGGTAATAGAAAATATAATAGGTGAGCTTAAATTACAAATACAACTATTTTTTTTATTACCGAGATTTCACTCGATTTAATGAAATGTTTTGTACGGTTTTATAAAAATGGGGTATTTTTTAATCGCAACAAGAATAAAATAATATATATTATAAAAAAGATGACAAATGTAAATTCATTAAATAAAATCATTTAGGATCAAGGTGCAGTATTATAAAACTCTATGAATGGAATACATATATAGTGAATTGTAATTCAATACTGTCATGCTATATGTACTTTGCAAGTTAAATCTCGATCATTTCAGAAAAAACATTCACTCCACGTGTTTGGAATGCAGACTCTCATTATCAACGTTAATGTAATGAATTTCTTTAAATATATATGATGTAGACATTCAAGTTTTGTTTTACATAGAAGCGTGAGAAAGTTTTTCTCTCGACTTTGATACACTTATTAATTATTATTATCTTCAGCAATTTTATTTCATATATATAGTTCATTCTTTAAATTTTTGTCAAATTTAGTTAATAATTCAATTTTTGACATTTGCTATTTTGTAGTTATAACGATTTTCAATAGAGATATGTAAAAATTGTAGAATAAAATGATAATAGTGTTCTTATTGTAGAACACTGAAAAAATATGTAAAAAATTTCAATAGAGTCGAAATTTTAGTAAATATTTAATAACTTAGGGGAAACGTGACAAAATGGAAAAAATTATTTTAAAAAATCGTCGAGGGGGAATTTACTGGTCGAAAAACTGTACAATGCAATCCCTATTACGTTTATAACACTTATTACTCTATTATTACAAGTATTACCGTTTATTACGGGGATATTAAAAGGTATTACGCTTAATTCCACAAATACTACTTAGTATTACAGAAACACAGTTCTTTATATTATACAAGCATGCAAAAAAAACAACATTTCTGTTGTCAGAGATCGAGAAGTCATTTCCTGTAGTTTTTAGTGCGCTGAATCCGAATCTGGCAACGAAAACCTCCCATGACGTCAGGAATTTGAGAAAAGTGGGGGTAAAAGTCCCAAAAATCATGTTTTTGGCAGTTTTTGAAAATTTCTACCGGGTAAATCCGACGTGCTGGAGACTTGTCAAAGAAGTTAAATTAAAGCTTGAACCCTCTACTTTACGACTATATAGCGATATTGACAACACACTGTTCGTAAATAGGTACAATTATTTTAAAGAAATACTTGAATTCACTTGGAATTTGTCACTAAGGGGTTTTTGGGGTCGAAGATTACGGATATGATGTCAGACTTTCAAAATTCAAAATGGCGGATTGAACCGATTTTTAAAAAGGCGTCCGCCATATTGGATCCGCCATTTTGAATTTTGAAAATCTGACATATAGGTATCCGTTGTGAGATTTGGATTCAGTGCACCAAAAACTACGGGAAATGATTTCTCGATCTCTGACAACGGAAATTTTGTTTTTTTTGCAGGCTTGTGTTACAATTTATTGATAAATCTGAATAAAATCAATATAGGGTACCTAAATGTATCAATTACTGCTGATGCCCTAATTTTTAGCTATGTTGTCATTTTTTTGAGATTTAAAGAAAATTACAATTAATACACATTATAACTGTTCCTATAACTATTCTAGAACAATTATAGAATAGTTTTCTTGTGCACACTGAGTAAATATTTCCTATAATTTGAAATACATTTGTTGAACTTAAAAAAATTTGAATTTATTTTCAACAATTTATGACAAAGAATAATAAAAATCAAATTACTCAGAAATGGGAAATATTCTTAAATAGGCGCCAAGAAGATATACTTTTTAGAAATTACTTTTTTTCAGTGTATTGTGGTTGAAATTGTAATTACACAATAAATTAATTTATTCATTTATTATACTACAGACCTTAAAAAAAAGATTTAATAATTGATAATTTGTTTGTAGGTTGACGAAACGATTACTTCCTCTTCACACAATCCGAACAATTATTTGCATAGTTTTGCTTATATTTGTTCTTTTTGAGTTTTGCGAGTCTTTGTTGATTTTTGCCCCTCTCTCACCTGCTCTCAGTATATTATCTGTGATATTTTGTTGGGTGGTCCATCGTCAAACAGAAATGAGAGATGGTTTTGGATTATTTATTACCGGTGGAGGATTTACCATAATTGCTATTGCTCGAATTTGGAAATTTTTTTATTTACGTACGTAAGTAAAATTTTCAACTTTATTCATTTTTATATTTATCACGCACTTTATCTCAAATTTTTATAATAGACTTTTCTTTATCTTTTAGAATTCTTTACATTCTACCTAAATGGAATATTAAAAAAATTATTACAAGGATGGAATTATTATTTTGTTGTAGAGTCTTTTTTATTTCTTTCAGGTTTGACTTAACAATCTCACATATTCAAATAATCACCACAGCCGGAACAGCTGCCTCTTGTGGTTTGCTAGCAATTATGGATGCCTATACTTTTAACCAAATGGTAAGTTACAGTAAAAAATTGTCTTTTATTGATAATAAAATAAAAATTTTCATTTAAAAGTATTTTCTACCCTGACGAAAATTACGGATTGTTTAATCGAATTACGGATTGATTTCGAATCAATCCGCGTTTTATTTTGAAACTATGAATTTTATTCCTCTGAAATTTTGTTATTTTATTCCAAATCTGTATGTTTCAAATCCAAACGGATTTAGAGTAATCTTCATAAAATTTATTCAAAAGAATCTATTATTATTCATTTTATAAACGGAAAGTGTGCTAAAAGTTATTTTTTAAAGAATAATGAATTACTGTGTAACAAAAAATTCTTAATTTAAAAACGTACCAAGTTTTTAAAGCAATATATGTCGTGCTGATGTGTATAGTGCATTTTATTTGAAAAATAAAGCGTAATTTTGGTTCTAGATGATAAAGAAGAATAAAATTTCAATGAAATCAACGGAAAATTTTTATTCATCTTATGAACATGCTTCTTCAACTTTTTTAAGTAAAATCACTTTTCATTGGGTCATTAGTTTACTCGCTCGTGGTAATCATACTACTCTGGATTTCCGCGACCTAGGAAAATTACCCGAAGAAGAATCATCAAAAATATTATTTGAAAAATTTCAAAATATCTACAAAAATGAAAAGGTGATAAAATATTTTTTTTTTTTGAACACTATAACTTGTAAAAGTTGTGAAATTTTTATAGAATCCCGTTAAAATCTAATTCAACTTTTTTACAATGTACATAGTTACAAACTGTTAATCAATTTTTTGTACTATTGGTCTTTGAAGAGATGATGTGACTTAATTATATTTTTTATTGGTTTTAGGAACTTAAAGGAAAAGACAAATTGTCATTGTGGATCTGTTACTGGAAACATGTTTGGCTTCCGTTCACGATAGGAGGTTTATTGAAATTACTAGGCGATGTATCGAATTTAGTTGGACCAATTGCTATTTCGAAAATGATTGATTACGTATCCATTAGCCAAAACGCGACTTTTAATTATTGGAAATTTGAACATTCAGTACGTAATTTTACATTTATTACAATTCTATTTCCTTTTAGATATAAATTTTATTTTATGTTTAATATGTATATTTTTGTTTAATTTATTTTCAATTCAGAATGCTTCTTCATAGATTCGAACCTCGGTTCGAACTTTTCGTTATCAAATATATTACAAAATTATTGATGTTTCAAAAATTCAAAATATTTAAATTAAAAATTTTGTAGTTTAAAATTTATCCCAGTAAAAAAAAATAATTTTGATGAATTGAAATGAATTAACTTTTTTTGGCAAGGTCCAATTCGTATTTATATCTAAGCAAGATTCAGTGAAGCCATTTGTATATTCAATTCAATTCGTACCAATGAATTTTCACCGGTTGAGAATTCAAACAAAATGACCAACTCGTCTATTGAATTTGTGCTGATGAATTGAAAAAAATTAAAGCTAAAAAGTTTATTCATTGAATTAGTGCGAATAGAGAGTTTGGAAGTTGAATACAGCTTTGTCGAATTCAGGAGAATATTGCAACATAGTTCCAATTCGAATTTGGCGCTAAGCGGGATTCACTGAAGCCCAGGGTGTATTTATGTCAATTAAACTAAATTAGTTTTCATTTGCTGGGAGCTCTATGAGGAAGCAAAGTGTTTTGCCATAATAAATAATTATTAATAGGACTATTAATATTTAAAGTGTATATGCAATATATAATTATTTTATTATTTTAGCGCTTTGTGACCGTTGACCAATTTTTTCAAAATGGCTATATTTTGGGTTTACTGGTTTTTTTCGCATCAATTTTACAAAGTACTTTGAGCCAATCATCGACTCACATTCTTAATGTAGAAGGGATTCGTCTTAAAACTGCTTTGCAAGTAATTTGATGAATACAGTCAAACCCTGGTTATGTGTTCTGATTAAATAGGATCTTACTCGCTATAACTGCGTACCATTACACAATCACATCAAAATAAATTATATTTTATAAAATTTTAATCTTTTTATACTATGAATAAAAGAGATTACCCTTTCATTCAGGACCAACTTAACCAGGTTCGACTGTAACATTTAAATATATACCTAATTAAAAATTTAATAATTAATAAAAACTTTACAGTGTTAAAATTCTATTTAGAATTTTATTATACCTTTAAAAATAATGTTAAATTAAATTTGTGTTTCACACCGTAGGCGAATATACTCAGAGTTGGACGCCGTTTTGGACTTTGTTTATAATCTTTTTTAAAAAAATAAATGTAGTCAATTGAGTTATATTGTTAGAAAGATGTACAAGAGGGGAACACTTTTGCTGAAGATTGTAAATTGATTGGTCTAAAATTAAAAAAGTTCTGATTAAAAAAAATCTCGTCAGGGTTGGACATTATTTGTATATTTATTAATAAAATGTGTCAAATTCATAATTAACAAAGTGTCCAACCTTGAGTGTATAAAGTGTCCAACCCTAAGTAGAAGTAACATTTTCGAATTGTGCTAACCATAACCAGACATGTTTCGCGATTTGATTTTACACTTCATTTTTTCTTCAATCATGAACCCTACAATACATGCAGAGATGGGTACGTAGAAAACCTCGAGTATAATACAAGGTATTTTACGTGTAATATACAGGTATTATACATGAGTTTTCTCATGAAGTAGTATAAGGAGCACTCACTCTATAGGCCGTTTTTGAAAATTCTTCCCCAGCCTTTCCAGATTTAATAGAAGCATTTACATATCCCCGATACTAACAACCCAAACGGAAAAGCGAGGAATTACAAGTCACGTGGTACATTGTTATATAAGTTTTTGTGTATAACTGTCAGTTGGCGTTTTTTTTAAATGTGTTTGATGCGAGTTAATTTTGAATGGGGCTGAGGATAACCCAAAGGGTAGAGCCTGAAATTGAGAAAGCTGGTCTCTATATATGAACCTAAGATACTTTTCATCATCTTTGTCTATTACTAATGTTAAGTATGCGTCTGTCAAATCTAATCTGCACATAGAATCTCCGTTGTCTAATAAATTAATAGCTGTTCTTATGTCCTCTAGTTTAAAATGTACTTTTTTACAAAAAAGTTGGATTTTTTGAGGTTAAAGATAAACCTGCGAGAGCCATCTGATTTTGGGATTAGAAAAAAGGAGGATAGAAACTGTAACTCCGAGGGTTTGAAAATTTCGATTTCTCCCTTAATAATTAATTTATCTAAGGAGGAATCTAGATCTTTATTTGGCTCTATTTCTCTGGGCAGTGTATCCTGAAATACTTCCTGTTCAAGATTGATCTTATAACCTCTTACAGTATTTAAAACGAAATCATCCTTCGTGATTTCCGACTAATTTGAAAGAAAATTATTTAATCTTGCGGACGAACTTACCGGTTGGGATTCTAACGACGACTCTGCTGTGGTTGAGATTGATGGTAATGACTCTTGGCTGGATATGGACGTGGTCTTGAATACTGTGACGTTTTGGAGGTGCAAGGTTTGAAGAACTCTTTCCGCCTCCTCGGTTCACCTCCTTCTTGACCGAGGGGATATTCCAGTTTAAATAATTTTTTCTCACGGTTTGGTTAACTTTCGGTTTTAGGTCTTTTGAGACCTTCTCCATCGCTTTGGACGAGTCGATAACTCCTTTGAGGTTGACGCCAAAAAGGAAGGTCGTAGGGACTCTGGTGAGCGATTTTGGAAAAATATCGACAAGTACTTCGTTAAGAATTGGGGCCTCAAGGTCGATTGTTCCTTTTTTTGGAACGGATGTCAATAATTTCTCCATTTCTTCCTTATCGGCGAGTCCCTTGGCAAGCCATGCTTTTATTCTCGCTGCAACATTCGCATGTAACTTTAAATCGTCGGGACGATTTTGTTATGTTGACACCCAAAAATTTTGTGGTTTTCTTCTCCTGATCATTATCCTCTCCACCTGTCGCTTGTTCATCCTCCATTGGCTCGGTCTCTGGAACTATAAAATACTTTTCTTTACGAAAAGTTCAAATTCACCTTTGTTCTTTACTTAAAAATAAAGAATCGGTGTGAGAAATTGGCCCCTGGTTTCGACTTAAAGTTTGAAACTCGGCCGACATTTGTTTTAATGGTTGGAAGAGGGGAGGGACGCTGTGCATCTGAAACAAAGGGAACAAGGAAAATAACTTATTTCTTACCTTTCTCTTGTGCTGGTTCCAAATCTGTTTTACCTTGATCTAATTCGTCTATCTGGTTTAAAACGATGTTCATTTGGTTCTCTAATCTATACAATTCCTCTTGAAAGAGTTGCTTCTGTTCTTCCAGGGTACACATGGTAACGATTTAGCGTCAGCCAGCGCCAAGAAACGAATGAAGGGCGCGGGAACTCGAAGCAAAGAGATAGACAGAGAGGAAAGAGTTTTTCTCTTTGCACATTTAAAATGTTAATAAATTTTATGAAATTATTGCAAATAAGATAATATTATTTAACTGATGTGGCTACAATGCCGAAAACCTGGTTTTCTACAGTATTATACGTATAATACGTCATTTATGTATTATACGTAGAAAACCTCCAGAAAAGCACTTTTACCCATCTCTGAATACTTGCAATAAACTTACCTTACCGATTTCTTGTTTTCTTTATTCATTTTTCGTGTTTAATCATATCGCTCACAAAACTTTTTTCATTCCTACAAATGCACCGACGTCACAGCAGACGCTACTTTTGATCCTCCAGAAATGTAACGGCACAAAAAGTTAGGTCTCACTACGAGAAGCTTTGCGACGTCCGTGCATAGATGGCGCTAGTGTTCTTATTTTAAGAAAAGCGAAGTGTCTAACCCTGAGTAGTGTTCAACCCAGAGTATATTACCCTACTTTTATTAGAAGACCGGAAACGCCATATTGTTTATTCCCGATTTTTCATAAGTGTCGGGAGAATTCAAATAATTTAATAGGATTAAAATAAATTGAAGGTTAAATTTGTACGAATTTCTTGCTAAATTTTTAGGCTTCAGTCTACGATAAAGCTTTACGACTTTGTTCTTGGAACATTTCTGAAGAAGAGAAACCATCTGCGAAAGAAACAGATGAAAACGCTTGTCAAAATTTTGATATTGGGACTTTAACCAATTTGATGGCAGAAGATGCATACAATGTGATGGGGTTTTTTTGGATTGGACATTACATTTGGGCCATTCCTGTAAAAGTATAAAACTATTTTCATTTTATTGTAAACAATGAAAAACAAATTGTAATAGTTTTTAAATCCGATGTATAATGTTTTTAAGATCAGTGCCATAATATTTTTGCTACACTTAAAGTTGGGGATAAGTGCAATAATTGGAGCTGTTTGTTGTATTCTTACTGTAACGCCAATGACGCTTTATCTTGGAAAACGCATATCAAATAATTCAATATGCATCACGGTACTGTTTTACTTCGTAAAAATATTTATCTCTTCAAATATCAAACTCTAAATTAAAAGATTGAAAAGCATTGATGAATATACTAATAGGGATGTGAAGGATTAAATTAATAAATTTTCTATCACCATACTATCCAACTAGCAGGCTAAATAGACTAAATTAATTTTTATAAAATTGGATAGTCCAATTTAATTATATTTTAGTCAAATAAAATTTATATGCTTTTAAATTTAATTACAGAATACAATTTAATAACTATAAAATAGATAAATTGATTCTTTATTACTGGGCATATAATCCCTTTTTAATCAAATTATATTTTTTCAATTATTTCTTCTATTAGGAAAAAAGCGATAGTCGATTAAGATTAATAAATGAAATACTTCAAGGGATGAGAGTTGTGAAACTCAGAGCTTGGGAAGAACTTTTCGAGAAAAAAATTGGCTATACGAGAAATCGAGAACTTCAATTACTGAACAAAGATTCTTTATTTTGGACTTTTATAAGTAATTTTTTCGAATATTTATATATTCCAATTTATTAAACTAGTAATGAAGTACTATTAGCTGTAAATTTAATTATGTCTGAAACATCAAAAAATCTTTTAGATTAATTACAAAATAATGATGATTATTAATTGCTTTTAAGTATCTATCACTGATTTTAAATGTTCTGTTTTTATCCTATTCAGACTTTCTCACACATTCTTCTTCGGTACTTACAACTCTTTTCACATTTGGAATTTATTTCTGGATGGAAGAAAAAAATCTTGATGCGGGAAGTGTCTTTGCGAGCCTTGCGCTTTTCTCTCAATTAACTGTACCGCTTTTCATATTTCCAGTTATAATTCCTATAATTATCAATGCAGTGGTAAGAATCGTTGTATAAATTAATTAATCAAATTTTAATTAATTTCCTAAAAATGAATTAAACATAAATATTGAAAAATGTCATTTAATTGGTGTTAGGGAATATTTATAAAATAAAGTATAACAATATACATTGAGTAAAATTAAATTAAATTATAGATTTTACTTAAAATGTCATGCCCAAGAAGCACGTAATATAACCTCAATATCAAGGTAATATTACATGTAAGATTCGTAATATAACGTTGTAATATTACAGTAATCTTACAGTGATCTTAAAATGTCCGCCTCAAGGTAATATTACCGGTAATGTTACTGTAATATTAGGCGCTAATATTAAGGTAATATTACAGTAATATTGCAGTAATATTATACCGTAATATTAAGGTAATATTACAAGAGAATATTACAGTAATATTATGGGAACATTTCTTTACGAAAAAGACTACCCATCCAGGGAATCGAACCCCGAACTCAAAGCACACGAGTCCAGAGTTTTACCAACAAGCCAAATTAACTTTACGTTTTTTATGCTTTATGAATAACTCAAATCAGTCTGTAATATTACTGTAATATTACCGTTAATTACAGTAATTAATTACAGTAATATTCCCGGTAATATTACCTTGAGGCGGACATTTTAAGATCACTGCAAGATTACTGTAATATTACAGCGTTATATTACGAATCTCACGTGTAATATTACCTTGATATTGAGGATATATTACGTGCTTCTTGGGTGGTGTAATATAGATAATAATTTTGTAGATTTCAACAAAAAGACTGGAAAGTTTTTTGTCACTTCCTGAGACCATAAATGTTTTACCGAAAGTGAAAGAAAGAAATTTTCAGATTCAAGAAAGATGTGTTTCTTCAAACGACTCGAATGTAAGATTTTTGCCAAAAATCATTCTATTAAATCCGTTTACTTGCTGATTTTTTAAAAAGATTTTATAACTATATCGTATACACTGATAGGATGAGATAAGTTAATTCACTGATCCGAATATTTTAAATTCTTCATATTTTGTAAAAATTTTCTTTTTCCAAGGTAGAGACTACTAATGTACAAAACGTCTTTGGTCATCTAGATGACATAGAGGAATATGAAGAAGATTATTTTTTAAAAAAGAATTCTGCTTCGAATTCTATTGTAAATACAAGTCTCAAGAAAGGAGAAAAACCTGTCAACTTTGCAGTAAAAGTTAATGGCACATTTTCGTGGGGATCGTCTGATACTCAACTGATGCTTAAGGAGTTAACTTTTCCTCGAGGCAAGCTTTTTCGCATTATTAAATGAAATTATTTACATAAAAATATTTTTTTGCAACACTAATCGGTAAAGTTGAATTTTATATACACGGAAAACTGTGGGTAAAATGACACTTTTTATATACAGTGCGTACAGTGATAACACTAAGCACTGAAATTTAATTTGTGCATTGTTGTGATTTTCATAAAAGAGGAGGATAAATGAAGGGTAGAATGACAAAAGGGGTCAAGCGCCAATTTATCGAAAATGAGGTTTTTGCATAAAAAAATCAAGAAAATTCATTTACACATTTCTGTAGAAGGATTTCCTTTTTTATTGCGTATTTAAATAAGTTTTTAATACAAATTAAATTAATAAAATAGCCTCAAATTTACCTTATGGCAACCTGATTGAAAAACAAAAGAAACTTGTGAGTCAATAATATTATGTATAACTTAACAAATTTAAAAACATTGCTTTTTACAAATCAAAAATGCCTCGCAGATGCGGAAAAAAATCTATTAATAAAATAGATATTGTTAAAAAGAAACGATATAAAGGTAAAATGTTTTTATGAATTTCATTCTTCACATTTTTATCCATCTGTTCAATTTTGATCAAAAATATTATTTTTTTAGGTTTTATTTTAATATTTAATTTTAATTTTATTTTAATAATATTTTAATTAATAAAATTAGTAATAATAATATATTTTCAATTTTAAACAATTTTAAAATCATTTTGTTATTAATTTTTAAATATTTTTATGATTATACTAAGTGAACAACTGAATTTAAAGATGAAAGTATTGCTCAATTCCAAAGCAAGCAATTAATTCGTAATTTTCTTGAAAACAAACAATTTTTTTTCTATTCTTTTTGTCGATTCCATAGAAAGAAACTAATTTTCCAGTTTTTCTTTAAACTGTATATTTTTTTTTATAATTAATGCTTAAAGAAAATGTGCGCAGTTGATATAACCTCAAGGCACCACAGTTTTTTTTTTATTTTATCGTTAATATGTAGGTTTATTTCAACAAATTATTGTTTATTTATTAAAACATACTAATATATCGAAACGGTTTTCTCAGTTTTTTTTAAATGACCTGCAAAATTTTAAAAAATGTATTTTTTACTTCCTGTAAAAACAGTGAATTGGCGCTTGACCTCTTCTGTCATTCTACCTTTCAAATATTTAATATAATTTTTATTAAATATTATTGATTTCAATTTCTCTGGATTTGTTATATTGAAATAATTTATTAAAGTGTAATTTTCATATTTTACAGGAAAGTTGAGTCTAATTGTGGGCAAAATAGGAAGTGGGAAAACGTCTTTAGTCTCTGCAATTTTAGGAGAGATGCAAAAAGTGAGGGGTAAAGTAGAATGGGCTAGGTGAATATTTACAAAATATTAAATGAATTAAACAATTTTTACACAATTTTAATTTTATCATCAATAATTGCATTCAGAGATTCTCGAGTGGCTTATGTTTCGCAAAAACCTTGGCTTATAAATGCAACTTTAAGAGACAATATTTTATTCGGCATGGAATTTCGACCAAGAAAGTACCGCCATGTTCTTAAAATTTGTGCCTTACAACCAGATGTAGATATTCTACCTGGTCGAGATTTAACAATGATTGGCGAGAAGGGAATTAATTTGAGTGGAGGACAAAAACAGAGAATCGCCATTGCGAGAGCAATTTACAGTGAATGTGATACTATTATTTTGGTCAGTTTTATTTTATGTATTGTGTAATCTTTTTTTGATTAATACGACATTTTTAAACGTCAGGACGACAGAAATACTCACCCCGATATCCAGGTGTCTTATAAACAATTTCTTCGAGAATTTTTTGGTCAAATTGAATGAATGACTTTTTTGGTAAATTTTTCGAGAAACTTTTTAACAAATCGACTTCACGAACAAATTGTTTATAAAACACCTGGACATCGGGGTAAGTAGTTTTGTCTCCTGGTGCACCCAGGATTTATTAAATCACATATATTAGCGGAAAGTGTGCGCAAAGTCTGCAGACTGTTTTACCTGGACTGTTAAAATTGTTACATGTTTGCTGTCTTATAGCAACTAATGAAAAAATTGTAAATATATAAATTTTTAGGATGATCCATTATCTGCACTAGATCAGCCAGTTGGACATCAAATTTTTGAACAGGGAATTCAAAAATTACTATTAAGGAAGTATACTATCATTATGATAACACATCGATTAGAGTTGTTGCCGTTTGCTGATCAGGTAAAGAGAAATCTTAAGAAACTGTTAAACATATCAAATAAATGCAGAAAATTTAATAAATCTTGATAATCACAAATAAGAAATACGTATAAATATTCATCAACTATTACTTATCGTTAGAAAAATTTTTAAAATATGAATATATAAAAATATATCATTTGACTTGTGTTTGCAATTAATCATCATAAGGTAGACTGTATTATTTTTAAGTTGAAAATGTTTCTTGGAAATATTTTTGATGACATTTATTCTTACGTCAGATAGTAGCAATGGATTTCTGCCAAATTAGGGCAGTAGGAACAAAGATAAATATTGAAAAAACAGATTCTGCATTGGCAGCAGAATGGAGGGAAGCTGTCAAAAGGAAAGTAAATGATCATCAAGTTCAAAAAACTGCCAAGGATCGATGGTCTTTAATTAGGTTAATATCCAGGATAAGCATCTCGATTAGACAAAGAAATAGCATAGATGGTTCTTGGATTATTGATCAAGATGCACATGTGGTAATGGAAGATTAATACATTTCTGTCTGTAAATTTTTTTTTCATTTAAATTAAAAAGAAAGAAATCATTTTTCGTAAAGCAGAATTTTTTTCGAAAAGTGTAATAATATTATTATTTAATACATACATAAACTGATATAAAATATTATTATCACTTATGTTTTATAACAAATATTTTATAGACACCACCAGTCTTCGTGCCTTTGAGGTTGAGACGATCGACACTATTAGGATCCAGATATTTAGCACATGATCTCTCTGATATTCTAGTTTCAGCTGAAGAATGGGATGCAATTGTAAGGAGAAAATCTAAAAAACATCGCGTGGTCATTAGAGCAACTAGTCTTCAACCTCTCAAACGTCCACCACCAATACTTCGACAAATCAGCACTCCAACAATTTTAGAAGCGTGCTACGTACCATCTAGGTCTGTTTTATAAGAACTTTAATATTTTATTAACATTAACTTCTTTAACTCTTCCAATGTCTTTAAATAAATTTATTTCATAAATTGAAATTTAACCTTCTGCTTTCTTATGGAGAAAGTATTTTCATATTGGTGACTGATATCATTTTAGAAAAAGGCATAATACTTTAGAGGGAAGTCAAACAAATAATATGCTAAAGCAAATATTTTCCGGCAGGTAAGGAGTTATTTTATACTTTTTAATTATAACAATGATTTTGTCCAAAAACGGAAAGTTTTATTATTTAAGCCAGTGTATTTTATTTCAATAATACTTTTAGAGTCATTAATCCGAATTCAGAAGAAGCAAATCTTTCGAGAGAAAAGAGTATTCTACGTAGATTGATGGCATCAAACCAAAACAAGTAAGTTTTGCGTGTGGAATTGTGAATTATTTTATTTACGAAATATTAAAGTTAATCAGAAAGTTAATATAGAACTATTATTATTGTTTATAAGTAGAATAAATTCGAATCAAGAATATGATCCTCGACCAATTAAAAGGTTGCTGTCTGAAGAATCTGCTACATTTCAAAACAATGAAGATGAAGAAAAAGGTAAGTTATGTCTTTGTACATAAAATAGATTTTGTTTACTACATTAAAACATATTTAGATTTTTACATTATTTTTTACAATCTATATATCTAAATTAGCGAAAGAATTGGATACTGATGATAGGTTAACAACTTACTACATAAATAAGTGTTCGGCCCTGTCGATGGTTGTCCGTTACGAAGAGTCTTGTAAATTCTTGGTTGACCTTGTCGTGGTGCTGCGGTGGGGCTTTTCACTAAAGGACATCTAAAAATCAAACTCTGGCTTGCTGTGCTCGCCCTCGACTACCACTCGTGCTGCAAACGCCAACATAAACAATGGCTGCCATTGGACTCATGTTACTTACGATATTTTTTATTCCAAAGGCACAAGCGTCGAGCTTTTAGGATATCTGACGGCCGGGTGAAAAAGTCATGACTTTGTTCTACCGTTTGAAAATGGCGTCCATTTTTACCGTAGGGCAAAAATAATGCATGGATCAACTGTTTATTTTTACCCTAGGACAAACATGGACGCCATCCTCAGACGGGAGAATAAATTATTGGCTTTACACACGGACGTCAGGTATCTAAAAACGCCATGTTTGTGCCTGAGGGATAAAGAAAATATGTGGAAAGCAAAGGATTAAATAAGGACGTTTACAATGCAGGGGAGGGATACCCCAGTGCCGGTGCTGCTGGAAGTGAGCAAGTTGGACCATGCTAGCACCCAGTTTCTTAACGTTCGGCAGGTCCGTTTGGAAAGACTTGGATGTAGAACAGGGAAAGTTTGTAGTGTCAGTAGCGGAAGATCATTGATTCAGTCTGACTTAGACAACGAGACAATTGAAGAAGAACGCGAGAAGTGTTTAAAGCTTAGCCACGAGGAAGCTAAGTATCTTCAGAAGAGATCGCTAAGATGGTAAATCCTTGCAAAGTCCAGAAGAATGTCAACGTGACTATTAAGGGCGGACTAAAGACTTTTCAGGATCTTGTAAATGAGGCGAAGACAAAGCACGGCCTAGCAGATAATGGAGATAGCTACTTTGATGGCGCTATAGGCAATAAGGAGGTGAACCGAGAAGAGCGAAACAGGAAAAGAGAGCGTATCCATGAGAAGCGGCTTCAGCGCAGATATAGAGCCGCAGAAACGAAGAAAACGCTCTGGCAGTCCGGAGAGGACTGACGCCGAGGGGAAGAAGAAAAAGCAAGAGAATAGACCTCTTGTTAAAAAGATTGCGAAAGTGACGGTGACACCGAATCCAAAGCAAATCAGTAAGAAAAAAGCAATGAGCAATCCGAGTTGCACCAGGAACAACGTATTCGGACGTACTGTGCAAACATCGGTGGGAAGTTAATCCGGACGTCAGCCACACGCAGGTCGTGTGCGCAAGGCCTACAAGAAGGGGAGATCTCCTGATCAAAACGGAGGAGACTTCATTAAAAAAGCATGGGGGAAGGTGAGGAAGCTGAGGTCACCAAAGCGGTTGTAAACATGGAGAAGGTGCAAACCGTGGATCAACAAGTCACACTGCAGACCGGCAACCTGGATTGCCTTACCCAGGAAGAAGAGGTCCAACAGGCGTTGGCAGAAAATGCTCCTGTGGTAGTCACCGACCCAGAGGAGGCGGACAAGTTGAAGAAATTGGAACGGATGAAGAATGGCTTTATGTGTTGCCCAAAAAAGAAGGGTGATGGTGGTTCGGTGCCACTAGTGCCTGGCATACGGCCACATAGGAGAGTTCGTGAGACAGCGGATAGATTGACTGTATGCTTCAAGTGCGGTGAAGTCGATTATAAGTTTGCAAACTGCAGTAGAAGCCTAAGCTTTTTATTATGTAGAGAAAAGTATGGCGATAAGGCGAACATTAGCCATATCACAGACAGCAGTGGATGTGGAGTCTTTAAGACGGCTCTTGAGGAGTCCAAGAAGACTCTCGCACCAACAAAGAATAATCAGACCAGGAAGATCGGATGTGCCTATATTCCTTAATAAAATATTGATAGTGGGGATCAAGAAGAAACGCGCACGTACTCGAAGGCCAGATATTAGACGACAACCAAAGAATACAGACGTGAAATTTAAACTTGTATTAAAAGATTAAAATATATTTCTTCTATAAATATTGTTTGATATAGTGTTTCATTATCAGGTCAGGTTGTAAGATCTGGTAAGGTGTTTCACGATATGCGCGTTCTCAGGGTACTGTTTTTTTCTCTTGTGAGGCCTCATTTTGATTTTCTTTCAACAATTTATTCTCCACAATATGAATACCAGAAACTGAGGCTGGAGAGAGTACAGAACAGGTTCCTTAGGTTTGCAGCAAGACAACTTGATATACCTTATGATTATTTTTCCCATGATTATTCTGAATTGCGAGCAATCTTGAGGATATCTTCAGTACAGTGTAGATTTCTTAAGTTAGATTTGCAATTTTTTTATAATATTCTCAACGCCCGAGTCGATTGTCCGGCATTGCTGTCTGGAATCTCGCTGTCGGTGGTTGAGCGCCTAGGTGGGAGAAAGAGTTGAGCCATTGGACGGTCACATCTTGGAAAGGGTAAAATTCTGAAATTTTACCCCTTCTCTCACTTTCTCCCACCTAGGTCCTCAACGTCCGTGCCTCAGATATACTCGAATGCCTAAATTTTTCGTAACCTTGAAAAAATTCATATTTCAGTGTACTTTTTATTTCATTATAATTATACTTATTTGTTCACATAATTAGTTCAATAAAGTATAGTTACCTAGTCTAATATATAAATTTACCATTTTCACAAAGAAAGTTCCAAATTTTTATTTTCTATTCAAATGAGAACTGCGAAAAAACTGTTCAAAATATAAACAAATCATACCCATTTTTTAGGTAGAGTAGTCACACTCGTCTTTTTTTTGTTTAAGTTTTTCTTTTAGTTTGTAAGTTTTTTGTTCATAATAAAGGGTATTTTTGTAAACCCGTGTACAAATAAATAAATAAAAATAAATAAATAAATTATTCACTACAAACTGACCAAAAGAGTGAAAAATACTCTATAAACTTAATCAAAAATTTATCAAGTTATATTATATATTTTAGTTTTTTTGGAATGTTTTCTTTATGCTTTAAGTTAACGATATATTAGTGGAAGAAGACAGTTTAGAGGATGAATCTGGAAGACTAGTAACCACAAAAGTATGGCTAACTTATTTCAAAATTGGTGGAATTCTTCCAAGCATTATTTACATTTTTACGGCTCTTGGTTGTCAAGTTATTCGAGTTTACACGGACCTTTGGTTAAGTCGATGGACAGAGCATAACAGAGGAACAGAAAATACTAAAAATAACCGTCAAAATGTAAGAATGTTAATAATTAGGTTTATAAACTAAATTGAATGTCTCCTTAGATGATATTTAAATGTAGACCAATTAAAATTTCAGATGATATTTTATTGTAGAGTGTATATTATCTTGTCAATTTGTTCTATCGTTTTGTACGCAATTTGTAATGGAATTGGACAATGGGTTGGAGCAAGAGCACGGTGTCAACTTCATTATGATGCTATTCAAGGACTACTTCGAGCTCCATTGTCTTATTTTCATCAAACACCAATTGGAAAAATTTTGAATAGATTTAGTGCTGACATAGGAGTTATCGATAAGGTACATCGATGTTCAAAATGTGAGCAAAAATTGTAGGTTTCATAAATCAAATTTATGATGAAAGTGGAATAACTGAATCGAAATCAGTTATTGCTATAATCGAATGCTAATCGAATTTGGTTTAAAAAAATCCAAAATTTGTAGGTCTGTGTAATATTGTGTACTTAAAAAAGTAAAATTAAAATTTTCTATTTTCTTTCAGAAACTTTCAATTGCAATACAACGACTTACATTCTTTTTTTTGCTTTGTGCGTCTGCTATATTCGTGAATATAGCAATTTCACCTTGGTTTCTTATTCCAGCAATTCCAATCTGTGGAGTTTATTATTTTTTACAAAGGTTCTACAGATACGGTGCTAGAGAACTCCAAAGATTAGATGGAAGGTAAAATTATTTTTCTATTCAAACTAATTGAAAAATTAAAAAAAAAAATTATAATTGAGATTTTGTTTATATTCAAAGAAAATTGGTAAATTTCGATTGTGTTCCCTTTATTTTAGTTCGAGAGGTCCATTATCAGCTCATTTTTCTGAAACTCTAAGTGGACTTCCAACCATAAGAGCATCGAGACAACAAAATAGATTTATTAATCAAATGTTTTATCATCTTGATGTAAATACAAATGCATTTTTAATTTTGAACACAAGCAGTCGATGGCTCGGTATTGTTTTGGTAATATACTTTAAATTACGTATTATTTATAATAATAAACACTTAAAACGTTCTGAACAATTTTTAAACCAATAATAGTCTTCAGAGGAGAAAAATTTAAAATATTTTAGAAACCACTCCCATACAAAAAAGCGAATTTACGAAACTAATATTTCATTTTGTATTTCAATAAAATTTTCCTTTCTTTATTTTATTAATGTTTTATTACTTTAGGATTATCTGGGAGCTGTAATAGTCATAGGATCAATTTTTGCATGCTTGATATCAGCAAAATCGTATCCTCATCAGATAACTCCAGCCCTTGTAGGTCTAGCTATTAACTACACCTTTCTTGTACCAATTTATCTAAATTGGGTTGTAAAATTTATCTCAGAAATTGAAATGTACATGGGCAGTGTACAGAGAATTAGTTTTTTTGCAAATATTCCTCCGGAAAATCAAGATACTTCCTTTGGTAATAAACTTGATTTAAAATTTCTTTAATAGAATTTAATAACTTAGCAAACATGTTGTGTTACCAGATAGCACGCAAGTCTGCTGACAACTTGCAGCCGACTTACAGTGCAAGTTTTGCAAGTTTGCTTTGTAAGCTTGCAATGTCCCACCCTTTGCAAAGTAGGCACTGCAAGCTTGCAGTGCAACTGATATTTGCTGAATGTTTTCTGCAAGCTTTCTGCAAGTTTGCAAGTGCATCTGTATATTTTTCAAAACTACTAAATTTTTGCAAAAATAAAAACGATGCGCAGTTCAATTCTATAACATATAGGCCTGCGCAGTACATTTTTTTACTTTCCAGCTATGGTCCCAAATATATATTAAAGAGAATTTGTATCTAAAATTAAATTGATAATTAATTAATTAATTAATTGAATAATAAATTAATAATAGTTTTCAGCTAGCTTGCAGCAAACTTGCAGAAGACTTGCAGCAAACTGGCAGAAGACTTCCATCAAACTTGCAGAAAACTTTCAGCAAACTTTCACTGCAAGTGCAAGCTTGCAGCAAACTTGCAAAACTTGCAATGCAAGTCGGCTGCAAGTTGGCAGCAGACTTGTTTGCTATCTGGGTATAACCTAAAAGTAACATTAACAAGTTCTTATTTTACAATTGAGTTATAACTATAGCACTTACAATTAGTAAACAGTATTGTAATCATTAAGTTATATAACAGTGTTTGCTAAAAATAAAATTATTCTATTAAATAATGTCTATATATAAAAATTATATATTTTAGATCAAGTCATTCCGTCAGACTGGCCAAAAATCGGAGCAATTGTGTTTGACAATGTTTCACTTCGTTACGATCTTCAGCAAGAGCCTGTTGTTACAAATTTGGATCTTGTTATACCAACAGGAATGAGAGTAAACAGATTTTTGGACAATTTGATAAATTGATTTTTTTATACAGTGTTAAAGGCAATTATGATATTTTTAGTTGGGAATTTGTGGACGAACTGGAAGCGGAAAATCGACAACTGCAATGGCTTTCTTTCGGTTGGTGGATATTTGTCAAGGAAGAATTATCATCGATGGTATTGATATTCAAAAGGTTCCTCTTCACATTTTAAGATCGAGACTTTCTATTATTCCTCAAGATGTTATCATCTTCAGTGGAACCATAAGGTTTGTTCTCATTATGTTGAAAAATTTATTTAAATTCTGTAATTTCTTACAACAGTTGCTTTTAATTCGAAAAGACCTGCAGATACTTAGTTTTGAATTTTTTAAATGATAGAAGAAAAAAGTTTTTTAAACTTTTAGGGAAAACTTAGACCCATTTTCTCAGTATACTGATTATGAATTGTGGTCAGCTTTGGAATTGGCTCAGATAAAAGATGTTGTTTCATCCCATCCAGATGGCTTGAGTGAGTTTAAAATTTTTTCCTTTATTTATTTTTTGAAAAATAGTTGATTCTCGACAAATTGGTATCTTTAGAATTTATTTTTTCAAATAAAACAAATCACATATTTTGAATATGAAAATTTTTTTGAAATAAATAGGTACAGTAGGATGCAAATATGCCTTCCCAGTTGGATCGTGTCGCACTCATATATTTCCATGGAAACATATGAGTGCGACACGATCCAACTAGGAAGGCATATATGCATCCTACTGTACATTGTTCTATATGTCGTCAAGTGTTAATTTTCATTTGTTGTTTAGATCTAGAAGTGAGAGAAGGAGGTGAAAATTTTTCTGCTGGACAATTGCAACTGATAAATATGGCTAGAGCTGTTCTTATAAAATCTTCAGTGATAATTTTTGATGAGGCGACAAGTGCCTTAGATGCTTCTACTGAAAAAGCATTATTAAAAACAGCGGCCGTAGCTTTCAAAAAAAAAGTTATTATTACTATTGCGGTTGGTAAAATTCTTTTAATGTTAATCTCGTCCTTTTCATAATATAATTTCATTTTTTTGTAATACAAAATTTTACAGCATCGAGTGGCTTCACTTTTGGCCTGTGATAGAATTTTAGTATTCGACGATGGGAAAATAGTGGAAGATGGTTCTCCCAAAGAACTCATTCAGCATCCTATGGGATTTTTTTCAACAATGTTGAGAGCTACTGAAAATGTGGATTCAATTCTATAATTAATAATATTTTCATTAAAAACATAAAATTTAAATTATTGATGATTTAGATTGTTCATTTATCAAAAGAAAAACTTTAGGAGATAATTGGTTAGCCCTGTTTCTATAGTTTCATTTTCATTTTAAGTCATATTTTTTCACATTAAAAACTTTGGGGGTCAGTGGAAAATGTTTCTAACATTTGATTTTTTGTACCACCCTAAGATAACTATAAACTGTATAATTTTCAATAAAGTTTTCCAAAAATTATTAAATGAAAAAATTGAAATACTATGATAATATATTATAATAATATATTATTATATAAATTACACTACAAGTTTGTTAAATCAAACACACAATTTTATAAATTTTGCTTAAAATTTATTTAACAATTTTTATTTCATATTTTAAAACAATTAATTTTCCTTCTACTATACCTCAGAAATAGAAAAGTCGATTATTGATTTCCGATTTTTCCACAATACAAAAATTAGTTTAGATGTTTTGATAAAGTACAAAAAGGTTGCAAAGTTTCATAATGGATCAATAATAATTGCAGAAAAAGGAAAATAATTTTTTTCTTTACATTTGTTTAGTTCCTTTGAAAAAAATACCTTTATAGTTACTGTTGCTATCAAACTCGAAACAGGTAGTTTTTCTGTTAACAGAATATACTATTTAATGTGTTATATTATTTCTAATTTTGATCAACAGAAAGAAGAAAAAAGAAGAATAAAATTATTTTTAATAACTATTTAAACAAAAAAGTGAAATATACAATGAAGGTACACAATTTGGCGTTTGTGAGTTGTTTTGTAATTCTGATAGTAGCTTTCAAATGTGAATATGCAGATTTCTCTTGGATAAATCATTTGGTAAAGTACATGGAAGAAGATTCAAAATTTTCACGGATACTATTAATTATTGATGATGACGACAATAATACCTCAAAGCACACAATTGATAACTTTATTCGAAGAATAGAATTTGTTCCACACAATATAATCGGGTTAAAAAATGCTACTTTAGAATATGCAAATCAAATGTCTCAAATGTCACAATTTAAAGATTTAAAGTCAACAACATTGATACTGACAATTCTTTCTCTCGAAAACAGAAAGTTTTCTAAAATTTTTAATCTAACAAAATTTTTAATTGCATTTCATGCAAATGAATCGCGCACAAAATGCTTGACGATAATTTATTCTGGAGTTGAACGATTCAGATATAAGAAATTTCTTCATCAAATGTGGTTAGATGACTTCTTAGATTTTACAGTCTTAGAAATAAGCCGGGATAAAAAAAACAATACTTGTTCTAATTTGATTCGATCAGAAAATGTCAAGATTCATTGGTATAATCCGTTTACAGGTGTTTACAAAATAAAAAAGTACAGCAATAAAGAGCAACAAATCTTTGTTAATAAATTGCGAAACATGAAAGGTTTTGAAATGAAAATAGGAACATTTAATTTACCTCCGTTTGTTTTCGTAAAAAGGAATTCCACAGGACATCCTGTTCAATTATCTGGACCATATGTTAAGATAACACGCGAATTCGCAGAACAAATGCATTTTACAACAACTGAGGTTCCATCGCAAGAGGAATCGATAGGTGAATTAGTAAACAGTAAGAAAAATAATAATCTTTTTTATCAATTATTGGATAAAAAAATTAGATATATTAGAAACTTTGTTTCATATGTTGGAAAAACAAATTTTTCTAAAACAAAAGTTGTCAATTTTGATGCATTCTGTGCTTTGATACCAGAACCCAAAAATCCAAATTGGATTGTACGCTATCAATGGTCCTTGATTTACTTTGTTATTTTTATATTAATTTCAAAGGGGATAACATGGATTATGAATTGTAATAATCAATTTTGGTCTTTTGATTGTATACTGCGAGTAATGCTTGGTTTCAGTGTGCCTAGAGAACCTCGAAGTGCATTCGAAAGAATCTTTTTTACATTGATGTTATTTGGTTTCCTGATATTTTCATCTTCAATTTTTTCAATTTTGACAGACGTGAAGATAACAATAGGTCCAATGACAATCATTGATACTTTAGAAAAACTAAACCGAACAAATCTTACCCCAATGATGAGAAAAAATTATGTATCACAATTGTCTGGTGACAGTAATCCAGTTTTTAGAGATTTAGTGAAGAAAAGCTTGATTTTAACGAATGAAGAAAAATGCGTACAGATGTTAGTCCAACATAGAAATATCACGTGTTTTCTTAAACACACGATGGCAATATTTTTTATGCAGAAATATAAAAATTCAGATGGAAGTTCTCTGTTAAAAGTTGTGGATGAATATTTCTACCATTTACCCCAAACCATGTTTCTGGAACCAGCATCACCATTTGTTAAGGATTTTAACAAAATTCTAACGAATCTATTGGAATTTGGAATAATGTCACATTGGATAAAACCATCTTTCTTTCTCATGAAAAATGTGATAAAAGATTTGATTAATCCTGAAGACTTGTCATTGTTACCTTCTCTGCTCCACATTCTTTTTGTTGGGTATTTTATTTCTTTTATTATATTCATTGGCGAAATTTTGTTAAACTATATGGGAATGATTTGTTACTCTTTATCTAAACATATTAACTAATAATTGTTTGCGGCCTTTAATTTAAACAACTTTTAAAGAATGTATAGCTTTTAGAGAACCTACACGGAGGAAAATGAATTGTTTCGGTTACTAAAAATTAAGTCAACACACCAATTCAGGATTATCAATATAGAACTAACAGTTCTATTTGTTGTTGGGACAAAAAAAATGGTTAAAATGGGATTGTTATTAAAACTATTCGGATTGTTCGATGGACAAACAAAATTGTTATGCCCGGCTGAAAAAACTTGTACAAGAAAATGTACAAGTTCTTGTACATGTTCATTAATGAACTTGTACATTTTCTTGTACATGTTCAAGTAATATTCTTGAACAAGTTCAGCATCCGGGATTGAGACATGTTCTTGTACCAGAACTTGTATAAGATCCAGGACAAGAAAATATACTTGTACAAGAAAATGTACATGTTCTTGTACATATTTTTTTGTGCATAGGTTTCATGTACATTTTCTTGTACCAGATGTGGAACATGTTCTTGTACATGTTCATTTATGTTTTCTAAATTAAAAATTAAAAACCTTAAAGGCTGCGCAGTAGCTTTCTTTAGTCTTTACAGCTGCGCAATAATTTCTAGCATGCATAAGTGAAGAGTCTCAATAATTATAACTTATTAAAATTTCTTATTATCTAGATAGCATAATTCCTGACTTACTTTTAGTTCTGTAAAACCTGGATTTGATATCAAGTTTTTTTAAAAAGAATTAGCATATCTCACCTCCTTCCATTCAGGAATATTGAATCTTTGCAAATAATTTAAAACTTCTAACCTCTCTTTACATGCTGGGCATACAAATTTCTTTTCATTTATATCAGTTTTAAACTGACACAAATTAAGATGATCATCGGATCCAGAAGGTTTTTCAACGAATCCCCCTGATGTCAGTTGAATCGGTACTCCCTTATACTTACCCTGTAAAAAAATTCCGATAGCACAAACCGGGAAAACGAATTGCAGTTCGGTATGTTGAATCTGTTATTTGGATTTTAACAGATAGCATTCCTAAGTTGAATCTGATCCCAATAGATGGTCCAATACGCTATATTGCAAATGACGTATAAATAAAGAATTAGCGCTTTAAATGTACGAAAATTGATTGTATATGAATAAAAGAGCGTAAAGAAATTGTAAAAATGACAGAATTATGTGAAAAATGCAATTTTATGGAAATAAATTAATAAGATAATCAGTATGAAAGAAAAATAAGCGATTCACGGGGTAAGAGCTGTTCTTTTTTTTACCGACAGTGAATATCGAGTTATATGGAATCTATGCATTCTTATTATCGTTATATAAAATGAAATGATATAGAATTTGATTAAATAAATATAGGGGAATAGCGTCAGGGTTGGACACAGTTTTGGTTTTTTATTTATAAATATTTTGTTCCCTCACAACAAAAGGATATTCAGGATATCCTTGGGACGTCCTGGGGATATCGATTTGTTTTCGGCGGTTTGGATATCCCTGGGATATCTTAGAGATGTCCATGGATATCCAGAGGATATCTTAGGGATATCCGAATCGCCAAAAGCAAATGGATATCCCCAGGACGTCCCAGGGATATCCTGAATATCCTTGTGTTGTGAGGGTTTAGATAAATTCAGTTAATTGTGGTATATGGGTGGAAAGATCTACAAAAGAGGAACACTTTTGCTCTGGACCGTAAATTGATTGGTCCAAAATTAAAAAAGTTATAAACATTTAAAAAAATCTAGTCAGGGTTGGACTTTTCAGTCAGGGTTGGGCACTTTTTGAAAATCTAAACGCATTATTGGTAATAACGTAAAATAACATTTGTAATGTTTTTTATTCTTATTTTTTCATGTTTATCTTTACTTATTGTTTACAAATTGTAAAGCTTCATGGGTTTAAAAAAGGAATGAACTCAAATTACAAAAAATAACTCAATGAAATGATGAACAAAATTTATACAATTTAAGTATTATTTTTCTAATATCTTTGGCACAATTTTGCACTGAAATATCAATAAAATAAAATTTATTTGTATATTTATTTATAAATTGTGTCAAATTCATAATTAATATGGGTGTCCAACCCTAACTAGAAGCATCATTTTCGAATTGTGCTAACCATAACCAGACATGTGTCGCGATTCGATTTTTCACTTTTTTTCTTCTTAAATTATGTACCCCACAATACATTCAATAAGCTTACCTTGCCGAATTCTTGCTTTTTTTACACATTTTTTAGGTTTATTCACAAGTCAAACAAAACTTTTTTTGTCTCTTCGATTGCACCGAAGTCACAGGAGACGCTACTTTTGATTCTCCAAAAATGTAATGCCACAAAAAGTTAGGTTACACTACTAGAAGATTCGTCACGTACGCACACAGGTGGCGCTAGTGTTCTTATTTAAAAAAAGCCAAGTGTCCAACCCTGACACTATTCCCCTATTTATTTAATCAAATTCTATTTCATTCATATTTAAGTAAGTTACACATAAAAGTTCAAATGAATTCAATCCAAAAGGAAAACAGTTTATGGACACGTTTGAATTAAATGTTTTTTATAATAATTTTTTAATTAGAGTTTAATTAAAAGTTAAGTTATAAGTTCGAATTATAGAATGCGAAAAATATAAAAACATCACAATTTTGGATATATTTCACAAAAGAACCCTGCACAAAATGTACAGAAAATAGATCCCTGTCGATTTTGATTAAACTTTGGGAAATTGTTGCTTTTGTATTACCAAAGAAAAAAGTCTTATGATAAAATCCAAAAAAATGGACAGATTTTCTGTTAATTAATGTTTAAGTTGACAATTCACAGTGTAGAAGTCGGTGATGCTTACAAGTGAACAAAACGAAAATAATTAAATTAAAATGCTTGATACTGCCATTTTGAATTTTTGAAATCTGACTGTACATTTGTTATCAGCGACTCCGAAAACTCCCGTGCAACAAGTATCAAGCATTTTAATTTAATTATTTTCGTTTTGTTCTCTTGTAAGCATCACCGACTTTTACACTGTGAATTGTCAACTTAAACATTAATTAACAAAAAATCTGTCCATTTTTTTGGATTTTATCATAAGACTTTTTTCTTTGGTACTACAAAAGCAACAATTTCCCAAAGTTTAATCAAAATCGACAGGGATCTATTTTCTGTACATTTTGTGCGGGGTTCTTTACACGAAATTAAATATCTAATTTTAGAATAATAAATTTTTTTGTATAAATAATGTGTTGTCATTTTTTATTCCAGAACCCAAAAAGTCGAATAACAACTTTGTTAAAAATCCTTATTTCTTATATGAAATGTTTTTCATATCAATATATGTTAAATTTATCGTTGTTATATATGTAAATAGCAATAATTCTCAGAAATAAAATACATTATAAATTTAGAAAAAAAAAAATATTTTAGAAACTTGGAGTATAAACCAATTACACACTTTTCTATATATGTAAATTAGAAATTAGGTTATATAATTGCTATATATAAAGGCATAATAGTAAGATTTATAATAAGGCCTTCTCCTTGAAATTTGAATTATATAATTCCAATTAATTAATTCTAAAAGGCAAGTTTGAATTAGGCACATTTTTATATAATACCTACTAATTAATTAAATGGTAAAAGAAGATATATATAAATAAAGAAACTAATTAATTAAAACATAAAAAAATATCCAAAAATAATTTCTTAATTAAATTTATGCTAAATAAAATTGAAATTTTTGTTAAATTATTGAAAGTGAAGACACCCGTTAAGTTGTACGGATAAGGTGCAAAATGATAATAATTACCAATACTCAAGTCGCTATCGCTCACGCGCGTGTTTTCCGTTAGTACAATTGAAGTTAGTCTTTCGATAACACATCTTCCATCAGTTAGTCTGACCATCAGCGGTGGTTTTCAGTTTTTTATTTTCTTTTTTTAAAATCTCTCGACAATGATTCAAAAATTGTATAATTAGTATGAATATTTTTTTATTTACATAAAAATAAATAAATTTTGTGATAAATATGATTGAATAATGTAGCAACTGGAAATTAAATTTAAAAACTTAACTTTTTTTAACCAAACATATTGCACAATATTATATAAAACATAAAAAATATGAAAATTTAAATTCTTTTTAACTAAATGGTGATTTTTTAAAAAGGATAAAATAAAATATTAGAAATACGCGGAAAAAATTTAAATTTGAAAAAAAGTCAGTTTATAATGAAAAATAACATGAAAGTTTATCATTTACACGTGGTGAATGTAAATTTGTGACATAAATAAAATGATACAAGCTATGAGATAAAATTTTTAGAAGATCAGGTGACAATTGGGTGAGTTTGAAAACAGTTTCATAACTCGCGTCTATTGTATAAAGATTATCACTTACCTATTACAAGACATTTACTTGGAAATTATTATGAAAGAATTTTTAATTTAAACATTTTCTTTTATCTAATATAAAATGAGAAGGCCTAGAACAAAAAGCAAATATTTTCTTTTATCATTACTTTTTTATATTTCATGAAAAACATTTTCAATAAAATATTAACTATACTAAAATACTTTACAATTGAACTTGTTGTTTTTATTATAATTATTTTTATTAATATTATTATTATTATTATTATTACTATATATATATATATATATATGTTTCTACTGTGTTTTAAATATTTTTAAATATATTAGATGATACGTTATTTTCAAAAATGATGTCATGCTTGTGAGAAATGGTAACGAACGTCTAGAAATATAGTTTTGAAAATCTCGACAAATTATGTTTTTTAATCTGCTGCCTTAATAACTTTTATTTTTAGCTACTAGTTAGACTTTTTTTAAATTAGTATTTTAAAATATTATTAAAATCTCCAATTAAATATTAAAAATTTTAAAATACATTCACTTTAGATTTACAAAATTTGGGAAATATAGTATATATGAATTTTTGAATTTTAAAAACAATCATAATATTCATAATTTCAAAATTATCCTAGTTAATTAACATGGAAGATACAATTTCCAACAAAATTTTTTTATTGTCATGCACAAAACTATTGAAGAAATTTTTAATATCATCAATCGAGTTTTTCCTAAAAATATAATCATATAATGATGACATCATATTGAAACATAATAAATATATCCCTAAACAATTATTTACTGAAATATTGACATAAATTGATTGACGTAAGTTAAATAAAAATAGTTTTTTGCAACACTAACCTCTAAAGTTAAATTTTACACACTGAAAAGTGTGTGTAAAGAAGCTCTTTTTAAAACGGTGTGTAAAGTGATTCACTTAACTTTAGAGCTGGGTGTTGCAAAAAATGTTGTATGATACACGTGCGTAAATCTGCTACTCGTGTGATTTGCATCACATTCGTATAATCACTCACTTTACGCACTTGTATCATAAATAACTATTATTATACAGTTATGTTTCTAAATAATATCAACATTTAAAAATAATGTTTTTAATTTATAACATTAAAAAAAGAAAATGAAATAAAACGTCATAAGACATTAATAAAATTTTAAATATCTTAAAAAAATTTGTATAAATAAATGCATGTAATAAATATTTTTAATATTTATTTATATTTATGATACGCATATAAAAGAAGCTAAAATTCTCTTTTGTATATGAGGGATTTCACGTGCAGTGATCAAGGTGAAAAAAACGTTTCTTTTCAAACGCGCTCATGCTTAGGTAATTTTTTCAATTAAATTATGCAATAAAAAAATTCTTTTTTCAATATCTTATTTCCATATAGCTTTTTTTATGCTCTGCTTTCAATTAGTAAAATGTATATGTGTTAAAAAATAATTTTTGACAAAAGAAATTAAAATAAAAAAGTATACTTTTTTTGGTGAAAGACACGATATTTTTTTAACGTAAGCTGAGGTTTTTGTACTATTAGTGACAAATAGATAAAAATGGGTCTAAATGATTAAAGCTTGAAAATTAACATTTTTTTTACTCACTACAGAGCTGCAGACCTTTATTTTTGATTATCATTTTCTTTAAAAAATTAAAAAAAAAAAAAGAAAGTATGTAAACAGTACCCAAATATTTTCACTCTTTCCTCACCAAAAATATTAGCGTAAATGGAAATTTTTTTTTACAAAGAATCAGTTTCTATCCGAATTTAAATTTTAATGTAACTTAACAATAGTATATTATGCGCCAAGTGAGGTATAAGTCCTAGTTTATGTGCCAAGCACAATTTTTGAAGAACGAGTCGTAGCACGAGCGAATTTTTTTCATTTCGATTTTTCGAAACTAAATTTTAATATTTTTAAAACGTAAAATTATATTGCAAATTAATCCTGTTGACTTGGAAACGGATTTATTCGGATTTATTTTAAATGGAATTTCATAATTTAAAATGATTAAAATTTAACTTCGGATTAATTCGGAATGAAATTTTGCAGGATTTAAAAGGATTAAAATTAAACTTTGTAACGAAACAGATTGATTCGAAATGATTTAGAAAGAATGTTTTATTAAGTTATGTGGAAATTTAGATTCGAATAAAAACTTATTAGCTAGGCAACAAATTTCGAAATGCCTCGGAATAATACTCCCAAGTAGCACGTAATATTACTGTAATATTACAGTAACATTACTCGGTAATATTACTGGAATATTACAGTGATATTAAAATGACGCCTGATGGTGATATTACTGTAATATTACGGTAATGTTACAGTAATATTACAGTATGATTTGAGTTACTCATAAAGCATCACAATCATAAATATATTGTATAAGTCAGTGTGGCTTGTTGGTAAAACTCTGGACTTGTGTGCCTTGAGTTCGGGGTTCGATTCCCCGGTTGGGTACATTTTTTTCGTGAAATAATATTCTTCTAATATTACTGCAATATTCTCGTATATTATTACCTTAGTATTACGGTATAATATTACTGTAATGCTATTGTAATATTCTAGTAATAATGCCTTAATATTACCGTGTAATATTACAGTAAAATTATCCGGTAATATTACCATGAGGCGGACATTTTAATATCACTGTAATATTACAGCAATGTTACCGGATAATATTACTGTAATATTACGTGCTACTTGGGCTTACACAAAACTGATTGAATATATCAATCCGAAAATTTTGTCAAATAAAGTTATGTATTAAACAGAGAATTATGGAAATACTAAGAATTAATACGTATACCTAATTGTCAGACATAGTCAGATTTTGTAACAGTTGGTATACAATAAAATTAGCAGTAAACGAAAATGATACGTAGTTAAATAAAATAAGCATTGCACAAGCTATCTATATAGTAGTTGAAAAATATCTATGAAAACAAAATATAATCGTTTAAAAAAATAATACCAATAAATGTTAGCATTTAGTTTGTTAGTGATGTCTTAAGAAGACAAAAAAGAGTAATTAATCAATTTAATACATTTTTTATGTCTCATACAATTATCTATATAATTTTAACTTTCTTAATATTAATTTTTTTTTAAATTAAACATTAAATTCAAAATGAAAAGAAATTCAATATATAATCCTATTTGTATTAACATAAAATTATTGTTTCATTTAATGATGATTTTTTTCCAATTAAAAATTATTATTATTAATTACTTTTTTTCTTTGAATATTGAATCTATGAATATTATTTTGAAATGACTGAAATAAAATTAATATATTCAAATTTTTTTTTTCTCTTTGAGGAAGATAATGATTCATTTTCATATACCTACCGGTAACACTGCGTCAACACGTTATCAAAAAAGATAAGAACTCTACATCTTTATCGAATCCAAGGTATCAGTCGTAGGTGTAAATTCGTCGTGTATAGGTAGTGGTTAAATTTTTAAAAAGTTTATATTCATACCAGGTGTGAGTTAAATTCCACGCCAAAGTGTAAGTCCATCTGCAATTGCAACTCCGATTTTTTTTTCTTTTAGTACTAATTGAGACTAGCTTCCATGAATTTTTTCAAATTTTTTTAGCAAGCCGTTTTTGAGTTATAGAATTTTGAAAATTGGACAATTTTCATGACTTTTAATTTTTGAATGCTCATAACTTCCTTAAAAATGCATTAATTTTGAAAGTTTTTTTTTTCAAAATGTGTGTTTTTAAACGTACTTTTCAAAAAAAAATCGAATTTTTTTTTAAACGATATTACTATCAAATTTTTGAGTTTTAATGATAAAAAGTCATTTTTCTCATTTGACGTACTGATCGATTTTTTTCAAAATTTTTTCAAAAAAACTACTTCTTATTACGAAAATTTTAAGCCTAGCCCGATAATGGGCAAACAATTTTTACAATATTTTCGGAATTTTTCAAAAATTTTTGAGTTTTGAAGTTTTTAAAAATATTTTTGGTTTTTTTTTTATACTACGTACTTTTATGTATTTTGATGCGCTGATTACGAAAATCATAGTGAAAATACCCAAAATTTGATTTTTATGGTGGAAACCATAAATTATTATTATTATTATTATTATTATTTTGATTATAATTATCATAGATAATTGTCATGATTATCAAAATTATTTTAAATTACATTTAAATCAAGTTGAAAAGGAATTAAAGAATTTTTTTTTATTTTAACATAAAGATTTCAAACAAATATCTCCAATACAAAACAGTTGTGGACATTATCAGAGATTTAAAAAATGATGTCTGAATATTTTCTTGATATTGTCAATGATAAGAAATAATTTTTTGTAAAAACAAAAAAGAGGATTTCCGGAAAAGTCTTAAATATTTAATAAATCAAGCAGATTAGAAAACATTTATGGATCAATTTTTTAGAATATAAATAGATTATTTAATAATTAAAAAGTAACTTAACATTATTAATTTAAAAAATTATTATGGATAGTATAATTAAAATACATTTTTATTGTTAGGATTTCATTGCCGAAGGACTTTATAGACAGATTTTAGAATCCTTATGTCCTTCTTACATTACTTCTAGGCCGAGGTAGGTTTACTGTTAAAGAAGATAAAATGAAGGTTTAATGTAGGTTTACTGTAGGTCAAAGTAGGACTAATGTTGCCTTAAAGAAGATTTAATGTAGGTTCAATTTAGATCAAAGTAGGTTCAATGTAGGTTCCCTGTGGGCAAAAAACCATGTTCGTTCTAAAAACGTTTTAAGGACGTTCTTAGAACGTTTCATGTCCACCAAATAATGTTCTGGAACATTTTACGAACATGGAAGTTCAAATAATGTTCCAGAACATTATTTGGTGGACATGAAACGTTCTAAAAACGTTCTTAAAACGTTTTTAGAACAAACATGGTTTTTTGCCCACAGGGTTCATTCATATTTAACTGACACAAAGTAATTGTTACTGTTTTCATTAATTGTTATTATTATCTAATTAAAAAATGAGAATAATATCAATGTTGTTATTATTATCGATTTATTAATTTAGTAGGAAAATATTTTATTTGACATTTTCATTTAGGGAAATTGATATGAAAATCCAATTTTAATACATAAAGGACAATATAGTTTGATATCGTTTATGGTCTTTTGTATATATGATTAAAAATTAATTTTTATTGTCTCAGTTTCGTGGAATATCATGTTGCGACTTTAGATGATAATCTCGTTATTTTAATCATTTTAATTGCTCTGTGCTCAACAGCCACGGTCGTCGTTACTTTTCAAGGAAAGTCATATGACATTGATGTATCAAGAACAAATAAAACATTTGCTTCTCATTTTTAGACATCAAATTGTCAATAAATTTTTTTGTGATAAAAAGAACTTTTGTTGTGAACTTTTGTAATTAAAAAAAAAATATTAATTTTTTTATTTATTTGAATTTATTTTAACAAATTTTTAAATTTAGCGCGCCATTATCTATAATTTGGATTTTCATGGTTGGTACTTGTACAATTTTGGTCGTATATGCCTAAACTTTTTTGTCCTTTTCTAACACACGTGTTCTTACGGCGTTTCTTATGTCATTATGATAGCAGAGACAAACTGTAAACAATGTCTAATTGTGTTAAAACTATTAAAAGTAATTTATAGTAATTCGCAGTGATTTTAAAGAAACTTCCATTCGACGCGTTTCAGGTACTCATATATTCAATCATTGACTCATCAACAGTGAAATACCTCTCGTGAATGGTATAAATAATTTAAAAAAAAAAAACTAGTTTTTTTCACGCAACTAACAGAACCATCATTGTAAATTATAAATATAATAAAAACTGATGGAAAAAAACATTCTTTTGATGGTAATAAAATATATCTCGTCCGAGTTAATAAAGTGTCAGAATAAATTAAAACAATATTAAAAAATTAATTATTGAGTAAATAATTATTTAAATTTATTAAAGTGTGCAGATTTAAATGGATGTAGTTTCTTTAAATTATTTACATCAATCATCAATATACTCTTAACAAGGTTTGACATATATGTCAACCTTGTTCATTATAAACATATAGAAAAAAAATGAACTCATTTTTGCTACACCTCATTATGAGATCTGCATCAAAATGAGTTAATAGGCAACTTCATGTTACTCAAAATGAACCTTAGGCTGTATCAGTTCATCGAGATATTTCGAGTTCGTGTATGACGTCTGATAACTGGAGGGAAAACAAACAAACGACACAATGTTATTCTTATGGGAAAAAAATTAATAATTTTGTAATTAAATAGAAATTTTGAGGTTAGGGATGTTTGTTTACTATATAGCTCATTTTATTATTTAATTTCGTTAATTTGCGTGTAAATCAACTTTAAGAATTAAAGTTTTTTTTAGGGCTATACGCTTGTTTATTAAGAACAATTATTTTATTTATAATATTTTTCTAAGTAATTATTTGTTATAATTTAACATTATAATCTCGAACTCAAAATGAATCTAACCGGGTTCCATTATCTATCTAATCATCTTCCACCTACAAACTTTTATTAGACAATAACTCGATTAAATTTTTTTTTAATAATTTATATTTTTCCCCCTGCTTTTAAAGCAATCAAGACAATGGGACAAAATAGTACGAGAAACTTATTTTTATAAAATTGTTCTTTAGAAGGTATCTAAAATTCTTTTATCATTTAAACTTGTTAATTTCATAAAACTATATATAGGAACTACAGGTGTTAGTTTTAAAAAATAGTATACATGAATAATACGTGTGTGATATAATTGCTTATATCTATTGGTTACGAATAAACTTATATAATGAAGGAAAATTCTATTTTTGATATAATATATTTTTTTTTCTCCCGAGAAATCGATTGCCCCTTTAAACAATATTATAATTAACGATTGAGTTTCTAAAATTAACCATTTAAACACCATTGAATTAAATAAATAATTATAATATATCCAAAATAAATTCAAAATAATGTTAATTATAATATAATGTTTTTGATCAAATCAGAAAAAATAATATATATTATTTAATTATATAATAATTATTATTATTACATAAAAATATTTTTCGTCAAATAGAAGAATTAAATAAATATTTATGTATTGTGTAATAGTAATTGTCTTGTAAAATATAATTATTTTTCTATCAGATATGACGGCAAATGGACAATAAAAACTTTTCAAATTGAAACTATAGAAATGTTATTATTATTTGTTAGGTAAAGTGCTTTGTGAAAAGTTTTAATGATTTTTACAAAATCGTAACACAACTGTAGCCCAACTTAAGATAATAACTGCTTTAAAAAAAAGACGGTACCTTGTCTTATATATGATAAAGATAATTAATATTGTTGATACACGTGGTTGCCTCAGTAGTTACCTTGGAAAGCAGCAGTTTTTTGTTTGCGAACAAATCCACCTTATCAGAGTAATGTCACTAATAAACCCACCTTGATTGACTTTCCGAAATGAAAGTTTCGAAAAAAAAGTTGGTTAAAAAGTAGTAGCTTTTTAGTTATATATGTTTTATATTATTCCACATATCTTCATCGAGAACAAATTGTTGACTTAAATAACCATATTTCTTCTTATTTAAACTCAGATTACTGAAATATACATTAAACCTATATACAGTATATATAATACGGGTTCCTCTTATTCAATAATTTTTCTGCTCACTGCATTGTTATTTTTTTGTATCATATGATTTATTTTCCTTTTACTACTGTTAATTATTTTTTCTTGAAACTTCGATTACTTGTTCTTAATTTCTGAAATTTATTTATATTTATAATAATTAAATCTAATTAGATGAAATAGATCCCATAATGATTCAGAAATTAGTAAATTGGTTTTAAGCGGTTCCTATATCGATTCCTATCTTATACTATTTTTATTAATCTATTGTGATTAATATATATATATATATATATGTCCAAATGTTAAACAAGTTGAAAAAACAAAATAATTATATTGATAAGTTATGGTTACTTATTTCTATTTTTGTTTTAAGAATTCTACCAAATAAAAATTACCTAAAAATTCTGTAATTAAAAATTTTTCAAAAAATAAATTCTGACAAATGTTAATTCGAAAAATGAAAATTCATCTAAAAAATAATTATATCTAATAAAATTATTGAAAATGAAAATTCTAACTAATGATTTTTATGAGATAATCATGCGTCTCGAATTATTGTATCTTTTGGTTTTGAAACAAGAAGGACTTTTGATTTTTGGAACAAAGAATTATTTGAACTTTTGATTTTTGGAATTTTTTTGGAACATTCGTTGGAAAGGTAATTTAACAAGCCTTTTAGCGTACGATAGATTAAAACTCTAAGGCCATTTCCGAATTGGGATTTTTAGCGCACTTTTAGTAAAGTGTATACTCGGGAAGTATATACAGTGTCCTTTTTTCGCACGGAAAAACAAGGACACTTCCCGAGTATAAACTTTATCAAAAGTGCAACAAAAATCCCAATTTGGAAACGGCCTAAATTGAAATGGCAGGGCTCGGCAGCTGAAAGAATTTTTGAGTTCTATTTACATGTTTTCGAAACGACTGCATGGCGCCTTTCGTCAGGTCAAAGCAATGTGCAGAAATATCTGTCCACTTGGCCTTCTAACAGGCCAAAGTAAATTTTTTTTGCAGGCCTGATCAGATGATTAAATGTCCTAAAAAGATTAGAAGAAGAAATTATTGCTTCGATTAATTGTTTCAAACGGTCAAAACACTGCATTAGATCAGCACTACCATCAAACTGTTGGATTAAAAGCATACTTATTAAAAGATTTTATTGATATTCATACTTATTAGAATACAAATTTTCACCACAAGGAAATTTAATTCATTTTTAGGGTTCCGTACCCAAAGGGTGAACCCTATTATTTAATAAACGATCCTTTAGTTATTTGTAAATCTAAATTCAAATGTATTCCTTTATAATTGTACATTGTTCTTTAATTTTAGAAATATTTTCTTTAAATTTATTTATACATTTAAATTTTTTGTTTCAGATAATAAAATTCAGAAATGGTTTTAATTAAAACATAATGTTTTCGTGCTTCCCAAGACCAAGTATTTTAAGCCAAAGGGGTAGTATTAATCTTACTCCCCTCCCCACTAATGAAAATTCGATTTCTACAAGCAGTTATCACATTGTAAGTATTTTTATTATTTAAATTATTACAGTTGAAAATTAAATTTATAAATATTTAAATTAATCTTAAATAATAACAACTATTTATTACCTTATTGTTTTTAAATGTTTATTCCTTGATTTTTATTATTAGATATTTGTGTATATATAGTACAAAATATTTCATTCAGAAAAATAAATATACATATTCTTAGGAATGTTATCCCAAAGTTCCAGTGGAATATTACGGAAATATGATATAAATATTTTGTTCTATTGTGATTTATTTTATAAATTATGTACTTTTCTTTAAAAGAATTTTAAAAAAATATTTTTATACTTCTTTTTAAAACAACAAAGTTGGAAAAAGACAAAAATGACGAATTCCAGAACGGAAATCCAAGAGAACCAGTTGCAATGAACTACAAGCATTCTAATGATTCACACCTCTATATTAGTGTAGTGAGTAAATTTTTACAATTTCAGCGTATCTACCAAATATTGTTGATACCAGTAATAATGCTTATATGCTAATCAACTAATGCATTATTTATTAAAAATATGAATCATCCTAATACTTTTACTAACAATGATTTGTAGTAGGGGAAGATGGGACAAGGATAGTTAAGGGGTAAGGATAGTTAGTTACTGTTATGCTTAGACGGCATGCTCAAAATTTGCGTCATTCATGGTATATTTGCGTCTTAACACCAATAGATGATAGTAAAAATTGGAAGTCAATCTGCCACCAATTGCGAAGCCAGCAGTTTATTTTTGTAAAAAGTCTGTTTTGCTAAAATGTCAACGTCCCAGGTGCGAATTTCGGTCGGCCGCCAGAGATGGTTGGTCGGCCCATGGTCGGTCCAACTAGGGCTGCAGTGAGTCGGCCGCCCTAGTTGGGCCGACTATGGGATCGTCGGTTAACATGACTTGTGATTTAGCAATCACAGTTGGGATATACTTTAAAGAAAATGGTGATTAATAAAACTGTGGCAGCCAAAATATTAAGAAACCCACTTCTTAAGGTGGTACATGCGCGATAGCACTTTTCTATAGAATTCGATGAAATTGAAAATCTTAACAGTTAATAGCGAGATCTACATATTCTCAAAGTTTTAAAAAAATTGACCGTTTCTGAAACGAGATATACATGTTAAAAGTTTGATACTTTAACATGGTTAACCTATAAAGAGTGCACAAAAACGGCACATTTCTTTCAGTAACTTCTAAAATGTACTATAGATTTATTTGAAAAACTAAGATATTATAAATAAATATTTAAAGAATTTAAACGAAAAGGAATTAACAATATTAACCGTTTCATTTAAGATATATATATAAGTTTAAAAAATAATAATTTTAACGTTAGTGAAATGGCAAGTCATACATGTGGCAACGTCGCTTTATAAAGCTCTCAATGCAAGCTCTTTAAAAATAGAAAAGTGCGCGAAAAATTTGAAAAATGGAAAATAAGGGACTGATGATTAATGTTGCAAATGTTGTTTATTTAGTAAAATTAATATTATTGTAGTACTCTCTAAATCTGAATTAGTAAAAAAGTTTACTATTTTAAATTAGTGACTCACTTTTTGCTTCTCAATTAGTAAAATTCTACTAATTATTAGTAACTTTTACTAACAATTAGTAAAATTTAACTAATTCTAAAGCAAAAAGTGAGTCACTAATTTAAATTAATAAATATTTTTACTAATTTAGATTTAGAGAGTATATAACAAATTGATATATCTTTTCTTCACATTGATAATTCATATTATAAGTTAAAACAATATAAATGACGGTCACACAATTAAAAAATCATCATATGAAGCAAACAACTTTTCATATTAATGTTGATAATATATATTAAACAAATAATATTCACAATGCAATAAATATTCGTATTTAAAACTCTTGTTTCTTTCAAATTTTAAATGTTTATCAATAATTATAGTAACAGACAACTTTGAATAGTAAAGTCGATAATTTACCCTGAGTGTTTCCACTTTTTGACATAACCTTGACGTCAAGGGTAACCTCCATCCATTGCACATTAGAATCGCTCACTGCAATGGTTGGAGGTTCCAGTGTATCTCCAAGTTTTTGTACTTTTTTGTTAAATAAATAAAGTAGAGTTTGCTCTCAGTTAAGTAACCAACTCACCAAAAATAATATTACTAGTTGTTTCCTACGGCGACAACAATAAGTTCAAATTTTATCCTATTAAATAGATGACTTTTCTTTTTTTCTAAATTTATCTACTCATTCACTAACATCTAACAAGTTACTTTTTGATTATTTTACAATTGCTACATGTAATACAAAAAATAAATTTCAGATACGATCTCACCCAGAACCTACGGTTTTAAATGGAACAGGACCGCCTTCGAATTCCAAACTTGTAAATTTATCTTCTCCTTCGACACTATATATTAGTCCCAATGAGGAAAGAATTGAAAGCCAAGATGATCGGCTATCTTCACCACCTCTTACACCTGAATGGGAACATCCCCCAAGTAATCCTAGGGGTGGTGTTATTGGGAGGACACCTACACCTCCATCTGCACCCACACCTGTCTACGAAAAGGATAACAGGTATGTAAACATTATTTTATTATAAATAAGTTCACTTTCTTTACTTGCCCAAACAGCCCTACTGAAAATCCCTGTACATGATCTTGTACAATTTTTTGTACATGAACACGTCCATGTTCTTGCAACATGTTAATTCATGTTTTTCTTTACTAAAAATTAAAAACTTCAAAGGCTGCGCAATAGTTTACTTTAACCTTTACAGCTGCGCAATAGTTTTTAGCATGCATGAGTTACGAATCTTAGTGGTTAAAAATTATCAAAATCTCAAATTTTATTAAAAAAAAAAATTTTACAACTATACATGTGCAAGAACATGAACGTGTTCATGTACAAGTACTTATACATGAAATTATACAAGATCATGTACATTTTCTTGTACAAGTATCTTTCTTGTACATATCTTGCACCAGATCTTGTACAAGATCTCACACATGAACTTGTTCCAAATTCGTATGCATTTTCTTGTACAGGAACTGGTCAGAACTTGTACAAGTTCAGTTGCTGATCCTGTACAGGAAATTGTACAAGATCTTGTACAGGGATTTTCAGTAGGGAGAGAATTCCAATTAATTAAATTCCATTAACAGTTCTACCTCATCATAATATAATAATAATTTGTTTTGAAAAAGTGTTTTCTTTAGATTACATAATTATTACGAAACATGTTTTTGAGTTACTATTCTTCTTCACCATCATTGAATTGAAATTATTCTATGAATTATTAATTCACATTTATTCATATTCATATAATTATGAATTATTCTATTATGAATTTTGTTTATGAATATTGTAGTTTCATATAATATTATATTGATATTTAACGAAAGGTCTAAACAACAAATCAAAAGAGCAATTTTGGAAAATGAATTTCTGGGCAATCTTGAAGAGAACCAAGTGGAAGCTCTTGTCTCTGCAATGTACCCTAAGCAAATACCTTCGAATACTCTAGTTATATGTGAAGGCGATATTGGTTAGTACCATCTTTACACATTTAATTGTATTTAATTTAAAATAACTTTTTCAAAAATATTATCCTTTTAACTGTAATTAACATATATAGACATAAGTTGTACTGTATACCCCACTGAAAATTCCCACATAGGCTCCCATATGGGAAACCACATGGGTCCCTATATAGGAAGCCATATGGTTTCCTATACAAAATCGTATACGTAATTGGAACAGGAATTTGAATAGGAAATTAAGTTGGAATTATCATATTAATCCACACACGGAGAGAAATTTATGCTACTGGGTAACATAATGATGTTAAGGGCAACCATATTTAGTGCTAAATATACAGACAGCGATATATATTGTAGTATTTACTATCAGATTATTATAGAAATTTGATTGTACAATTTCGATAAGAATTTAAACTTTAAACTTTTTACATAAAAAAGAGTATGTCTATTTTTTCACTCCGTCTATAAAAAGGACTTGCTTAAACAAATATATTTATCAAACGGTATATTTTTTTCACAGAGTCAATTGAATTTGTATTATTTTACTAATTTTTAAGTTTAAAAAAGTAAGAAAAAATATGAAAAAATTTTTTTTCCAAAAAAAAATTTCAATAAACACATGTACATTTATACAAACGAAAAAAAAACTTACTTGATTTTTGTAATCTTGAAATTTTTTAAAAAATTTTAAGCGAGGTTCTGGTTTTGGTATAATGAGTGATATTGTATCATTGTTCAGTAAGTAAAACGATTCTTCATCAATTTCACCGTCTAAACAACGCAAAATTGTTTTGAGGTTATAAACACGTTCACACTTCAGTTTTCGCTAATTCAATCAAAATAATAAACCTAAGTACCTCCAAAAGATGGAATCAAAGATTCCATATTCCACGACATTAATAAATTTTTAATAAACTCGTCCATTTTTTTATTCACAACTTTTTTCACTATATATAAACACGTGCGTGAAAACACAAGGACCGCAATTGAATAGGCGAAGTATACACCACAATCAGCGCATGCGCTCACATTTAATTTTTACAATATTTGATAGTAGTGACTAAAATCCAAAAGCTAACATATTTTACGTCTTTGGGTAACATCTTGGATAGTAAAATGTTGATAGTAGATTCTTGTCAGTAACACAATGATAGTACCTTGTACAATCTTTCTTTTTACTATCAAATTCTTACTATCCATTTCTCTCAGTGCATCCACACAGGAATGTACATTCCTATGTATATTCCTATTTCAATTCCTATAATATTTTTTTTTAACTCTAAGATATATATCTTTCAATAGTAGAGGTTCCTGATAGACTACAGAGATGAAAAAAATTTATTGCGCAGCCGAAAAAGTTGAAGAAAACTACTGCGCATGATATTAAGATATAATGTGCATTCATATGATAATTCCTACTTAATTTCCTATTCAAATTCCTGTTCCAATTACGTATACGATATTGTATAGGAAACCATATGGCTTCCTATATAGGAGCCTATGTGGGTTCCTATATAGGAGCCTATGTGAGAATTTTCAGTAGGGTATAGCACAATTTATATCATGCATTTAAAATGTTTCACTAATTTTTTTATTGTAAGTAAAAATAAAATTTTTAAATACTTTATAAGTTTTAAAATAATTTAAATTGTAAATTTTACAATTGTTTGTTTCAAAATGATTTTAATAATATAGTTCTTGTATATTATTTAAAGAAAATATATATATGTGACCGTCCACGACAACACAGAAAATTATAAGGTATTAAAATAAGCTGCAACGCTTATTATTTTCATATAATTTTGCTTATTTTAATACCAAAATGGATTAAAATAATCAAAATTGGATTAAAATAATAAGCGTTGCAGCTTATTTTAATGCCTTTTAATTTTCTGTGAAAACAAGGCTTAGCTCCCAAAAGTAAATTTCACAGGGCAAGCGATTGAAGTAGAAGCAGAAACCAGGAACACGCTTGACATGCCCGTCTTTAGAACGTTATAGTGTCAAAAGTAATTGACATAAACAATTTCTGATTTTTGCATGTGAAAGAGCAACTTAAAATCTATCGATTATTTAGCATCAAAAACTCAAAATTGATTTTTTGGGAGGTAAACCTTGTTTTGTCGTGGACGGTCACATATTACAAAATAAAATTTATTAATAAACCATCATTATAAAATTACTTTTAAGTGTCGAGTCTGAAATATTGACAGTACTATGAAATTTCCATTGATATTAGATATAATTACTTACAATTAATTATTTAATAGGTTCACATCTTTATGTTTCTGCTGAGGGTGAATTTGATATATACGAGGGTAGTAAGTTTCAAAGAAGTTTTGGGCCCGGAGTTGCTTTTGGTGAATTAGCACTTCTATACAATACTAAAAGACTACGTTCCATCAGTGGTAAAAAATTTTCTTCTAATGCTTTTTTATAATTTGTCTCATTTTTCAATAGTTTTAGATAAAAATGTTAAAATTCATCAATTTTACAATTGAAAAATAAGCATTTTAAATCTATTAATTATTTTTAGTGAAGAAAGGTGGTAAAGTATGGGTTCTAGACAGATCTGTATTTTTGACTGTGATGATGAGAAGCGCTCAGGATCGATTAGAAGGAAATATTCGATTTTTGAGACAAGTCTCTGTTCTGCAAAAACTTCCAGAACCAAAGGAGCCAATTCTAGCAAAAATTTCCGACTTACTGCGAATTGTAAGTTTTAATAATATTTTTTCATTTTTTGCAATAACACCCACTTTATTTACCTGTTTTAAGTGTGCTAAACTGTGTATTATTTCACTCGAGGCGCAATTTTCATTTACTTCACACAAAAGAGTGTAACAATGAAAGAGAAGGTGGCCTCGTCATGTATATTACTTCACGCAAAGTATAAACTGTAAAAAGAAAGTACTAAAATAGTACAGATTTTTGGTCTCAAAATAGAACCAAATGACAATTTATTACTTAAAATAGGTATTAATACCTTTTGTTTTATAGTGTATGTATCAGTCGGTAATAGTTGCGACATCTATGGCATACGAAAGATCGTTTTTTTTGAACTGACAAAAAGTGTAAATATTTTGAAATAGGTGTAAGTAAGTGCCGTGTAATAAAAATTATAATATCAGATATTACGTTTGGTGTAATTTTTGTGATTTTCTACCCAGTGGGCAAAAAACCATGTTCGTTCTAAAAACGTTTTAAGGACGTTTTTAGAACGTTTCATGTCCGACAAAGAATGTTTAGGAACATTTTAAGAACATAGATGTTTAAATAATGTTCCAGAACAGTATTTGGCAGACATGAAACGTTCTAAAAACGTTCTTAAAACGTTTTTAGAACCATCATGGTTTTTTGCCCACTGGGTAGTGACGTTTTCTCATTCCATAAAAATGCTGATTACGAACAGGAAATATGAAATTTTGTTAAATTGTGAAAAAGATAAATTTGACAGGCAGGCTGTATAGTGTTGATCTATTACCATATGATTTAGGCTGTTTTTGTGGTTCGCGCTATGAGCATAAGTGCATCTTTTTAGAAAGAAAGGTAGAAAAAGTTTACTTATTTACTCAGCTCGATCTCAAAATCATATGGTAAGTCATATGATAATAGATCAACACTATACTTCTACCTGTGAAATTGATCATTTTCACACTTTAACAAAATTCCATATTTCCTGTTCGCAATCGGCATTTTTACACTTAAGATTAATCACTTGTTCATTTATAATGCCAACTCAAATCAATAAACGTAAATTCAAACGATTTAGGTGAAAAGAATTCAAGATAAGAAAAAAAGAATTCACCGTAACGTCCAATTCGGTTTCGCTTACTCCCAATTTTTTTTACTGAGATTGTAATTAAGTGAATTATACAAAATATATGTGTAACAATAATAGAAGATTATTTTCATAAAATGAACATTGATTTAGATACTTTGGTAAGAAAAATTCATGTTTCTCTTACCGTAATTTAAAAATTCGAGTTTTGTTCGATCATCGAGATATTTCGATACTTTTTTCATATGCTTTGCATGCACGGTCTTTTTTTAAAAATACAAAGAAAGGATATACGTCCCTCTTTTCACATATATCGGTAAATTGTCAAGATATTTCTATACTGTTATAAAATTTCAATTTTCATCCGTTTGCGGACTGCGACGATAAATACATTTCACATTAAATGTAAATTGTAAGCTGCATAAGATGTTCTTAAAATCTGCGGACTTTATCTCTATAAGTATTTCCATTATGTTCAAAAAAAAATTTTTTAATTAAATTTTTGGTTTATATTTTTTATTTAAACTCTATAATATATGTCTTTTCAAACATTACAAACGCTTTAGAATATTTAAATAACAAAACAAATTTATAATACTATAATGGTGCATTTCAATGAGATTTATACCATCGAACAATGACAAATTTCTCCTGCAATCTCATATCTATCCATTTTTTTCATATATCATTTTATATGCGTTTCGATTTTGAAGTAAATTGTAAGCTGCGTAAGATGTTCTCAAAATCTATGAACGCGATAAATTTTATTTTATTTCATCAAAAAAAAAAAAATATATATATATATATGGGACGTTTCGCGCCAACCGGGCCACCTATCTCTCCAAAATTGAGAGCTTTCAAAATTATTGATTATATATAAAAATTATTTGTATATATAAGTACTTTTGAAAAATGAGTGGCCTTTTGAAAAATCCAATATGGCGGCTGAAATATAACCCATAAAAGAATGAAAAACAGGAAAGATGGTTACAAACATATAAATAAAAATGAATATAATGAAGAAAACAGCTCTGCATCGACATAAAATTCATCACTTAAGAATAGACAATATATACCATAAGTGAAAATAATAAATTTACCAAATCCAAAATGGCGGATCCAATATGGCGGACTAAAATTTTTAAAAGTAATTGGAATCACTTGAGACTTGCCACTAAGGGGTTTTTGGGGTCGCTGATAACGAATCTGAAGTCATTTTTCTAAAATTCAAAATGGCGGATCCAATATGGCGGACTAAAATTTTTAAAAGTAATTGGAATCACTTGAGTCTTGCCACTAAGGGGTTTTTGGGGTCGCTGATAACGAATCTGAAGTCTTTTTTCTAAAATTAATTATGGCGGATCCAATATGGCGGATGAATTTCAAAGAATTAATCGAAATCGCGTAAAAGTCGTTACTTGGGGGTTTTAGGGGTCGCTGTTTACAAATCTTATCTTACTTTTATTGAATTACATTATTTTCTTAAGTAATTGTACCGTCGACATTGGCGTTACCCGATGTACACCGCGGGGAGGTTGCACGATCGGTTTTGTACATCATATAGCCCTTAAAAGGGCTGTTTGGTAGAGGTGCCTGAATTTTGAAAAAAGATTAAGATCTAAATCAGCGTAACAGCATTTATTATTAATTTTTTTACATTTAATAATGTTAGCTCCAGAATATCGTAACACCTGTAATTTTTTTCCAGGAAGTACTTTAAAAGCATGTCCACTCTGGATTTTTGTGACTTGTGGAGCTTTTGAAAATCGCTTAGCCAGATGTCTTTGGGTTTTTTGATGCTTCTTCTGATCATAATAAAAAAATGTAATTTCTTTAAATTTTTCTTTTGCCCATTTAAAAAGATCTACTGAGTTAAGAATGGCTTCTGTTGATTTTGCCTGAAGACTTGCTCGAGTAGCTTCTCTTTTCAGAATAGCACCCAACCCATCACAGGCTCCTTTGCCATGAGCTGTCGCATGGAAATACCATTCTGCTTCAATTCCAAAATCTTGTTCATGATGCACAAGATTACTCATTTGAAATCTATTTTTGTAGTGCTGTTTAGCCCCATCAGTGAAATAAATAATTTTTCGAACATTAGGAACGATTTTTCTTATTTCGGGTATGAGTAATTCTTGCATCATGTACACAGCAGCAGTATCATGAGTTGTACTTTCAGAAAGTAAGATTGTACTTTTGTGCAAAAGTTCCTTTCCATTATTATAATAGAAGACTACAGTGTTAACAGAACACTGGTCATTATTATAATGGAAAGCTTGCGCAGCGTCTTGTGCAACGTAAGCATAATTCTCTGCGAAATCACATTGAACTATTACTTCGTGTGGCTGCAAGTTATTTTTTAGTTCAAGGGGGAATTTCGACTGGTTCTTTGAAATAAAATCATGAGGCAGTAATATTTCCAAACGGTTGGACATCTCCTGTACAAAATCTGGCATAGATAGGCACTGTTTTTTTAATGTACATCTATCGGTAGCTTCCCACGTGCTATAAATGATTTCTGAAATACCTCTTTGTTCGAATAATTCCATTAAATAATTAGAGAATAATTCAGGGTTTGGACAAAGCTTGCACTCTCTTAAAAAGCATTCCTCTTTTGGCCTTTTACACATTATTAACTGGAAGCAATCTTTATAATTTTTCAATGATATGTCCAGATCATTCGTAAGTTTTGCAATATTTGCTGCATCGAACATCATCTTGAAATTTTGATGAATAGTACAGACACAAACACTGTGTGTACCATTTGCACCTGCACGTATACAGTTCTTAGGTCGAAGTTCAGCAAATGTTGTAAAACCAATTGGATGCTCTGGATTCTGTTCCTTAAATTGTTTGTGTAGACATTTTATGTCACAAAGTAACAATCGTTTCTGCACCTTTTCTTTTCGCCCTTCATTATATACAGTAACTGTTTCCTTTTTATGCGGCATTATTCTACTGTTGATATCATTTTCATAAAATTCGAGAACTTTCTCTTTCGTCTTTTCAGGTAAGCATCTTCCAACTTTTGAGGATGGCATAGCTAAAACACCTTCCAGTTTTCTTATGTTTTTAGCTTTTTTAGCCATTCTTCGAGATGCCCCAAATTCCTGAGAGATTTTACGAGCACTCCAGCATTCAGGAGCTATCGTAAGTATTGTAACACGATGTGGATCATTTTCGGCAAGAGAAACGAATTTTTCCTTTAACCCATTTAACATCTCTTCTAATTCATTCTCTCTAGTGAAACGCGTCTTTTTACTTGAGGAAGATTCTTCTTCGATATCAGACTGCTCTGAATCAAAACTAATTTTACTGTTCAATATTTCACTCGAAACATGCTTTTTTGTAAACATGTCTCTACACATTAAACAAACTTTTGCATTTTCATTTAAGTTAGGAAATTCTTTCAAAATTAATTTTGAAATTTTTCGCAAACCCTTACCAATATGTCCCTTTTCATTAAAGGGATTCACGCACCTATCTGAGCGAGTTTTTTCTCTCAAAGTACTCATTTTTTACTTTTTTGACACCAATAAAAAAATCAGCGATAATTAATCGGAACAGGAGATAAACAGTTTAAAAAAACTATTTATTTTAGTCCTCAAAAGGACTGATTGAAATATACGTTCAAATTGAAAATTCAGTATTATGATAAAAAATCTGAAAATAAAAAAAAAAACAAAAAAAAAGTAAAACGCTAATAATAAGAAAGACTGAAATTCAAATCAAATATGAAAATAAAAAAATGAAGTAAGAAGAACAGTATACGCATCAACTATTAACCACACAGAAAAAGAATGTTCACCAAAGTGCTTCTATTTATCATATGGAAGTTGCGTCTCTATAGTGAGAAAGAAATGGATTCATTTATCCTCGACATCTAGCGTTAAAAAAAGTAACTAAATTTCTTGCTTGAGCATATTGTATGCACACGTCATAGTCTAAATAGAATAATAACTCGATAAATCTTTTCAATATTTAGCTCTAAAGTGTTTTCTAGATCGCTGGATACGTATCTAATTTATTAATTTTACGATAAACTTTTCATTTTTTTAAACAATTTATTATTGATTATTTATAGCATATTCAAAAAAAACTAGAAATCAACAAATTTCTATGAAATAATTAACTTTTTAGTACCACATAGTATTAAATTAATAATCCAAATAAGAAATTCAGTTATACTGCTCAAAACTACTGCATAAAATTGTTTTAATAAACAATTATTGTTATGTTTTAACTTTTTACCCATTTTAGAAAAAAGACTTCAGATTCGTTATCAGCGACCCCAAAAACCCCTTAGTGGCAAGACTCAAGTGATTCCAATTACTTTTAAAAATTTTAGTCCGCCATATTGGATCCGCCATTTTGAATTTTAGAAAAATGACTTCAGATTCGTTATCAGCGACCCCAAAAACCCCTTAGTGGCAAGTCTCAAGTGATTCCAATTACTTTTAAAAATTTTAGTCCGCCATATTGGATCCGCCATTTTGGATTTGGTAAATTTATTATTTTCACTTATGGTATATATTGTCTATTCTTAAGTGATGAATTTTATGTCGATGCAGAGCTGTTTTCTTCATTATATTCATTTTTATTTATATGTTTGTAACCATCTTTCCTGTTTTTCATTCTTTTATGGGTTATATTTCAGCCGCCATATTGGATTTTTCAAAAGGCCACTCATTTTTCAAAGTACTTATATATACAAATAATTTTTATATATAATAAATAATTTTGAAAGCTCTCAATTTTGGAGAGATAGGTGGCCCGGTTGGCGCGAAACGTCCCATATATATATATATATATATATATATATATATATATATATATATATATGATGTTTACAAAATTGTCGCAAAACTGATAGAACGGAATAAACATATAATAAATAAATAAAACAAAAAGCCGGGAACGAAAATATTTAGAGAAGAGTAGTCAGGGTTGGACAGTGGTTAGAGTTGAGCCAACGCGTTTATTTTGTTTTCTCACACTAGCACCATCTGTCTTTATATGTAAGTACTTGTTAGCTATATCAGCGAACTTTTCACTTATGTTGCAGTGAAGTGAGCGAACAATAAAGGCGTATTATATGAGTCAGTTTCAAAAAAAGACAATTAAGTGCAGAAAAAACCCATGTGCGAAATGCCAAGACTGACAATACGGCCCAACATTGACCCAGTAATGTCTGCCGAAGTATGGCAAACGTTACTGGACCAGTACTGGCGATCAATTCGTTCCATTATTGGGCCAATATTGGCACCAATTCTCAGTTACTCTAATTTGCCATTTATTGGGCCGAACTCTGTCCCATTACTGGGCCAATATTGGCAATGCATCTCAGTTACTCCAATTTGCCATAATTAGGCCGAAATCTGTCCCATTATTGGGACAATATTTGCACCGTTTCTCAGTTATTCTAATTTGCCATTATTGGGCCTTCTCTGTCCCATTACTGGGCCAATATTGGCAATGCGTCTCAGTTACTCCAATTTGCCATAATTAGGCCGAACTCCGTCCCATTATTGGGACAATATTGGCACCGTTTCTCTATTATTCTAATTTGCCATTATTGTGCCTTCTCTGTCCCATTACTGGGCCAATATTGACACTGCGTCTCAGTTACTGCAATTTTCCATAATTGGGCCGAACTCCGTCACACTACTGGGCCAATATTGGCACCAATACTTGGTAATTCTACTTTTCCATAATTGAGACGAACTCTGTCCCATTCCTGGGTCATTATTGGCTCATTGACGGCTGAAATGTTGAATTTATTTTGACAAGTCATTTTTTCCAAAGTTGTAACGAATCTTGGCCCAGTAATGGCACATTAACGGCTGAAATGTTCCTCAAATGCAGCTTATCAAAACATTTTTGTGTTGAGATTCCCATATCCGCGTATAGTGTAGTGGCTAGCGTGTTAGACTTCGGTGCGTTAGGTTGCGAGTTCGATTCCCGCGAGCGTTACAAATTTTCAAATGTTTAAACAATTATCCTTTCTGTCAGGACTTGAATTATAAATGTATAATGAATTAATTGGTTAATTAATTAATTATTATAATTTTTTAAACTTTGACAATACTGGGCCACTAATGGCAGCCAAGATTGGCCCAGTAATGACGTCTGATACTTGGCTGCCGACGTCCAACCGCAGTTAACACCACAAGAGTTGGCCCAATATTGTCTGCCAAGACTTGGTGCCCGATTTGACAATGCTGGGCCAATATTGGCCCATGTTGATTTTCGCACATGGGAATATGTCAAAGATAAAGTAAGTTGACTAAAATTGTTCATTAATATGTTATGTGAAAATGTGGAGAGTAATTTGGTGTTTGTATCACGCGTTTATGTTGTGTGTGATATGACGCTAAACGACGTGGGAGTCAGGGTTGAGCCACCCAAAATTTTGCAATTATAAAGCGTTCTTGCAATGTAAATTCATTTTGTCTACTTAAAGAGGTGTCAAAAACTTCATTCTCATTGGAAAGAAATTTTTAAATCGCGATCGCTTTTAAATTTGTATAAAAAAAGTAGTTTGTTTCTTAATTTGCAAAATATATATTTTCGGGAATGTTTGAAATTTTAAAAAACGCGATCGCTGTTAAATTTTTATGCCTAGATCAAATAAACGTCATCGAATGAAGACTATAATAAGGTTAGAGAAATATTTTATATAAATAATAATTACATGCAATTCTTTTTAACAAAATTTTTAAATATTCAATTCTTTAAAAAAAGGGTAAAGTAGAAAATGAAATTTTTTTAAATTTTCAGTGGCTGTTCAAAATGCAAAAATTTTGTAAACATCTTTTAATTTCAAGAATAATAAAAAAATTATATAATTAAATAAATAATACATTATTATAGAATGCATAAAATAAACTAATAATAATAATTAATAAGTTTACCTTGATAAAAGTATCGTAAGTCATAGGAATAACAGATCCACTCGTTATAATTATTGGATCACTTGCGCGTACACAAATTAGAAGAAGTTCATGTTTTGTATTCCTTGTTAATACTGTCCAGTCCATCATACTCAAAACTTTTACTAGTTTCAAACTCTGGTTTTATAACAAATAAAAATTAAAATTTTTTTTAATAATATGAAATTAATAAAAAATAAATGTAATTTTTAATATTAATAAAAAATAAATATAATTATTAATATTAATATAAAATTTATTAATAATGTAAAATTAATAAGAATTAAATTAAAATTAACAACTACAGTCGGGTTGCATTACTGTACATTGTACAAATTGTACAAATTACATATGTGCATTAAAAATTAATTTTTAAAAATTCTCCAATGATTTCTAATTTTTGTACTTGTAGACTATAAATTATGCGGTACGAAATTAGGCAGCGCCAGTGTACAATGCGGCGGACTTTGAAAATAAAACAAGCGTACAATTTGGCGGCATCGTACAGTATTGCGATCCGACTGTGTAATATAGTTACATATTATTATTTTTTTACTTATATATACATACTTTTATCATAACTTCATTTCCAAAATGACAATAAAGAAATATTTGAAATAAAAATGTAATTAACGATAAACATTGAGCAATAACTCTGTCATTAATTTCATTCTTGTTAGATAAACTAAAGACAAAAGTACAAATATTTAAAATTGATCCAAAAAATTGAATACCAATTACAATACTAAAAATATCGTTTAATTTACTACTTAACCTGTAATTTAAATTAATATATTAATTAATATTACTATTAATAGCTCTGCCGCCCCAACAAGAATAGCAGTAACTACATTTTTATAAAAAATGAGTTTCAGTGTTTAAATTCCTTAAAATTTCATTTAATGCCATTATAAACAATTATTAAGATGATTTTTGTTTTTATTATTAATAATTTTTGAAAAATAATTTGCCGTAAGTAACCAGACCACACCAACATATCGTAACTGCAAGGTGGATTGTGCGCCTGCGCAGAATGCAGTTACGATAGTCAAACAGCAGAAAAATTTTAGTAGATACGATCCACGATTGCGCATGATATACCGGCCGGCTTGACGTTTTTTATAGGTTATGTTTTTATGCCAAACGTGATTATGTAGTTTTAATAATTATAATTTCAAGTTTATTACTATAACTTAGGCAGATTTAAATATGAAACCGTTATCAAAGAAATCTAGTCACATTCGGGTGTTGAAAGAAAATGTATCACATTGTGAAGAGCAATTTGAAGCTGTAGATCTCTCTGTTAATCTGTCGAGCTCAACTGAAAACGAAACACCGATTAAGAAAAAGACTGTTGCTTATCAAAGCGATAATTGGAAGGTTCTTAACCTTAAACGTGAATCTGGCAGTCTTGAAGAGCGTAGTGTATTTTCTGATTTGACAAATAATTCTGGTATTCCAAAAAAGAAACCGAAAGTAGTGTCTAATGAACGAGTTGAAATGTAAGTATACAATTTAAAACCATTAACCTTATTACCGATGCTAAATTTATTGAGAATATTTATTGTTTTTATAGATCACAAAACAAGTTGCTTGAATTAAAAGGTAAATATGTAGGAAACACTGAAAGTAACCTTGTGCACTTAGATGACAGTCATAATGAATCATTGATTTCCGAGCATCAATCCCCAGAGACAAACCAGAAAGTATTTGACCAAGATTCTTCAGAATTAATTGTGAATTTAAATAGCGATAATGAAGAGGAATTGTTGAGAGAGAAAAAAATAACGTCAGAAGAAAAATACGCTGTAAAAAGTGGCTGTGACGATAAGTGCAAAAAGAAATGTTTACGTACATTTGACGAACAAAATAGACGGTCAATAAATTTGCAATATTGGTCATTGGATAGTAAAGGCAGACGTTTTTTAATTCAAAACTTACTGTCTATTACTGAAGTTCAAAGAAGAACTTGTTCAACAGTATCACGACGTTTAAACACAGTAAAATATCGTCTGAAGGATGTAAATGGTGAATTTGTCGAAGTGTGCAAAACTTTTTTTTTAGCAACATTAGGATACGATAGAAAAAACGACGCAATAATAAAATGTTTAATGCCAAAAAACGAAATTATTCCGAAATATGATAAACGACGCAGATTTGCGAAAAGCTTGGATAAGGAAACAATACGTAGTTTTATAGAAACTTTCAATCCAGCGGTATCTCATTATAGAAGAAAACACGCGCCTAATAAGAGGTAATTTATTAAAAAATTGCTGTTGCATTATGTTCAGGGTGTTATGCAATTCGATAATTTAAAATTCCCGGGTTTTAAAATAATTTCAATTTTAAACTAAAATTGAACAGTAATGAAGTGTATTTTTTCAAACTACATAAAAAGGCATTAAAAATACATAAATTGTCGTAAGATCTTTTATTGTTTTTTCAAATGATTAAAAGTTTCTCTAAAAAATCAAAATTTGACTTTTCTTTTGAAATTCTAAAATACTTGTAACTATTTTTCAAAATCGGCATAAGCATTTTTTTTAATAATTAAAGTAGTATAAAAAATTTAAGATTAATTTTAGTTTTATTTTAGTATACAAAATATAAAAATATCGTTTTTGTTTTGTAGATATAAATAAATAAATAAATAAATTAAAATTAATAAATAATAAATTAGTTAACAAGGAAATAAAGGTAAGATGATTCTGAAATGACCAGATTAAATATCTGATTTCAACGATCCCAATATGAAATATTTTGCATTAATAGATTTATAAAAAACAATCAATAAAAGCAATTGATTAACAAAAATCTATTAATCCAAAACAATTCATAATGGGCACATTGAATGAGGAATTTAATGAGCTTTAAATTAGTATTTTTAAAATTAACGTAAATTTATGTGTTTGTGAAATATTTAATTTTTATTAACTTTTATTAATTAATTAATTTACCTAAAAACAAAAAATGAGATTTTCATACTTATAGTGCGTACTAAAAGTATATATTTTAAGCCTTCCTAAGAAAAAAATATTTTAAAAAATCCCACTCTTGAAAAAAATCAAAATTTTTTTTTGTTTTTCAAACGAAAGGTTAAAAAGTGTTTGAAAAAAATTGTAATTTTATAATATTATATAAGAAAAACATTATGAATAAAAAATTTACGGACTTGACAAAACATTCCCAGTTTTTTCCCGGCTGAACTAAATTCCCGGGGTTTTTCTAGATTTCATGGTTTGCTATAAACACCCTGATGTTATTATGTTTTATTTTTTACAGCATGTAATAAAAAATTTTGTCTGTACAGGTATTTACCTTCAGATTTGACTATACAGTATTTACATGCTCAGTTCTTAGAAAAGTACCCCGACATGAAATGTTCGCTTGAATCGTTCAGAAAAATTGTTTCCGATGACTTAAATATTTCATTCACCAAACTTGGAAATGAAGAATGCGAACATTGCGTATCTTATGAGATGCATAAGCAAAGTCATAATGATAGGAATGATGATCGTCGAACAAAAGAAAATGCTTCTAAGGATAAAATCGAAGAATCAATTGGAACTTCTAATAACTTGTCAGGTAATACCTCGAATACGTCGGAAGATAGTATTTTAACTGAGAATGTACACATTAACAACAATGATAGTAGAGAAAAATGCCGTGATTGTTTGAAATGGGAAAAGCACATGATTCAAGCAACTGAAGCTCGTGAAAATTACAGATTAGATGGGAATTCTGAAAATTTAAATGATAAAAATATGTGTTTTTCAATTGATCTCCAAAAAGTTATAATGCTTCCTCGTATGAATAGCATAAAAAAAGTTTTGTTTACAAAAAGAGTTATAGCTTTTAATGAAAGTTTTGTTCCTGTGGGCAACAATCAAAAGCATTTAAAACCCCATGCAGTAATTTGGGCCGAACCTATTTCAGGGCGAAAGAAAGAGGATATCACAAGCACATTTCATGCATTTCTTCTAAATAATCGCGATGCCGAGGTTATTACCTTATGGCTTGACAATTGTACTGGCCAAAATAAAAATTGGACCCTGTTCACGTTTCTAGTTTATATTATTAATTCAGATGAGATCGCTACTAAAGAAATAACTTTAAAATATTTTGAGCCAGGACACACGTTTATGTCTGCTGACAGTTTTCACCATCAGGTGGAAAAGTCCATGGAAAAAATGCACAACGTTTACGATTTTAATGATTTTCAACAAGCTGTACAGTCTGCGAACTCTGGAAAAGTTAAAGTTATAAATATGAACTTTGAAGATTTTTCTCAATGGAGAGATCACTCGTCTCAATATAAATTGAAAAAACTGAAACCAAGGGTGTATTTACATGATATTTCGATTGTAAAAGTGCAACGTGGAGCACAAATGTTGTACTATGCGAATTCGTTCTCATCATCTTTAAAAGAACTGAATTTTCTAAATAGTAAAGCTTTAAAAACAATTACAAAACCACCTCGAAATGATCAACCTCGCGGTATACCTGAAGAGAAAAAAAGGTCAATTGTTTCTGAACTTTGCCCTTTAATGCCCGAAACTCGTCGTCAGTATTGGATGGACATGCCGAGCAGAAACGATATATTAGATTTAGTTACTGATGTTGAATACTAAAAACAACATATATCGTCAAGATACTTATAGCAATAGCACAATTTTGTGCAATGTGCACCTTATATATTTAAAAAAATATACACATATATATTTTTTTATTTCAATTTAAATTATCTACCTAGCTGAAAGTTATTTGTCGTTATAAATTTCTTAAGAGACTTTAAGTACTTGAAGATTGTTACTACAAAGTATATTCCAATAATAAAAGAGAAAGATATATTTTATATAAATAATAATAAAATAATAAATTATGTTCACATTATACTATCAGTGTCTATTAATTTTTAAACAACCAAGTGTGTTTCACTGTCATTATTATACACAATTGAATTTTATATATATTTTATTAAATTTATATATATATATATTATTATATTTATATATAATTCAGAATAACTTGCATTATTATTTGCAACTAAATAAATAATAATTATGTTTTCTGAACTATAAATAATTTAATTTATATATTATTTCAAGCTAAAAGAGAATTTTTCCCTTTCATTTATTAAAGACCAAAAGTTTTGTTATTTTAAATTCATTATTTAAATAAATAAGTAATAACTTAAAAAACAACCATTTTTATATTAACTATATTTACATTTTTTTAATCTTTATATTTTTTTAAATAAATTAAGCATTAACAATAAAGCTTTGAATGATGGTATTATACTAAAAATTGATTTTACTTTTCTAAGAGTTCAAATTCTACCTCTGAGAGTTTTACACTTGCGCAGTTTTAAAAAAAAGTGAGGTTATGTCAATCGCGAATTTACTATTTAAGTTTTTTTTCATACAGAACTTGAAAATTTCAGACATTTCGCATAAAATACATAATTACAAAGAAATATTATTTTTGTTTTACACTTTCCTGAAAACGCGGGTTCTTTATTTATTAAGATTTTTACTGTTTTATTCAACTTTCGTGAAGATACGATAGCTAATGCCTGTGTCAGAGAATGATCTCCATATCGTAACTACATTTTTATAATAACAACAAATAAAAAAACCCATTTTTCTTGATTTTTTTAAAATTTCACATTTTTTATCCTATTTAAACAGGGGTAATTGATGTGTCATATGATAATTTGTATTATATGTTTAAATAAAAATGTAATGTTGGATCTCCATATTGCCTAATCGGTAGTTACTGCTATTCTTGTTGGGGCGGCAGAGCTATAAATTGTATAAAATTGCAAAATAACCATTTTTTTAGAGTTAAAATTACAAAAACATGTTGAAACGGTAAAATATGTAAGATTTTCTGAAGGCACATTACAAAGGATTTTAATTTATTTGAAAATATGTGTAATTACATTTTTCGGTGTTGCTAATGGAAATTTATTAACTTAATATAGTAGAAGATGTTTAAGTTTGAAATCATCAATGATGATAAAATTTTTAAGTTGAAAACAATTGATTTGAATGATATTTAAAATTTGGTTCTTACAATATTTTAGGTTCCTAATAAAAATTTTACAAAACAACAATAAATAGCAAAAAAATCATTAAAAAATTGGTAAAAAAAATCTTTTGTCCAACACCTTCGGTGGAATTGAGCTATTGTACACTAGTTACCAGTGGAGGAACATTCCTCCACTGGTGGTTTGGCCAGTGGAGGAATGAGAGAAACTGAGAGTAGAGTGGGGATAAAAGGCGTAATAAAAATTTCAAAGTTACCCAATTAAAAATCCCCACAGGGGAAACCACATGGGATCTTATGTCAAAAACTATGTAAAACTCCACTCCTATATAGGAAACCATATAGTTTCCCATATAAATCCCCATGGGAAATTGAGACAGGATTTGACATAGGAAAAAATCAAAACGAGGTTCTTCATTTCCCATGTCAAATACCATGTTAAATACTAAATGAAATCCTTTATCATTTTTTTGAAAAATTTTCCCATGTAAAACCTCATGTCATTTCCCATGTAAAATCCTTTATCATTTTTTTGACTTCGGAAATGACATGGGGTTTTATATGGGAAAATTTTTCAAAAAAATGATAAAGGATTTCATCGAGTATTTAACATGGTATTTGACATGGGAAATGAGGAACCTCGTTTTGATTTTTTCCTTTGTCAAATCCTGTCTCAATTTCTCATGGGGATTTATATGGGAAACCATATGGTTTCCTATATAGGAGTGGGGTTTTACATAGTTTTTGACATAGGATCCCATGTGAATTGGAAAAACATGTTGAAACGGTAAATGTGTAAGATTTTCTAAAGACACACTGAGAAAAATGTTTAGTCAGCGCAACCAAAATTTGGTTGGGTCAATAAAAAAAATTTTGTTAGTATTTAAGCAACCAAACTATTTGTTTGGGTCAACCAAAAAATTTGGTTGAGTGTTTTTTGTTGGAATAACAAAAATGTTTGGTTAGCTCAACCAATTTTTTTTGTTAGGTCAACAAAAATGTTTGGTTAATCAAACAAACAATTTTTTTTTGTAAAATTAAAAATTTTATTCTACCTTATTTCTTTTCTTTGTATCTTTTTTATTTATTTCATTATTTATTTATTATCAATTTAACGTTTTATTTATATTTATCCAATTGAAAAATTTGTGGACTTTGAAAAATCTCATCTCCGCCTGGGATCAAACCTCTGTTTTAAAACTGAAGGTCGGGAGCTCTGACCACTGGACAACCCATCCTTGTGAGAGATTTAAACTAACTGTTCTCTTAGTGGTGTTCCGCAATGGCAAGCAGTGGTTGTCTTTCAAAAAATGGCTCCCCGTAGGTGCATTTAGTTTTAAAAAGATTTTTCTCTCAACTCGGATAGAAACGGAAAAATCGAAATATACCAGTTATCCTGAAATGTTGTACTTTCATTTACGCACAAGAAATTGAAAACTCACTACGATAAACGACGTCAGAAAGTAAAATAAGAATTTTTTTTGTAACCTTTAGGTGCTGCTCCAGACGGTAAATTTCAGTACTAAGCAAATGTTTATACTCTTCTTATTTTAATTCCTGTTGTTTTATATGTGAATAAATCTTTAATTTCTTGGAGGCAAATGAAAGTACACAAACTCAGAATAAGTGGTATTTTTTCCGATTTTTCCATTTCTGTCCGAATTGGGAGAATAATATTTTTGAAATTAAATGTACCTCATTTTTAAAAGATAACAACTGCTTACCATTACGGAACACCGTTAAGCTATGAGCTGAGAGCGAATCAAATGATTTGATTGTCGCAACCAAATTTTGGTTAGGGCAACAAATGATCATTTGGTTTTTTAGACCAAACTATTTTGTTGTGTTAACCAAATTATTTTGTTGTCGTAACCAAATTTTGGTTGGAATTTAAAAATGTTCAACCAAATAATTTTGTTGGCCTAACCAAATGTTTGGTTGAGATAACTCTACGACTTTGTTTCAGCCAACCAAAATTTGGTTACAAGAACCAAAATTGCCTAACCAAACAATTTTTTTGCAAACTCTAAATTTTTTTCTCAGCGCATATATTACAAATACGTAATAAGTATTTAAATATAAACATAATATATATGTTATTAAATTTTAAAAGTCGAAACAAAATAATAAAAAAATGATTTGATTCAAATGTATATAAATCGTACATGTAGACGTCATTATGATGTAAAATACAATTTTTAATAATTTTTGCCTCTTCTGTTTCATTTAACATTATAGACTTTATATTATTGTTTCTATATAAATTTGGCAAATTTCTTAAACGATGATATATTATATCTAACTGACAACAAATTTGTATTAAAATTGTCATTAAAAATGTTTCATGTCCAATAGTGATAATACCACCAAAATAAATTGAGACACTTTGACAAAAATATGTCAAACAAAATGCTAATTTCCGATTATAATCGTATGGATATGATGCTTTTAATGGCAAATTGATATTTGCTGTTCTTTTTACTAATCCACCAAGTGTCATCATTGACACTGGGGCTGCGATTATTAGGAAAAAATACTTTGTATTCCTTCTGAAAGAAAATTTTTGATATTAAATTTATTTCTACTAATAATAAATAATAGAAATATATTTTCCCCTCAATTTATAAAAAATTAATTTGAATTTATAAACTAAAATTAAATGAAAATTTAAATATTAAATAAATAATAAAAAAACGAATTAGAAAAAGAATAAAAATAATAATAATGAATCTAAAAATTTTAAATATTCACCTAGCGGTAAAATCACATTTGTCTTGCATAATTTCCTCTTTATTGTCCCGTGTTTTTAAGCAATCTTTATTTAGAATATTTATCAATTCTATAATATCGTCACGTCGTAATAGAAAATTAATAATTTTCGCCAAATCAACAAAAACTGCTACAGTCCAACATAAAGATTCTGCAAAATCGTCAATGCCATGTAATGAAGAAAAAGTAAGAAACACGAACAATGAATAGAAAGCAGATTGTAATGAAATAATCACGAAGAAAGTGAAAATATTATAAAGAATTTTCGTACTAAACGATGACCAAATTATTGGTCTATAAGCACCACTAATTGTAAGAAATTTTAATGAAAATTCGGCTTTATACATTTTTTTTATTATTTTTCCTCACACGTCAAAATTTAATCAAGAATTTTTTTTCATTCTACATATTCAAAAATTAGAAATAAATTATCATGCAATTTCATTACAAATTTGTAATAGTTAATTTAAAAAAAAAAATTTTTAATAAAATTATTTCAGAGATAAAATTTAACATTAAATTCTTAAAACTTCAATATCTAGTTATAGACGATAGAAATTTTTAGTAAGCTGCGGACTATAGATATCGTTATTGAAATAGAACCGCATTTATTATTCCATAGTTATTCCCGCTACGTTATACAATTTTAAGAGGCTAATAATATATTAAACTTGGTAAAATGAATATAATTCAGATGCAAGAGACAGAGTATTATTTTTAATGTTTTGCAGTTAAAAGAAATCATTATTTATTTATATCAATATGACTGCAAAAGAATTATAATATGTAAAATGATAATAGTCGCATTTTCAACCCTTCATCTAATTTATTGTCCCCTTACAAAATATATTTCTCTTATCTTTATTACGAAAGTAACGTTTCATTTCTTTCACCCACAAATAGATAAAATAAAATTTAATTTTCGGCCCTTACCTATAGACTTCAACGACCTTGAATTTTGTTTCTTGACATAGTCTCTCTTCAATTTTTCTATACCTTGAAAAAAATATATTTTTTTCACATTTCGTGCCTAAGTAAGAATTATTTATTACCAAATTTTGACAGTTTGTTCTTAAGATCAATTTAGGAGGTCATGACATTTTTCGAAAGTTTTTACCACGTAGTTTTTTAGAAAAAAATTTAAACATTTAAGCAATTTAACATAGACGCAATTCAAACGTAACACACGGAAAAAAGTAATCACTATTTTTAGAAAAAAGAAATATAGAGGAGGATGGGGCAAGAATAGTTAGGTAAGACGTTTACGAATCTAGCGACCAAACCTGAATTTGTATCTGCAAAGGAGTAGTACAGGAATCCACAAAGGAACCTTAGTAATTAATGTTTCTGCACAGGATCCCTGTAGTGGGATTACGAATAGCGCTTCAAATCGCTACGTAGTGAAATCTTCGTAGCGCTGTTGCTATTCGTAATACCACGCCTGTTCTAATGTCCTGCAAGGGATCGTAGTGGGTTCCTGCGTAGGATTTTTTAAGGATCCTATGTAGGAACCTCTAGGGATCCTTTATGGGGGGAACCTTGTGTAAATGCACGTTTTTTCAAGATTTTTTTTACAAAAAAGACAGTAAAGTTTATTGCATTGAAATAAAGCATACCTTAAAGTGTATATTCATTTCATTTATTTGCAGCCTGCTGGTTTGAAATCTCAATCAAAATCAAAAAAGAAAATTTTTATTGTTAAAATACACAAATATGCATCACGAAGAGAAAATTTAACAAAATTATTTTTTGAAAATTTGGGACCATTCTAAAAAAAATCAATTTTTTTATAAACAATCTACAAAAAAAATTGTTTAAAATTTAAAAAAAAACAGCTCGTCATGCAATAGCCAGTAAGTTAAAGAAGATTTTTGGTATGTTTCATGAAAATCGGTTAAAAATTGTCTGAGCTGCATTGCGAAAAAACACGTTTTGAGAAAAACGCCTTTAAAGTTTTCTATACAAAAAAGTAGTGTTTTAACTATTGCCTTGAAGACGTTATGTATTCGAAAATAACTATTGCACTAAAACTACGATTTACTATCACTTGCTTATGGTGCTTGCTATAAAATTATATTGACAAGAAACCGAAAGAATAGAGAGATGTCGTGCTCATCGTTAACAGAATTTGGTAGCATCTGAAGTGCTAAGTTTATGTATACATTCATACATCTAATTTTAGATTAGTAATGTAGGATCATATTCTACAGATAGTAAACTAATTTTTAAAGCAATAAAAATTGTAAAAAAAATTTTTTTACACGAGTTTCCCCCCTTAAGGGGTTAATACCACATCTTTTTTAAAAAAAATCAATTTTCTAAGAACTAAAAATTCTTGTAGTAGATATATGTAGAAATGCTCAAGGAGCGTACTATTCGCGCGTACAATGTATGCTCTTATATATATATATATATATATATATATATGTTACGGGCAATGTCCGGAATCGGGCAATGTCGACAATACCGAAAATCACTGGGGATTGTCGACATTGCCTGGTATTTTTAATAATATTCAGTAATCTTTGACAAGTGGGCAAAGTTGTCATTGCCCACTCATTTTTGGGCAATGTTGTTTATTATACTATAATGAAAATTTATAATGCCATATATAAAGTCACAAGAATTTTTTTTATTTATTTTTACACGAAAGGGTGCCATCGCATTTGGAGTTACATTTTTTATTACTTCTCAAACACTTGCATTTGCTTTGTGAACATCCGGTTTTGCAATTGCATCTATCGTAACCTTGTCCACCGCAAACGCTGTTATTTGCGGCAGCTTCTCTGAGTGAGATCAATTTATCCGAAATATCTGCAGCATTTAAAAGTTGTTCGTCGCATGTATAAAATTCAGTATAGTATAGGTTTTGAAACCAAACCTCTTCTTTTGTTTGTGGTCTTTTTCTGACAAACGATACACAATTTTAGAAATTCCATAATAGTTTGTCTTGTTATGTTAACGTATATTTTTTTACATTCGTACTCCATGCGGTTTCTTCCCCATGACCGATGGAAGAATGCACATTTGAAAGACTTCAATATCGTCAATTATATAATTATATACTTATATAACTTTATTTATATTAATAAATTATTGACTTCCGACAGTTAATCAGATATTCATTCATATCAAAAATTATTTTTATTAAAAAATTATTCGCTACATAGGCTATTATCGACATTGCCCAAAGTGGACCGGGCATTGTCGACATTGCCCGGAAAAGCCGCATAATATGAATAATTTCGGACATTGTCGACAATGCCCAGTGACCGAGGGCAATGTCGACATTGCCCGATTCCAGACATTGCCCGTAATATATATATATATATATATATATATATATAACTACAAATATATATGTATGTATATAAAATATATAATATATGTATACTAACGCGTAAGAGAGTATTTTCTTAAAAAAGAACATGTTTCGATGACCTGAATTGGAGATATCGTGTCCGCCCGGTAAGAAGGCTTGCATTAAAAAGTTTTGAAATTTTTTCAATTCTTTTGAATTCTTTTTTTGTCCATTGCATTTAATTCCTCAGAGAGGTTTCGAAAAAATTAAAGTTGAATTCCTTTTTATGACTCTAGAAACTGGAACATAACCTCAGTTAATATATTTAAAGAAAAATTTTGTTACGACTGTTGTAGATTACCAAAAAAAGTATATAAATGAAAAATCCATCTTTCATAATGAATCTCGTAATTGCAAATTACTTGTTTTAGTGAAAGATTGTAAAGTTCAAAAATACAACAATTAAGAAAATTTTTTGTAAAAGTAATTCAATAACAATTTTTTAATAGCAAAACAATTTAGGCAATACAAAATTATCATTTTAATGTTTTCCAAAGTTCTAAAGTGTGAAATTATGCTTTAAATAATAAATAAAAAATAATAAAGTGGATTGCATTAAAAGGAATTAAAGTGTTATTACTTTAATATTAGTTTTCGGTATTCAAAAGTTTTCACAAAACCTAGCTAAAATTTTAGTCACTGATAGAAATAGAAAAGAATCAATTTTATGAAAAAGTCTCTTATCTTAGGAATTCAAATGTGTGGACAGAAATGGAATTCAAAAGTATTTACTTTGTAGTAAATAACAATGGAGTGGTGAAATTTTATGATACATTTTAATGTAAGTCTTCTTACTAGGCGCCAATCACATGTAGAAGTATTTTTTATAATCTAATCGTACTTTTACTACATGTTTTTTTATTATATTTAAATCATTACATAACTTCGTAAAACAAAAAACAGTTTTAATAGGAACGATTTAGATTAGCGTATTATTGTTTCACTCTCGTGTGATAATAGAAAATTTAACACACTTTCAACGCGGTAAATAAAGTGTCTAATATTTTAAAAAATGAAAAAAATATTGTATGTTACGCATGAGGAAACAATTATTTGATAAGTGTGATTTATCATCAAATAATGTCCGCTTTTCCTCACTCGCAACATAATGTACACTGAGAAAAATAATTTCGTAATAATAAAAAATTAATTTAGTTGAGCATTTTTAGTTCGCTTTACTAAAATACGGTTGTCACAACAGAATAGAAAGTGGCAATAAATTGGGAAGTTTATAGTTGGCTCTACCAAAAAATATATTTAAAGCTTTCATGTTTACGAACTAAATAGTTTGGTTCCGAGTACTAAATCGCTGGCATGTTGAATTGCACACACGCTGTTCTCGTAAATATGGCGTCGCTTACCATTCACGGGATATCAACATTAACCATACGTCGTTTGCGTAGTGGAGTTTCAGTGTTTTCAAGTTTTTCTCAGGAAAAACAAAGTGTTATTTTAACTCAGAATTTGGTGTTAAAATAACCTACCACAAATTCTAACCCTAGTTAAGGTTAAATCTTATGGGTTTTCAGCATTAGACAAAATTAACCGCAACAAAAATGACACCAACTTTTTTCTGTGTATGTTTTTCAGACATTTTAAAAAAAAAGTTTCTGTAGTGAGAATAAATAAACAAAACTTGTTAAAAGAACGAAAGTTTTTTCCAGCCTTTCTACATTGTGAAAATGATTTAATCTCAAATTATTAGTAGGATTCGTAGAGTAGTGGTCAGCGTTCTCGACTTGAGTTGCGTAGTCTGAGGGTTCCAGTCCCAGCAGTGTTAGGTTTTTTCCGCGATAGAAATTAATTTAATTAGGCATAGGTAGATTATATAAAGCGAAAAGGGTAAACCAAAAAATAAGTTGGTTGAGAAAACAAAAAAAAATTTCATTTAACAAAATTTTTTGATTGCTTAAAAACAATAATTTAGTTGTACGAAACAAAAAATTTGGTAGACCGAACAAAACGATTCATTAAAAAAATTTAGTTCTGACTAACAAACGGCCTAGTTGCATCTATATTAAATAAAAAATTTGGTAGAGAGAACTAAACTTTGGTAGATGATACTAAACATTTTTCTCAGTGCACTATTATAAGGAAACATTATGCTTTTTTATATCAGCAAAAGTTTTTATTTTTTTTAAAATCATATAATATTTCTGCCATTAACATAAATTAAACATTTGAAGGAATTTTTTCCTGCTGAGGCCCGAATTGTTCGCCAGGGAGAAAAAGGTGATAAATTTTATATTATAAGTGGAGGAAATGTTAGGATAACAAAAGACACCGATTACGGAGGAGAAGAGGAACTTGTTGTTCTTGGGAAAGGACAATATTTTGGAGAAAAAGCTTTATACGATGACGAGGGAGATAATCGAAGACATGCAAATGCCATAGCTCTTGCACCAGTAGAGTGTCTTACACTAGATAGAACGTAATAATAAAATAATCCTTTTTAAACTGTTTTGAAGTATCCCAGTAAAAAAAGATTTATTGAGCAAGCCATTTGGAAATATAATAACAATAATTATACACTTAAAAATTATGCTATTGAAGCAATTTATTTTTTCAGTGTTTATCTATTATTATCCATTTTTGTAAGATTAAGTCGTTTTTCCCTTTTTTAAATGCGGAAAACGCGTAGGGTGATTGGGCATAATGCATTGGATGACTTCCTAAACAGTCAAATTTTTTTAGTTGTCTTTGGAACTATTCAGCAGACAGCTTGCTCAATAAATATTTTTTACTGGGAAAATTATTCGATGTTTGATTCATTTGTATTATTTTTCCTTTTCTGAAATTTAGATCATTCTTCAATTACTTAGGAAGTCTCGATGAAATAAGAAATAAAGACTGGCGAGAAGAATACGAGAAACAGAAAAGATCCTTGACGCCTAAAAAATGGACTAATGAATATGCAGATCTTACTTTGTCGGATCTGAGAACAAAAGGCACTTTAGGCGTTGGAGGATTTGGAAGAGTTGAACTTGTGATTCCTGAAAAGGATCAAGAAAAAAGTTTTGCTTTGAAGAAATTAAAAAAAAAGGTTATGGTCGATCAACAACAACAAGAACATGTATTAAATGAAAAACACATAATGCAGGCTTGTGATTCTCCATTTATATGCAAGTTAGTGTATATTTTATTTTTTCATAAACAATTACACATAAAATTTCGAATTATAACAATTGCAAATGTTTAAGCAAATTCATTTACAAATACGTATTTAGCTTAGGTTCAATGATCTTGGATCAAGAAAGATCAGAAAAGAGACCTCCTACTAATTTTAATAAGTAAAGAGTTTTAATGTATTTTTTAGATTGTATCGGACTTATAAGGACACGAAGTATGTCTACTTTTTGATGGAAGTATGTTTGGGAGGTGATGTTTGGACAACTTTGCAACGAAGGCGAATCTTTGACGACTCAACTGCTCAGTTTATGGTTGGATGTGTAGTAGAAGCTCTGGATCATCTTCATTCGTTAAACATTGTGTATAGAGATTTAAAACCCGAAAATTTAATGCTGGATAGTCGAGGGTATCTTAAACTGGTAAAAATGATTTATTTTCGCAGAAATATTAATTTCTATTCTTTAACATTATTTTTAAGAAATTATTTTTATTTTATACTCTCATAAATTAAAATTTTTTATTGAAACAAAAGGTCATAAAATTAGTTAATTTTAATATTTTTGGAAAACTTATTTTAGGTTGATTTTGGCTTTAGTAAAAAAATTGGACCTGGTAAAACTTGGACTTTTGCCGGAACACCAGAATATGTAGCGCCAGAAATTATTTTAAACAAGGGACATGACAGGTGATTTCTTTGCAATTACAAAAAAAAATTATTTGACAAATATAAAGTAGTGAATAATATTTGAATTGTAACGGGTTTTTGAAAGAGGGCTCCAGAAATTGGACTCTCAGAGATCCCCGCCATATGGTGATAATTTTTTTCTCACAGTTTAGATCAGTCTTGAATACTATAAAAGCTGAGAATCTAACTCAGAAGGTGTATTGCAAAGCACAATTTTTTTTCTTTCCAGATGAATTGCAGTAATATTATATGACTTTTAATTCAATCATTTTTAATTTTTATAAACTGCCGTCTGCCAACTTAAAATTCTTATATGAAATACTATATTCTTTCCTTTATATAATTCTATGTGAAATCTTAGATATAGATATTTCAGAATCTACATGAAATCCTATATGATTTCTTATGTTCAAATCAATCATATATATGATATATTTGAAAAATCGAAAAAAGACTTGACGTATAATTTGATATAGGAAAATTTCTGGTTAAGGATTGAGCAATGAATTTTGGTGAGTTTTTTAATGAGAAAACACGAAGGAAATTGACATAAGAAATTGAAGGAAAAATGTAACCAGAAAAAATTGTAGGATTTCACATAGGAATTTACATAATTTATTACTTAAGAATATGTTTATAAGAATTTACATCGAATCCCACTTCAAATCATGTCTCAATTTCCTATATGATTTTTCATAAGATCCTATATAGTTTCTTACATGACACATAGGATTTTATGTGAATTTTAATATATGAATTTATGTGAGATCCTATATAAAATCCTACATGAGAATTTTCAGTAGCGAATACCATCCTACCATGCCTAGGAATCTTCGAAGCTGTTTAATATTTTGTAAAACTGGATATTCCAGAATCGGTGCTATCTTATCCGGATCTGGCGTTAAACCGTCTTTATCCAAGACATATCCCAAGTAAGTGACCCTTGAACAACCAAATTCACATTTACTTGGGTTCACTACCAAATCAGCTGCCGCTAGTTTCTTTAGAACAATTCCTAGCCAGTGAAGATGTTCTTGATAATCGTTTGTCACTATGATGATATAAACCGGGTACCCGAAAAGCCTGGAAATTAAAAATCCGTATACTTTTTACTTTCCACTGACATGACCCAGCGAGAAATGAAAGGTTTAATCGACGTCTATCCGACATCTAAGACGTTGAGAACAGGCCTAGGTCTAAATTTGATCTAGATTAATTAAAAATAGACGTTAATTTAAATGTGTTTTTAAGAACCCACTAAAAAAGGATTGGGAGTAAGCGAAAAGAATTGGTGGTAACTTAAGCTGAATTCGATTTAGCGAAAAAACCGAATTGGAACGTTACAGTGAATTATTTTTTTCTTACCGTAAATTTCTTTTCTCTTAAACATTTTAATTGACGTTTGTTTATTCGAGTTTACATTATAAATGAATAGAATAAATGTTTCGAAGTCTAAAAAAGCCGATTTGCAATAAGAAATATATAATTTTTTAAAAAGAAATAAAAGCGAAGTGTGACAGATTCACCGACAATTTTATCAAGTGAATAGTGTTCATATGATAAATTTACCACATAAATACTACTCACATGGTAAAATTGTCGGTAAATCTGTCACATTTCTGTTTTATTTCTTTTTAAAAAATGATATATTTCTTATTCCAAATCGGCTTTTTTAGACTTCGAAACATTTATTCCGAGTTTAGCTTAAGTAACCACCAATTTTTTTCGCTTAGTCCAAATTCTTTTTTTTACTGGGAAGTAGAATATTGTTTAAACCGAATCTTAAACTTGTAAAACTAACCTTTTGTCCAAACACAATTATTTAAAAAAAATTTAAACTTTTTTCAAGCATTTAAGAAAAAAACTGCAATACAATGCACACTTACATGACCACTCACAGCATTAGGTATTTTAAAATATCCCTGGAACTTTTTAGGGATATATATTTTCTTCTTGTGGTATGGATGTCCTGAGGATATGCAAACTGCCTGATATCCTCAGGACGTCTCAAGGATATCCTGAAATATCTGGTGCTGTGAGGGACTAAGACAATCTTTAATTCATGGGTATTCTAAGGTTTTTGGATTTACTGAATCCAAACCTACAGACAAAATCAAAAAATTAAAAATGGCGGTTTTATAATACAGACAATAATGATAGTGTCTAATCGACACTTTTTGTCGAATTAGAAATCGAATAGCTGGTCTAAGACATCAATTAGTATACTAATTTCTCACCGCGAGAGGGGAAGGGATGGTACTATCGAAATCGGGATTATAGACGTCTTATAGAGTTACCTATATTGGTATTCTTTAAGGTACCCTAAAAGGAATTTTCCATAGAGTTCAATTTTGTCTACGACTTAGACGTCCAACAGACTCCAATTTCGACGTCTACAACCTAGACGTCTATAGACAGCTTATGGAGTCCCATTTCGACGTCTATGTAGATTTTGATTTAGACGTTATGTAGATTTTGGTCGAGACGTTAAATAGACGTCGATTAGACCTTTCATTTCTCGCTGGGTAGTACCTGATGATAGGCCATCTTCAGATCTATCTTGGGTATATATATGTGGACTTGCGTAATTTGTCCAGAATTGAATCCACACTAGGAATCGGTTATGCATTTCTGATGGTTACTTTGTTCAGGTCTCTGTAATAAAAACATAGACACAAAGTACCATCACCTTTTTCAACAACCACTGGTGCTGAGCTCTACTCGCTTGCCGCACACTCAATGATTCCTTGTTCCAATAACTTCTTTACCTCCTTTATGAGTCATTTTAAAACCATAGGTGACACTCTGAGGACACACCTCTTTAGAGCCCCTTGGGATGTTGCAAGACCGCTCCCATATGCCGATTAAAAATGTCAGACTTCCTACTCATTGTTGAGTTAAAAAAATTTAATCCCAAAAATAAATTTAAAAATTCAAAAACACACCTCGCACCTCACGAGTCTCAAACAAATAAAATTTTCAATAGACTCGCCACGATAGCAAGCAAATTTTACGATTAAAAAAAAATATTGTCAAATAAATAACGAAAATACACGATTAAAAAAAACTCGCTAACCTTGCGAATACGCTAGCCACAAATTAAAAATCGAGTAAATGTTCGATAATATTAAAATTCTTTACCTTTCCACGACAGGTCTTAAAAAAATTAAAATTTTTCTTCACAGCAGAATTTTTCACAAATCACACAAAATCCCCGACAACATGCAACTCTAATCAATACTAATTTTCTTGATTATTTCACTAATTTCAGGTTTTACCAGAACCGAAAAGGTCACAAACACTTGCGCGTAATTTTTCGTTCCGTGACGTAATTCTTGCTACCGCCAATTTCGCTTAATGTGACGTCACATCCGAGCACATGGCGAATAAATAAAGGCACTCTTACACCTTTTTGGCTGCCTGCCTACAGATTACCATGGCAACGCACGAGTGTGAGTGAGACAGAAAATTTGAATATTCAAATTTTTAAATTTTCTGTCGCAATCACACTCATGCGTTGTCATGGTAACCTGCAGACAGCCAAAAAGGTGTGAGAGTGCTTTAAGTTTAACGCTTGGAAACCCAATTTCCTGATGTATATAGCACTATCACAAATATAAATTTTTCCTCTGCCTCAATGTCTTGGCGAAGGCCCACATTGGGCGCCAAAATTGTAACGGGTTTTTGAACTTATTAACAATAAATCATTTATCAAACTTGACAATTCGAAACACAGAAAATTACACTATTTCAAAAGGAATTCGCCAAAAACAGGAACGTCTGAAGCGAAGACATTGAGGCTGGCCGGATATATTATACACACATACCTTGGTGATGCTCAGCTGAAACTCTCCAACCTGGCGCCCCTTCAGATAGATAGAAATATCCAAAAAAGGAATTACTCACACAACACTTAAGAAATAAGTACGCGAAAAATAACTATATAAACACTATTTATTTAAGTGAAAGATAATTCTAATTTAGTAGAAGGTACAGTGAGCAATTATAACTCGTAAGTCGCTAATTCTGTCCGCTCACGAGGGCTCGAGAAATTGGACACTCAGAAATCCCCACTGCCGCTCCTATCATACCCAGAAGTGGTCCTATCTCTCTGACTCCTATGGACAGCTCCAAACCTATAGAAGGATATTTTTGCCCTATCCGCCGCCCTCTGTGGCCATTCGTACGTGACGCCTGCGTAAATCAGTCTTTTGACGGATTTCGCGTAGGATACATATTTCTGACTGACAGATAGAAAAAGTAATGAACCGCGTATCGATTCAAAAATGACAAATATCCATTTTAACTAATGCCTCGTTACAGAATTAACTAATCTTTTATTTTCTTCATAATAGGGCAGTGGACTATTGGGCTTTAGGAATATTAACCCATGAGTTGTTAGTAGGAAAACCACCATTTCGAGGATCAGATCACATGACAACTTACAACAAAATTCTCAAAGGAGTCGAAATGGTTGCGATTCCTAGCATTGTTAATAAAAATGCGAATAATTTAATAAAAAAATTGTTACGACTTAATCCTTCAGAACGACTTGGTTACCAACGAAATGGCATTCAGGATATTCGAGATCATAAGTACGTTACATGTATATATTAATAATAATATTAATAATAAACAGAATCATTTAGCCTCACGAAAGAATATAAGGAGACATATCTCATGTGGGAAAAATGCGTATCGTTGACTGTACTTTTCATTTGTTAAATCGACAGGCACGCAAAAAAGAATAGCCATAATTGTATCTGATAACAGCGCCGCCAACTCTTGCTAAGTTACAAAATTAATTATTTATTTTAACTTTATTTCATTCATGACGTGTATAACTTCTAATGTAATTATTATTATATTATTTAAAAAACTATACAATTCCAAATAAATTCTATAATTCAGTATATTAATTATAAAAAACGCATTTTTTAACATGCATTTTTATTTATTACATAGCTTGATTTACAGTTTTTTTATTAAAAAATTCATTTTTGATCTTTTATAAGTTCATGTGTCAAACCGGCATCATCGAGCTGATAACCAAAAACATAAACAAAACATATTTTTTCCTGTAAAGGCGCTGTTATCAGCGAATAAATGTCAGTGCCAATTTGCGTGCACAGCCATTTTTCGCAGTTAAACGCTGCCAAAATATATTTCTTTGTAAGACAAATTGTTTTCAAATTAAACATATTTTATTAGTAAAATATAAAAGTTTAAAAAATTTTTCTTATTGTATGTAGAAAATTTTACAAAGTGAAAATATGTCTATTTATTTTATAGGTGGTTCTCAAATTTTAATTGGCCAGCATTACAGAGATTAGCTTTGCCTGCACCTATTGTTCCTACTGTAAGCATTTTTAAAACGTCAATTTTTTTACCAAATTTGGAATTTGATAAACTTTTTTTTAATTTTGAATAGAGAAAATGTTATAAACTTTATTACTTCTTTTATCCCTAATGATAAGAGCTGACAAGAGGTATTTTAGAAAATTCCTATAAACTTAAAGTCTCAGTAATTTTAATGTATACTTCTCTTGAAATTTCATATGGTCCCTATTGCTAAAGATTGTAATAAAAAATCAATAATTGAAATAATTTTTTTTTGACAAAAAAATGTTAAATTAGCTTAAATAATTTTTTTATTTTTTAGATAAGAAATCCTATTGACACAAGAAACTTTGAAAGATATCCACCAGATCGAGAATTACCACCTGACGAATTTTCTGGCTGGGATATGGAATTTTGAAACTAAATAATGTATCAAGAAACAGAATCTCTGAAGAGAAAATTTTTTAATACTACTTCTAGAGATATTCAGCGGCTACTAGAAATTAGAATATCTTATCAGTTATAACAGCGATTTCCCTGGATATTCTCTAGAAAATCTAATTTCCGAAAATTGTCACAGGATATTTATAAGATGTCCGGAAATATTTGGTGATGTAAAAGATTTATAGAATACTATATAATTACTTTTGTCATAGATTTTTAATACTAATATTTTATTACCGATGATACATAGTAAAATTAAGTATTTTTTGTATTTTTAGAAATATTTTATACATGTAATGCTGTGTTTATAATAGAACGACTTTTTTAAACTAATGGTGTTTCACTATGGCAAGCAGTGATTGTCTTTCAAAAATTGGCTCCTTGTAGGTGCATTTAATTTAAAAAGTATTTTTCTCTCAACTCGGATAGAAACGGAAAAATCTAAAAAAATACCCGTTATCCTGAAATGTTGTACTGTCATTTACGCACAAGAAATTGAAAATTCATTACGATAAACATCGTCAAGAAGTAAAATAAGAAATTTTTGTAGCCGTTAGGTGCTGCTCCAGACGGTAAATTTCAGTAGTAAGCAAATGTTTATACTCTTCCTATTTTACTTCCTGTCGTTTTATATGTGAATAAATCTTTAATTTCTTGGAGGAAAATGAAAGTACACAAACTCAGGATAACTGGTATTTTTTCCGATTTTGCCATTTCTGTCCGAGTTGGGAGAATAATATTTTTGAAATTATATGTACCTCATTTTGAAAAGACAACCACTGCTTGCCATTACGGAACACTGTTAAAGAAAATTAAAAGATATTCATAGAAGAAAGAGTAAACTTAAACAAAATTATAAGTAATTTAAGAATTTTTTGTAACAATAATAAAAAGAACATTACTAGTTTATGTAAAAAATTTGAAATTTTTCGTTTTATGTACACGGAGAAAAAAAAGAGTAATAATTGTAACATTTTCTATTAAAAATTACTACTTTCAAATAGTAATTTGGGAACTGCTCAAGAAATAACAACTTTTTTTAAAAGGCTGAGTAATATTTAAAATGTCCCGAGCAATTAATACTAGTAACGAAGCAATTTTTATTATAAAGCGGAGCAATTATTACTCTTTCGTCAGGATTTTTACTATTAAAAGTAGTAATCCGTACCAATACAACGATGCGCCTCACACCGACGGGTGGTAGTAGTATTTGGTTTAACGTTGGCACTATGAAGGTATTGCACCATGCATATCCGGCCATAAACTGGTAGTTGAGAATGAGGCTTTAAATCTGTGAACAGAACAGAAAATAGGGCGCACGCGCCCGAGCATCCGCGAGACACGACCGGAAGGCTGGTGCCAGTCCGGTCGAATCTCTCGGAAACACACTGATAGACTTAGGTATGGAGAGCGCGAAAATTTAAAAAATTATATAAAAATGAAAAGTGAAATTAGAATTGAATATTACAGAGTTTTAAAAATCTAAAAACATGAGAAATGATTCTAGCGGAAGGGTTAGTGAGAAATTAGACACTGCTAAAAGAAGGAGGGTATTTTAGAGCTCTTGAAAGGGCCTTTAACAGGCAAGGGCGAAAAGCATCGAATCTGGGACAAGACCAAAGAATATGATCAATGTCCTCCTCAATACCGGGGCAATGAGGACAGCTTCCAGAAGAGATATAGTTTTTTCTAAAAAGACTAGCATTTAAATTATAGTGATTAGACCTTAAACGGGAAATAAAGACAATACAACTTCTACGAGATATAAAGTTATGGAACCAGGGTTTTTTCTTGGATTTATAAAAAAATTGAGTGTATTGTGCACCCTTTTTTTTACCGATTTCCAGAAAGAAAGAGTCACAACTATTTACCAATTCCTTACGGGCTAAGCTGAAGAAGTCCGAGGGTGGAAGTTGAATGTTTATTTGATCAGGGTTAGAAGATGCATCTTTGGCAGCTTTATCAGCTGCTTCATTGCCTTCAATTCCTGAGTGACCAGGAATCCAAACTAGTTTTGTTGGACGGTTTATGTCTGAGAGGATTCTCAAGCGGTTTCTTATGGTAAAAATTATATAAGACTTGATTTTATAAATATTTTTGGATGCTAAATTTTTGAGAACACTAAGAGAATCTGAAAATATTACTGTATCACTAATATTGTTGTTAATAATATAATCTAAAGTAAACAAAATAGCAAAAGCTTCAAGTGAAAAGATGGATACAAAATTGGAAATTTTGAATTTAGAAGATATATTTAAGGAGAGGCAAACAAACGCGCAACCAGCTACATTATCCTCATCCGACTTAGAACCGTCTGTAAAGAAAAATGTGTGGTTAGGAAATTTGCAAGACGTAAGATCTTTAAATAAAAGTGAGGAATTAGATGAGGATTGTAATGTTTTACCCAAATCGAAAAAGATTTGGGGAGTGAATAAATGATCCTCAAAAAGGAATTCGAAATAGGGATCAAGGTCTCTACTTCTGATAAGTTCGCCGAAATCTTTTATCTTCTCGAAAGCGATTAAAAGAGGAAAATTAAATCTTACGTTGCTATTACGAATGAGGTGAGAAAGATCTGAAAGTGTGTCGTGTAAAGAGTGTGTAGGGGTTGCAAAGGTTTTATATAAGTATTTTTTTCCAAGATAGTTAAATCTTGATCTAAGGGGTGGGTCACAACATTCAGCCAGCATAACGTTTATAGGGGTACTCCCTCTATAGCCTGCAATTAGTCTCAAGGCTCGATTACGAATTTTTTCTAATCGTGAAAAGTTTTTGTGGGATTTAAAATTATAGGCTTGTAAACCATAGTCAACTCGGCTTTTAAACATGGAAAAGTAAATTTGTAATAGTAATTGGGGATCTGCCCCCCCAGGAAGTACCACGAAGTACTTTAAAAATATTTAAAATTTTGTTACTTTTTTCACAAAGATAATTAAAATGAGAATCAGAGGAACCAGATATATGAAATTGAACACCGAAATATGTGGCTGAGGGCGAAGGGGGGATAACGGTACCATAGGAAGATAAAGAAAGAGCTGGATCTTCTGAATCGTATTTTTTATTGCTAAAAATAACAAATTTCGTTTTGGATGGACATACTTCCAGCCCTTTTTCAGACAGACAGACAGATTGATCGAGCTTAGAATTGAACCTTGTGGGAGACCAGTAGTGCTGATTCTTGGACCAATTATTTCGACATTTATTTTGAAAAAAATATTTTTACATTTGATAGAGTTATATATGAATCGAGCAATTGTTTCTGGAATTCCTATTTCACGAAGGTCTTTAACTAAAATTACACTAGGGAAAGCACCTTTCAGGTCAAGAAAGAGAACTCCTGTAAATTCACTGCCAGCAAGTCCAGACCAAATTTCTGACGAAAGGAGGGCTAGTCCGTCTGCGCAGGATTTACCCCTACGGAATCCGTAATGGTTGGGACTAAATATTCTGTTGCGTTCTACAAACCAAGAGAGTCTGTTGTATAAAAGTTTTTCTGTGATTTTAAAGAGGCACGAAGCTAGAGAGATAGGGCGAAATTTACCATGGGAAGATTTTGGGAGAAAGAAAATAAGAAAATTGTTCTGTTAATGAAAATGGAGCTTCCAAAAATTGGTTAGAGTTAAAATTGCTAGGAAAATTATCGTAAAAAACAGTGGGAGGGTAAAGATCATTTATTAAGGAGTGTAATTTATCTATGACCACTGTATCTGCCGAGAAAGAAGCTGTTGCAGGTTGGGTGAAGCGGTTTTTAAAACATTTAATAATTGACCACATTTTTGTTATTGGTGTGTGTCTGTCGAGTGAATCGCAAAATTTCTATTTTTCTGTTTTTAATTGATTCTTCACACTGGTTTTTCCACCACGGTGCAGGGATAAACGGTTTTTTGGGATGTTTAAAGTTTCCTATTGTATTGTGTGATGATTTTGGTTGAGGACATGAGAGATTGATTGCAGAATCTACAAGATTTTCAAAATGAGAGTAATCAGAGATACGGTCTGTAGTGTTTAAAAGTTCAAGGTTAGAATCTATGGAAGTTTTGAGAGAGGCTGTAAATGTTAACCAGTTTATTTCTTTAGTTTTTTATTTATGGGATGTGAAGGTAGAAATGGGTATTGTAACACTAAGTGAAGTAAAAATAGGATAATGATCACTACCCATGTTATCATTATGGATAGAGCATGAAGAGACTGTAAATAGGTTCGGGCTGACAAAGGCTGAGCCGGGAGATGGTGGAGCACCAATACGAGTGGAAGAACCATTGTTTAAGAGTATGAGGTTAGAATTGATCAGTTCTTGGCACAGATTAAGACCATTAGAACAATTGTAAGAGCTGCCCCAGAGAGTGTTATGGCAGTTGAAATCACCACCTACAAAAACAGTCAAATCCAGAATTTTCAATTGAGTTAAACAAAAGTTTCCAAAAGTTAACCGGTGTTTGTTGGTCAGGGACTCTATAAGTTGAAATTATTAAAAATTTTCCAAGTGAGGAGTCAATTGAGACAGCAAGTGTCTCAATATCATCCTCACGAGTATAAATTGATTGGATTTTTGTAAAATTTAAATGCTTTCTAATATCAATCACAAGACCGCCACATTTATTTACCGTTCTATCATGTCTGATTATGTTAAAATCTTTAAGTTTGTTTAAATTATCTCTTTTTCGGTTTTAAAAAAGTTTCGCAAAGTAAGTGTCAAATTTGTCGGAAATTTTTTGGAGTTCGTGAGTCTTGTTAAAGACGCCACGACAATTCCACTGCAGTAAATTTAATGTAAAGAGACTAGCCATTTTTAGGGAAAGTAGGATTTAACAAAAATTGGAGGCTTTCTGAGATTTTAATGAAGTGATCTTGATTGTGCTTTGCGTTTTCAGGAGAGGAGGCGACAGACATTTTCGAAAATAGGTTACTAAGCCAGGAAAGGAAAGAGGAAATTGAATCGGAGTTGAAAGATGTAGAAATAGGAGATATGTTTTGATGTGGTGAAAAATTAGTATTTGTGGAATTTAAGGCAAATCCGTTCAAGAGATCGCATTTGTGCCTGCTGTTATTCCATTCAGATGCGAAGAAATTATTTGATTGAGCTGGTCTTTTGCGGGGTTGTGCTGATGAAGAGGGAAAGAAATGTGTATTCACAGTTCTTGGTTGTTGAGTGTTTGCAACCTGTGAAAAGGAACGATCAGTAGAAAAGTGACTGTGAGAAGTATTGTCAGAAGGTGCGGGGGTGTTACCCAAATTTGGAAAAATTGATTTTTGTATGATTCGGGTGTTTAGGAGGACGGAGAACAGCTTTAGCTTCGTTAAATGAAACTTTGTTGATTGTCGCATATGTGCGGATTTCTTTTTGATAGAGTATTCGGGGCAATCTCGAGAAGTGGTTAGGTGTGAACCAGAACAATTGACACATTTTGGTGGACTTGATTCTTTGGGGCACGCGTTTGTTTCGTTGTGAGTAACAGCTTCTCCACAATGCTTGCAACGTGATTTTGAGCGACAATGTGCAGCGATGTGTCCGAAACGAAGGCATTTCAAACACATGCGAGGGTCCGGGATATAGGGGCGGATTGGGCTTGAGCCTTTAAAAATTGCTACTCTTTGTGGAAGAATTGTGCCATGAAAAGTTAAGGGAATTGTTGTTGAAGGAACATATTGAGTAGATTTTTGCTGTCATCGAAGGTTCTTTTGTTGAATCTACGGACGTGTAAAATTTTTATACCTTTGATGTGAGGACCCATGATTTCAGCATTTTCTAAAATTTCTGTTTCCGATATGTCTGTAGGAACGTTATTTATAATTCCCTGACAAGACACAAAGCTCGAAGGGATAATTGTAGTAAAACCCTTTGATTTTGGTACAGGATCATCAAGGAGTTTGTTTGTGGCTTTGCCAGAATTTAAAATAACTTTAACTTTACCACGACCGTTCTGTTGAATGTCGCAAACGCAACCGGGAAAGGAGGAGTGTAGTAAACGACCAACTGACATGTGATTGAGGTCTTTGGGGAAATCTGGTGATTTAGGATCACGTTGGATGAAAACAGTAGACTTGGATTGGGAAAGCTCATCATACCGGAGGGGGGTTAATGGGTTCTCTTTGTCAGTCTGGATTGTGTCAATTTTTTGTTGTGGCTTTGTCTGAGTTGAGTCAGTTGTTTGTTTAGTCATATTCGGTGTGTGGGTTCTGAGAAAGATTTGACCGTGCATCGTGGCAGTGCCTCTTTGCACTTGAGCTGACAGTCAAATTGTTCTTTTGGGAAGAGTGGAGAAAAAGCAAATTTTGAGCTGCCGCTTCATCAAGTTCCATCGAATCCTGTTTATTATGGGGAGGGGGGGCTAAATACAGAACGAAAACGAAAGCTACTCTTACACGATGCGCTCGGTATCACCGCTCGCAAGGAACTCCCCCGACGGGTGGCTTTTACATTAAGCCTCTCGGCCACGCAATAGCTATAGGAAAAATTTTTGTTTACCCGCACATATCCTTCTTTAATAATGTCAATTATAATTTGTATTTATTTATTAGATAAGTTACAGAATTAAAATATGAACATTTTTAATAAATTAATAATAATTATAATATTAAGAAAAAATTTAATTAATTAAATTTACTTATTTTGTTACTTATTCTGTTTTAAATAAAATAAATAAGAATTATCAGCTGGAATTGCACATTGTAATATGTAATTAAAAACTTTGAAGCAAATAATAATTATAATCACTATATAATCTTAATGAGTTTATTTCTTTATATTTTTTAATTTATTTTATTATTATAGCCATAATAATTGTTATAATATTTTTTTATTAATTAATGAATAATTAATTAGAAATTAAGTATTTATTCGTTATACATGAATTGCATACTTTGACGCCGGCCTACGAACGCTGCGCATGACCGTAGTGACGTCGTCACACACACACACACACACACACACACACACACACACAGGTGTATAGTAGTGGTACGGATTACTATTTTAATAGTAAAAAGTTTGATCGGCAATAGTAAAAGTTGTTACTTGCAGTAGCAATTTTTATATTTCGCAGTATTACTTATTAGAATTTCTACGAGTAATATTTAAAAAGTGTCAAATGTACACTGAAAAAAATTCCTAACCCCCGTATATCAGGGATTGACTAATTTGCCTGGTTACGAGAGGAACCCACTAGGCAATCTTGGTCAAAGTTGATTTCGACAATTAGTCGGAATGACTAGGGAAGCTTATCAGAATAACCAGGTATCTTAGTTACATTGGCTAGAATCACTTTGACTAATTAAACTTTAGCAAAATTGACTATAGATACATGCGATATTAACCAAACACCTTAGTTACTATAACTAGGAAACAAGGGGTCAATTCTACTAAATCGACTTTAACAATATTAACCAAGCTATAACTGAATTGACTAGGATGCTTGGTTACGCTGACTAGATTTAAAGTTGCTATGGTTAATAGTCATTAATGGGAAGCAAATTTTTTTCAGTATCAAAAATAATACAAAATTTAATCAAATTTACTATGGCGTTATAAAATTTAGAAATCCTAAAGCAATTGTTATTACATCTGTAGCAATTTTTAAAAACACTATTTTAATAATTACTATTAGTAATTTTTACTACCAGAAATAGTAATATTATGCTTAGTAAATTTTACAATTAATAGTAATTTTTACTAGAAGAGTATAATTATTACTATCCATTCCTCTTATTTTAAATTTTATTTCTCTCATTCCATATTATTAACATGCAAAATATTTGTATTCTTAATAAAAATATTAAAACTTGATGTAATAGAAAAAGGAAACTCTAAAATAAACATAGTTAGGACAGTGTCAAATTTCAACTGTTCTATAGGAATGTCGCTCCACAGGCTAATACACTAACCATTACGCTACCCTAACATGGGAATATAAATACAAAATTGATTTGATAACTTCCGACTGAGGAAGATTTAAAAACTGTATTGCTTATATAAAGAAAAAACAATAAGACTATGTGATATATAAAAATTTTAGAGTTTTTTAAATTTAACTATACATACTTAAGTAAAATGAACTATTTATTTATTAATTCCATAGAAAATAGTTAAGCTACTTATGAACACTTCAAAATTTATAATCTCAGGTACAAATATATTCCAGAACTAAACTTCATCAAAATTTTAGAACAGTTACATACATATCATTGTTCCAATATAGTTCTAGATATGCAATGGAACATTAGTTACAAAAACTTTGTGGCTGTAGTGTTATAGAAATGTTATGTAACACTGTTGCAGAATTGTTCCCATTTTTAGGTACAAATGTCATCCAGATATGAACTAATCTGCAACAAAATTTTAGAACAGCTACATAACATTTTTCAGACACAGTTCTAGAACTACGTTGGAACGGCAGTTACAGATCATTTGTGATGATTCTGTTACAGAAATGTTACATTACATTGTTACAGAACTGTGAAGTTAGCAAAATATAGAACAGATCGGTAACTCCCTTGTAACAATGTTCTAGAATTCTGTTACAATGACGTTATATAACAGAATCATAACCAACTTGTAACAAATGTTCTATAAAACTGTGTCCTCACTGTTATATAACATTTATAGAACGTGTTTGCTGGGTACCTGTTCTTCAATATTCTATTAGAATTTCGTTAGGAGACGTGCGGAATTGGAAATGGGAATAGTTTTTTTTCTAACATAAGCTTATTTTTTCAAGAACCAGTACAACTTTTCGAACTTAAAGTCATTGTAAGCATTCACATTCATTTGTTGCTTGTTTATGTTATTGTATACAAACTGATATAGACGGGTAAATAATAATTATTTGGGTATATTCCTGCTGCTAGAGATTGCGTAAATAATGTCGTTCACTCCCACAAGAAAAGATTTAAGTAAAAATAACTCTTATATAATTAGCTATCAACATTTTAAATTTAAATTTAAAAAAATTCTTGTTATATTGGATCTGCCATTTTGTAAATCAATGAGCAGATTCGTAATCAGCGACCCCAATAACCCCCGAGTAGGGAGTTTCAAGCAAATTGTAGGGTTAATTTGAAAAATCTTTGTTTTGAAAATGTAACATTACGGAAAAAATTGTGAAAATAAATACTGTGGGACAAGGGAATTGAACCCGGATTCGACGCACGGAAAGCAAGACCCTTAAGACAGAAATATTTTGCTTTTAATTTACTATTTTTTGTTAATAAATACACTTTTCTCCATGGTTACAAACAAAATTTATTTAATTTAAAAAGCATTTTTGTTTGTTTCCATAAATTTGTTAAATGGAAAAAAATTTGATTCAATATACAATAAGTTTAACTAAATACTTGATTATAACGATAGATTGTCGGGTTTTAAAAAATTAAAGTTTTTTTTATCTCACATTATGAAATTATTATTTTTATTATATATAAACAGTTTTATATTTTTTAGAATTCTTAGAAATAAAGATTCTCAATTATAGATATATCTGTATCACGATGACCTCTAAATTTTGACCATATAACTGATATCAAATGATAAAATGTGTTAATTTGATATAAAGTAGTAGAATTTAGAACATCTCTATAGACAGTTAAAAAATGAAAGTGTAAAAAATTTATATTCTTTATAATATATACATAAATGGTTTTCTTTTGTCAGAAAAAAAAGGAACATGCCAAAATCGACATTGTGGCATTTCCTGAAAATAAACAAAGACCACGGCAAATTTATCGAAAGCTCTCTCAACTTCGCAAATCGAATATTATTGGAGAAATAAATAAATTAACTTTAGAAAAAGAACAAGAACTTTATGAAAAAAATGAGGAGTAAGTTAATTTTTAATTCTGATATTAAATTAAAATTTTAGAAATAATGAAAAAATGTTTAACCCTTAAACTGTAAGGTGGTTTTTGACCTACGTTGACTGTAATCATGGGTCACTCGTGTCCGACGCTTTAAAAAGTGCTTTAAAGTGCTTAAAAACTCGGACAAAATTCATAATATTGCATTAACTATCCTAGAATGAGGACCAATCATTATATTGCTGAAATGTTCATTTGTTTTAATAATATATTTGTTTAAACAAACAAAAACACGAAAAAATTTTTTTTTTAAAAAAATCATAACTTTTAATAAAATTAATATTTTTTAAAATTTCAAATAGGAGAATAAAGCTTAAGAGTGGTAGTTTAAAGGAAAAAATATTGAAAATCTTTATAAATAAAAGAAATGCTTAAATTTTGAGCATGAAAATAATGTTTTTTCAGTGTACGTAAAAGAGGTACAAATTGCAATAAATAGATACATTATATTATTTTTTAATCTTTATTAAGTTTAAAAATTACAATAAAAAGACATTGTATTATTTTTTAATTTTTATTAACGTTAATTTTTTTTCCTTAGAAAACGTCATTTTATAAAAAATAAATAAAAATCATCTAAAAATAAACATCAGAACTAAAAAATAAATTATTTACAAAAAAAATCAAAATTTAAAAAAAAATACTAGAATTTAGCAAAAAATACTTTACTTAACATTCCACACTTTGGCACCGTTCACTGTAAACATGGGTCATTCGTGCATTTTTCAAAATACGATTGGTTCCTGTAACAACTGTTTATGCATTAAACCTATGGCACTTATGGAACATGTAACTCATTAGTGTACAATTTTTTACAATATAGCTTGACCGACCTCCCTCCCCCTCCTCTGAGATAACAAGAGGTGTCACTTTTCAAAAGGCAAGAGTGACCCATGTTTACAACTTAAGGGTTAAGTACCTACATAATTTCCAAATTGTCAAATTAATTTCAATATTTTAAAGGCTACCCACACAGCACAATAACTTGCTGTAAGCTTCCCTTGAGTTTAAACCTAAGATTCGTTAGCTTACAGCGTAAACTTCAAATGAGGTTAACGTGAACTGCAAATGTCCCATCTACCGTAAGCTGCAGTGTAAGATTGTAGTCAGTTTACAGTTAAGCTTACTATAACCTTACTGTAAGCTTCGTGTAATCTTAATATAAGCTTTCATGTAAGATTACTGTAAGCCTCATGTAAACTTCCTTTAAGCTTACACTACTGTTAATTAATATTAATAAATATTATATATTAATAATTAACTATTTTTTTCACACTAGATGATGTATATTGTGATGTAGGATATACAACCCTAACGGGAAAAGTTGATTAAAATCTACTGCGCAGCCGTAAAAGCTATAATAAACTACTGCGCATAAATAATTGTTTAATTCATTTATTAACACTTATTAATAATAATGTAAGGTTACAGAAAGTTTACGGAAAGCTTACAGTAAGGTTATAGTAAGCTTAGCTGTAAACCATCTATAATCTTACACTGCAGCTTACTGTAAAGAGGACATTTGCAGCTTACCTTAACCTCACCTGAAGTTTACGCTGTAAGCTAACGAATCTTAGGTATAAACTCAAGAGAAGTTTACAGCAAGATATTGTGGTGTGTGGGTAACTTTTAACTTTAGTATAATTGTAAACATTAACAAGTTATGCACACCTTAAGGATTGTTGAAAAGTAACATTTATCTATGTAATTTTATAAATATACCTAATTGAAAATTTTTAATAAATGAAAAAACCATTTTAATACAATTTTTGATAGAAAATACAAATATCAATTTAATTTTTAAAATAATATTTTCTAATTGCATTTGTTAATAGTAAAATGATAATAAATAATATGGATAGAATTAAGGATTTTGTCCACCAAACATTACAATTGTTTATCAATGTAAACAAATCTATTAGTAATTAAAATTATAATTCTGCTTAAAGATTTGTTGAAATTAGAGACTATGTATATTAAATTATTTAAATAAATTGTAGAATTGGTGGTCGCAAAGGAATAAATATTTATTATAATTAATTTAACTGATCAATTAAAAACTCAAAAAATATTTTAACAGAACAATAAGCTGTATTAGAAGAGCACTTTTAAAAAATGAATTTTTAAGTAATTTTGAAAGCTCTCAAATTGAGACTTTCATTTTAGCAATGTATTGCAAAACAATTCCAGAATATACTAGAATTATTGAAGAAGGTGATATTGGTAAGTGAAGAGCTTCTACTTTTTTATAATTTTTATGTTTAAAATTTATTGATGTTGCTTCCTAATGAGGAAGCTTTGCATTCCTGACGATTTTCAATTTTTCAAAAGAAGGTTATATGTACTCATTCTCATCTAGAATTAATATATTTGAAGTTCTGAGCAAATGTCTAGATGTAAGTGTGTGTGTATGTTACAAAATATTGTGTACAAATTATCTCAGAAACGTTTTGACGGCTTGTCTTGAAATTTTGTATGCTTATTGCAGTCATAAATACCTAAAATCTGACACAAGGCTTTTCAAATATATTCACAACATTTTTTTTTACAATTTTTTCAAAATTAAAAATTTTTTTTTTCAAAAATTTTTTTTTAATGTAAATTTAATTTTGTTTGGTAAAAGAAACTTATTTCTTGCATTACAACGAATCGATTAACCTATATAAAGTTCATATTTTAGTAAAATCTATAGATTAAATAATTTTTTTGATTTTTTTAAAAAAAATCGTTTTTTGTATTTTTTGAAATAATTTTTCCTTATACAGAAATTTTAAATAATTCTTGTAAAAATTGTATTCCTGGCATGAAAACGAATCGATTGATGTTTATGAAGTTTACATTTTACCAATATTTATGAAATTGATCGCTACTTTAGTTGTAATCGTTCTTTTAATCTTGAATATGAGTGTATCATGATGAGGAAGCTAAATGGTCATGAAATGAACACCTTCTTTTTTATTTATTATTGGAATTTATTTTTTAAAATAGGATACCACCTTTACGTATCAGAAGAAGGTAAATTCGATGTTTATGAAGGTGAAATATACAAAAAAAGTTTCGGTCCAGGAGTTGCTTTTGGTGAACTAGCATTGCTTTACAATATAAAACGATCAAATACAATTGATGGTAAGAATAAATAAATATTTATTTTTAGTAAAATGTAAAAAGGAACTACCCAATAAGCACAAAAACTTGCAGCACACTTGCTGGAAGCTTGCTGTGCAAGGTGTGCAAGATTGCAGTGCAAACATGCAGCAAGTTTGATGCAAGTCACAAAATGTCCTCAAACGGCAAGGTATAGTTATGCGAGTTAGAAGCAATAATATAATTTTTAAAAAAAGTTTTTAGAAACAATTTATTTCTAATAAACTGAGAAAGCACCCTTTGGAGGTTAAAAAATTTATTGCGCAACCGTAGGAGCTTCCGTTTGCAAGTTTGCCCTGCAAGCTTGCCGTTAGAAAACATTTTGTTACTTGCACCAAATTTTCTACATGTTTGCACTGCAATCTTGCACGTCAAGCTTCCTGCAAATTTGTTGCAAGTTTTCGTGCTGATTGGACCCCCACAGCACCGAAACTTTTCTTAAAATTTATTTGAAATGTTCGGAATATTTAATTGCAATGTTTAGTGAAAATTGTGTAAAGATTTAAATGTCCTGATTAAATAAATGTTTAGTGTGAAACTAAGGGAAATGTTCAGGAAAACTTCGCGCTAAGGGCGCACTCACACCTTCTGGCTGCCTGCCTGCCTGCAGGAGTTGTCATGGCAACGTGCAGGAGTAAGAGAGAGAGAAAATTCAAATTTGAATTTACTATCTCTGTTACTCCTACACGTTGCCATGACAACTCCTGCAGGCAGGCAGGCAGCCAAAAGGTGTGAGTGCACCCTAAACATTTATTCAAGCGGGACATTTAAATCTTTACACAATTTTCACTAAACATTGCAATTAAATATTCCAAACATTTCAAATAAATCTTTAGGAAAGTTTCGGTGCTGTGGGGGGGGGGGTATACTTTAACAAGTTGAAGTACCTATAAATTTTGTGAGTTCATTTTATATTTGCTTTCTCATCATATCATGAAATATATATAATTATTTTAATGTTAACTATAACTATAGAAACACATTTCAAGCATGATAAAATACTGACTTATGAAAAGATATCGCCGCCACCGCTGATTCCAGAATGAAAGCTAGGCGAGAACTTCGACGCTTCGCGGGAGCTCACAGTACTCGTCTACCATTCAACTCACGAAGCATTCAGACACACGTACCATTCATAATATGTCTCAAATGAAAACTAGGCGAGAATTTCGACGCTACGCGCAAGATCACAGTACTCGCCTACTGTTCAACTCGCGAAGCATGAAAACTCGCGTACCGTTCAGAATTTGTCGCAAAAATTTCAGATATTGTACTATCTATATCAAGAAAATAAGTTAAAAATTAACATAACATCAATACTCAAGGTCAAACGATAGAATAATAGATTAAAACGAAGATAACTTCAAAAATCAAGGACATATGTCAAAAACCAAAGTTTTTGATGGTTAGGGCAAGCAACACACTGACGTGAGAGCATAACACAACGCCGGCGCGTCGCATATTTATTGTTGTGCCTATAATTGAACCCTCAACTGCTTAGAAATGTATTTAAAGACTAATCTAATCATTAAAAAACAGAATTAAAATAAATGTAAATGTAATAATTGTATTCAAATTTGTGCAGCTTATAATTAATTGCTTTTTTAAAGTAATAAAATGTACACAATTAATGTGACCGCTAATATGAACTTCAATTAAGATTACATTTCACTCTAAAACACGATCATAAAATTTATTTCATATAGTAATTCCTTTACGATTTAAAAAAAAATCACGGAAACTGATAGCACTCACTTAAAGGAAAATATTAGCTTTTTCTAAGATGTTTAGAATTCATTTTACTTAATAATCATTACTAAACTTTTTGGAATAGAAACCTAAAATTTTCTTTTTATTCCTACGGTAATAGAAATTATTTCAATTGTCCTATACTCAGTTCGAAATCTCAATTTTCATTTTTCTCCGTGTTATAAAATATTTAAAGCAGACTGCATAAAAATTTTTAAGGGGGCACTCGCAGTTGTAACTTTCAAAAAATCGATTTTTTTTCTTTCATTTTCTTAGAGCATTTTGTTACGTCTCAAATAGAGAAATAACTAACGAAATAATATTTTATTTTATTTATGGCCGCTCGGTGATTCAGTGAATTCCTGTTTCATTTACAAAGCAGAAGGCTCTGAACTAAGGGTACAGGAAAGAAAGGGAATAGTGATTTTTAATGACAAGGTTACAAATTTATTTAGACAAATATTTAGAGTTATAAAATTGATCTTTGAGAGAGAGTATCCTGAAGCAACCATTCTTTAAATAAGGGGAAGTCAGCATTCCACTGCAACAAGGAATGTATAGGTTAATACAAATTTTTATAAGGAGTTAGGAAGGATTTAGATGAACAGTATTACAACTTACCTTGAAGATTTAGATGTAAGATGTATGAAAAAGACCAATTCTGTGTCCTAATTATGATAGGAACTTCTGGTACCAGATATAGTTTAAGAGCTCACAGGAAAGTTGACGGGCCTTGGTGATGACCACAAGTCCGGAGTTCAGTTGACCGTAATGAAATACAAACAGTTAAAATCTTCCAGAAAAGGAAGGAAAAATGATTTCCAAATATTATGGGAAGTCAAATCCTTGAATACTTGAATGAGCTCTTCTTGACGTAGAAACTTTTAACACTTGACACAGAGATTATTCTAAGTCTAACTTGAGTATAAAATCGAGCAGAGTAACAATGCTTGTACTAGATTTCGTATATGACGAAGACGTGCTGATACCAAAATATGAACTGAACTAGAGGTTTCGGTGTCAATTTCTGAACACAACTCGGTATTGATTAAAAAAAATGATTCTTATAACATGAATGTAAGAGTTACGGTGACGTGACAATATGTAGTCAGAAATATGTCTACAAAATTTTAAGATGATCCGGTGAAAATTCAATAAGATATACAGGCTGAAAGGGAGGCGCGTCAGTTCGGTCGAGAACAGGCTATAACTGCCGTGTGGGTCTTTATACCTTTATATTTGAATTGGAATTTTGGAAACAGCTTCATCTGAGGAAGAATTATTATATGGGCCCAGAATTGATGATTCTATCTGATTTTCAAAAAAAATTTCATCTTCATGTAAATGTAAGTAAAACTTTAAACACGTTTTTTTCAAAAATACCAGTCAAAAATACAGAGTAGTCGGTGACTACTCTTACTTGAAAACTACTGAACCGATTGTCTTCAAATTTAACATACTTTTTCAATACATAATAATCTAGTCTTTAATCGAAGGATTGATTTTTTTATAGAAAACTTTTATTTTTACAGCTGAAAAACGACCGCTTTTTTTATGAAAGTCTAAATTTCAACTTTGACAGGTCGCCATTTTGTCAAATATTTTTTTCTTTTTAAATCCTTCGATTAAATACTAGATAATCTTTCAATAAATGTAAATCCGTTTCAATTTTTGATTTCAGAAGAACCAGATTTCCATAGTGTTGGTCACCGCAAACCATGTTTTTCGGAAGGACGTCACTTCGACGGGACATATCTTTAAAACTTTTTAATATTTTTAACTTTTTTTTAAAAAATTTAAGTTTAAATTATGTACTTTCAGATAATAAATCAATATTTTGAACAAATTTAATGGTTTACGAGAAAAAAATTAATGAAAAATGTCTATTTTTTTGGCGCTACAACTGCGAGTGCCCCCTTAAAGATGACCTTGTATGAGAATTATTTAATTTTTTTTTATTTATTTGCAGTAAAGGATGGTGGTAAAGTATGGGTCTTAGAACGATCTGCTTTTAAAACAGCTTTAGAAAATTATGATCTCTTTAACACAAGTGACAATATCAAACTATTAAAAGGAATTTCAATTTTAAGCTCTCTCCCCGATCATGTCCTGCAACAAATTTCTAATTTAATTAATCTGGTATGAGACAATTATTAAATTAAAAATATTTTCGGCTCTGATTTTTTCCTGTAATTATTGAGTTTTAATTAAAATGAGAATGTAAAAAAACTATATTATCCTGAAATTATTTCACAAATTAGCATTGTTTTTATATTTCCTGACATAAGAAAATTGTATTTAAATTGTTTGAGCATTTATTGAAAACTTTTGGCTAAAGAAGCTAATAAATTTTGACTTGTCTTTTCTATAGTTAAGAGAATAATTGAATTTTAATTTATTTTCAAAATAGTGTAATTAAATGAGCTCTATAATATTCAATACATTTAATAATATTTTTAGGAATTTTTTCCTCCAAATACCCAGATTTTTAAACAAGGCGAAGTAGGCGACAAATTTTACATTATTAATGGCGGAAGAGTAAAAATCACAAATTGGACAAAAGGAAGAGAAGAAGAAGAAGTTCTAGTTATTCTAGGAAAAGGCGATTATTTTGGTGAGAAAGCACTTTACGAAGATGGAGAAAATATTAGACAAGCTAATGCTACTTCACTTTCACCTGGAAGTGAATGTCTGACAATTGATAGAAAGTAAATTTATCAATTTGTTTCTATTTAAATCAAATAATGCAACAAATATATATATATATATATATATATATATATATATAATTTAATAATAAAATTGTTTCATTCTTTAAGATCTTTTCTACATTATTTGGGCAATCTTCAAGAAATTAAAAATAAAGACTGGATGGGAGAGTGTGCGGTGCGAAAAAAAACAAATAAAATTCGATGGTTAAATGAATATCCCGATCTTTCATTATCGGATCTGATGGTGATAGATACACTTGGAAAAGGTAGTTTCGGACGAGTCGAACTTGTGACCGTCAGTTTTATTCCAGGCGTAAGTTTTGCTCTGAAGAAAATGAAGAAGAAAGAAATCACTATCAAAGGCTATCAAAATTATATTTATAATGAAAAGAAAATTTTTCAAATTTGTAATTCTCCATTTGTAAGCAAGTGAGTTTATATTGTTCCATCAATTTTTTTTAATTGAAAAAGTTAGTCTTTTTTTACATTTTAACATATTGAGTTTGTGTGATTTATTATAATTTTTTTTTTTATTTTAGATTGCATAGAACTTTTAAGGATAAGAAATACTTGTATCTTTTAATGGAAGTATGTCTAGGTGGAGATTTGTATTCATTAATTTTAAGAAAAGGAAAACTTGACTATTTAACAGCTAAGTTTGCAATGGCTTGTATCATAGAAGCTCTAGATTACGTTCATAATCTTGATATTGTTTGTAGGGACTTAAAGCCAGATAATATTTTAATCGACAAAAGAGGATATCTTAAACTGGTAAGAAATCACAAAGTATTATAGGGAGCTTTTCTTTTAATTTTTTAGTTCATTTTTCCTTGTAAAATTATAGTTAATATTAATTGTTACAAAATTATTTAGACAGATTTTGGCACCAGTAAAATAATTGGCACTAGTAAATCGCGGACCTTTGTTGGAACTCCAGAATATGTAGCACCCGAGATCATACTAAATAAAGGACATGACAGGTATATCTTTATTAAATTTAAATAAACTATATCTCTCATATATGAATAATTAAATAATCATAATTTTACAAATGCTTAGTGAAAAATTTTTATAAATTAATTTTTTCGTAATTACAGAGCTGTTGACTTTTGGTCCCTTGGAGTAATTCTTTATGAAATACTTACTGGAGTACCTCCTTTTGAAGATGATAATGTTTTAGCTCTTTATAATAAAATTTTAAAAGGCATAAATTCAACTCATAATTTACGAAATATTAAAGAAAATGCAACCGATATGATTCTAAAGCTTTTACGAAACAATCCTATCGAGCGTCTTGGATACTTGCAAGGAGGAATAATGGACATTCGCTTGCACAAGTAATCACCTATTTATATTAACAAAAAGTTAAATATATTTTTATTTATTTCTTAACCCTAGAAGAAGTAACTCAGGTATCTAGACTTTTGTGCTGACTGGGTTATTTGTCAAATTTAACAAAAAATTTCCGAGAATAATGTTTCAATTATTTCTAGTCAAAAAGTCAATGATTGTTATCATCTTAATGACTTAAATTATAAAAAACAACAATAAATTCTCAAAAATGATATCAATTATTATCATCAGGACGATAATTGTTATCATTAAAATGATTTTAATAGTCCTGATAACAGTTTACCTTGTTTAGGGTTAAAATTGCTACTTTAAGCTAAAAATTTTTTTTTCATAATTTAAAAAAATGATGTGAATTTTTCGCGAACTTTTCCACATGGGGATATTTAATACTAATATGTATTATATTATATTAATTTCAACAGATGGTATAGTTCTTTTAATTGGTCAGCAGTTCAAAATTTATCAATGCCTTCGCCTATTGCACCAAACGTAAGTAATTTTATTTATTTTTAGTTATAAAAATATAGAATTAATACTAAAAGCCAATATTATATTACTAAAGTACATTAATGTAAATTTTAGATACGCTATCATCTTGATACACGGTACTTCCAAAAATTTCCTGAAGACTTGGAAATTCCACCTGACGACTTTTCCGATTGGGATAAACAATTTTAAATGTATTGCTTACACATAGAAGACATATTGTAATATTAAAAACTTCTGACTTTAAATTTTCTTTATGTTTTTTAATATCATAATAGGTATATATATATATATATATATATATATATATATATATATATATATATATATATATATATATATATTATTCCTAAGTAGTCATTGTTTAAATATCAAGAGATCTGCAATATTTTTGTATAATTACGTCTTTCAAAAGTCCAAAAAGCATATCTTTTTCGGCATCCAGTATTATTTTTTAAACTATTAAAATAAAAAAAATTTTATAAAAAAAACTCAACATAAACTATAGAAATTTTATAAGTTCTATTTATTTCGTTGACGAAAAAGTTCGTCATATTTGTAAAAGTTTTTATCTGCCTTCAATGGTTGAAATGTTTAAGACCCAGAGTTTCAATCCAACTTATCAGGGTTCGATTCCAGCTCCTGAAGATTTTATTCTTTATTTCTTTATAACTTCATAGAAAAAATTAAACTTAACATAAAAATTTATATATTAATAATTAAATATAATAGTTACTGTGTTTGAACTTAGAAAAAATAGCGAAGCAAACATATTTAAAAAGAGAGCCAAGGTTTGAACGTCTTTTGGACATCTTTTAGACCATTTTGTGAATGTCTTTTAGACAATTTTTAGGCCAGACATCAAACACCGTGAAGAAGTCTTTTGGTTGCCTTGATGATGTATCGGAGATATTATCATCATTGTGTCACGATGATCGTAGATAAAAAGCGTATTTGATTCCTGTCTTAAATGTCTCGGTGTTTATTGGGTAAATTAAATATAAATGTGATTAGAATTACTTATTACATAAAAATAAAAGGGCAATTGCAAATACATAGTGCTTATGATCCGAAGTTATAATTATGGGGACAACACAGAAAAAACCTAGTCTCATTTTTGCTGCAGTTCAAAATGAGTCAATGCTAAACGACATAGACAGTGGCGCCACCAACCTGACTCATATTTGCTGCACATCAAAATGAGTAGCGTATGCTATTCATTTTGAGTTCAGGTTTTTTCTGTCAACCACTTTTTAGCTGGACTAATCTTCATCCTACGAAACTACCATCTGGATTTAAACTTCGTAGGTGATGATTTCTATGGGATCTCTCTCGCTCGAGAATGCTTTTGTCAATCTTTCTAGTCCATTTCTTCTTTATTGTTGCGAAAGTCTTCCTGTTTTCCTTGAGGTCAGACCCACTTGGAAAGATTCCCCGGAAAGTGCCCCCTGGAGGTTCTATCAGAATTCCGCCGGAACTTCCAACGTAATTCCGTCGGAATTCCATCGGAGTTCCAAAGAATTTCCGATGGGATTCCGACGGAATTAGGAATCTAAAAATTCTGATAAAAAATAATCGGAATTCCGACGGAATTACGTTGGAAGTTCCGGCGGAATTCTGATAGAACCTCCAGGTGGCATTTTCCGGGGAATTTTTCCATGTGGGGACCAAAAGACTCCACAAGCTGCAGTACCTGTGACCTGTCTCTGGTTGGGACCTACGACCGTTACGTCATCTCCATGCCTCTTGCAAGTAGGATAACCATAATTGATCCTCTTATCCTTGCTTTCCGGCAGACTATAACGTTGTGACTTATTTGACGGTTCTGTTTACATTTCTCCGGATGTCGCAAGTTTTTGGACAACTTTTCGGAGTCGGTATCAAAACTACACAAGAATTTTCATAAAAAAGTTATATTGTACAAAAGATAAAAATTGTTATTTTTTACATTATATTTTTTTAATGTTGTTTTTATTTTTTGTAAATTTTAACTTTTTTGTAAATGAAAAAATTTTTTTTTTAATTTGTTATTTTGTACATTGAATTTTTTTTGTTTTTTCTTAACGTTATTTTTTACATAATTTTTTTAGTTATTTTTTACATAATTTTTGTTGTTTTTTTTACATATAGAAAAAAAATTTTTCGTTATTTTTTGGGGGCGGTTTGAGGTGCACACAAACTAAATGCATACATTGAAACTGTATATAAGCTGCATTTACAAGTACAAATGAATTTTAACATTAATTCGTATGCAGTTTAAAGTTTGGGTCAGTTGGGGTAAATGGGGACAAAATCCCTATTTTTCACAAATTACGTAAGTTTCTTTCTTTAACAGGTAATATTTGCGGATTTATTTTTTAAGTTATTATTTACATTCCCAGGATTAATTTTATGCAGCAGAAAAAATTTAGATAAGTATATTACTGTATTAAGGGATAAAAATACTTGAATGAAATTTTTAATAGGGCGGACGAATTTAAATTTTTTTTATAAATTGATTAAATTTGCTTAATTGATATCTTTTAATATTTTTTTTATTTAAGTATTTTGTCTCGCATTTCAAAGAAAACAGACTTAAAAATCAGAAAAAAATTTTCCTTATGATTTCCTTAACAAAAATCCACTTGAATTTTTGATTTTTGTCGATTTGGTTAATAATAACAAGTTGTCCCCATTTACTCCGAGTTTTCAAATTTTTAGGGTTATTATTAACCAAATTGACAAAAATCAAAAATTCAAGTCAATTTCTGTAATGGGAGTCATAAGGAATAAGAAACAAATTTTGTATGATTTTTAAGTCTGTTTTTTTCAAATGCGAGACAAAATACTAAAATAAAAAAAAAATTAATTGGTTCAACTATTATATATCTACTACAATTTTTTTTCAAGTATTTATATCTCTTAATACAGTAATATACTTAAGGAAACTTTTTTCTTAAACCTTTCTTAGAAACTATGATGTCCCCATTTACCCCAAATTTAAAAAATTTTTTTTAATCTTACGGTAAATGTGGACAGTCAGTTTTATGCGTTTAAAGCTTATCTAAATTTTTTCTGCTGCATAAAATTAATCCTGGGAATGTAAATAATAACTTAAAAAATAAATCCGCAAATATTACCTTTTAAAGAAAGAAACTTACGTAATTTGTGAAAAATAGGGATTTTGTCCCCATTTACCCCAACTGACCCAAACTTTAAACTGCATACGAATTAATGTTAAAATTCATTGTTATATTCGTTATATTCGTTAATTAGAAGTTTTATTTAAATTAAAAGATTATGTTGAATCGTTAATCAAGACCCTAACTCATACCCTAATACTGCCGTGCTGATGAAGAAAGTCCGTACTTGCATTTAGAGTGTTTTCGAGATATTTAAAGAAACGCATTTTTAACTAGCATAATTAATATATAAAAGTTATTAAAATAATTACAACGGTACTTTACTAATTTTGGCATGCTCTATTTAATGGCGCAAAAAAAAATTTCAAAATTTTCATTTTTTATAAACAAAATGTCGATTACTGCCAAAAATTAATTTTGAAATCCTGAAAATACTGCCACAGAGTCCGTAAGTGCTCCTACGGCTCGATGACGTCACGACCATAGAGTCTGTACTTGCAGCCTATTACGTATATTCTATATTGTGACTATGGAAAGAAGTATTAGGCTTTTATATTTTTTACAATTTTTGTTTGTTGTTATTTAAAAAATTACAGAAGTGTAATAAATAATAATTTACAAATAAATTAATAATAGTTTTTCTTTAATTTCTTAATTATTATTAATTTATTGAACTGAAAGAAATTCAGAAAATATTAGACAAAATAAAATTTAATTGTCACTGAAATATAATATTTAATTATAAACAAATATATTATTATCAGTCATTTTGTTGAATTTATTGAATTATTTTAAATGATGATTGATTTTTTATTTTAATAATGGTTGTTTATAGTTGTTAATGTTATTGAATTAATTATTTATTATTAAATTATTGTTTAATTATTGTTATTAAAATATTATTTAAATTAAATTAATTAAAATTAATTATATTAAATTAATTATATTATATTAATAATAATATTAATATTATTATTATTATTAAATTAATTAAAATTAGTATTTTCATTTAAATGTTTATTTATTTTAGATTAATAATAAATAATTAAATTACTTAAGTTAATGTAATGTTATTTGTAGAAATGCAAGTACGGACTTTTTCCATCAGGAAAGTTGGTCCTTTATCGCCAGAAATACTTGAGGCAAAGAGTCCGTACTTGCTCTTACGGCCCATGGCATCAGTATTTCTAGTCAAGTCAGACCACATTTACTGGCAGTACTTGCCCTTGCGGACTCTGCTTCCAGTAAAGTTCATAAATACGTCATCATTTTCGAGCAGTAATAGTACTTACCGACTATTTTTGCTTGCAAGTACGGACTCTGTCAAAATGATTTCGCGAAATCACTGTAATTAAACACTAATTAATTAACATTAATAAAAAATATTACTACAGCTAGATTCCTTTTTTCATAACGAATCCAGTGATATAAAAAACTCATTTTCGATAAAAATGTCGATTACCGACTTTCTTCATCAGCACGGCAGAATAACACAAGATATCTTGGGATATATTGATAATATCCCGCAGATATCCTAGGGATGTCCTATGGATATCAAAAGGATCTCTTAAGGATATCCAAAAAATCGGCGGTTTGGATATCTGAGGATATCCACAGGATATCTTCTGGATATCTCTATAGACTTTCATAAATGTCCTCCAGATATCCCATAGATATCCCACAGATATCATCAGGATATCCCATAGATATCGTCAGGATATGCCACAGATATTTTCAGGATATTCTCAGTATATCTTCTGGATGTCAAGAAGATACTCTCAGGATACTGTTTTTAAAGTCATTATAAGACTACGAGTGAGAATATTCTGTGAATTAAATTTTATATAAATAAAATAAAATGCAACTTGTTTTTCAAGAAAGTTGTTTAATTTGAAAAATTATTAACTAATTGCATGAGTTTATTTAAAAACTTTAAAAAATGCGTTTCAAATCTTCATTTAAAATAAATTAGAAGCTCATAAGATTTTTGTTTTTATTATATTATTATTCATTATATTAGCTTAATAATTTTAACCTTTAAAAATATACGTTGAGATATTAAATATCCCGTGAATATCCTAAGAATATCCCACGGACATCATGAGGATATCCCATGGATATCCTGCGATATAATATCCAATAGATATTTTGTGGATGTCTTAGGGATATCCTGTGGATATCCTATGGATGTCCTGTTGATGTCCCACAGACCGGCGGTTTGGATATCCTAGGGATATTCCAAGATATCCTGGGGACCATTCTAGGATATCGACCATTGATATGATATCCTAGGGATATCCTTTTGTTATGAGGGTTTTATAGCGATTCTATTAGATTACTGTATACATAGAATAATTAATATTAAATGTACCATTGAATCTACATCTCTTCAACCCTAAATAAATTAGCTACGAACAAAATCATAATATGATTTTTAAATTTAATTATTAATAACTGATTTTTAATTCAATTTTATTTGCTTATTTATTCACTTACTGTTTATTAATTTTTAATTTCATATTCTGTGTGAAAATAATTTTTTAAAAAGATAATACACCAATGCTCTTTATATTTCCATTATAGTAATTGTTCAATGACGGTTTTTTTTATTCTTGCCAATAAAAATTACAGTCGCATTAGGTGGAATCTTTGCTGCATCAGATTTTACAAGACCACTGAAAAAAAATGTATTTACATATTGTTAAAATGAAATTAACAAATCTGAGGTTAAAACATCGACAACATTTGACAAGAACATCTAGCCTAATAATTATTGTTTAAATAGATCCTAAAGACGAAATTCACACTACATCTACATTTCAAAATTCAATTCCAATGCTCATTTAGGTAATACAACCCGGACAGCACCGAAACTTCCCTGAACCTTGAGTTAATGTTGAGTTAATGTTTAAATGTCCGCGCATAATAAAAGTCAGTCACAGAGGTTGGCTGAATATTGGATTTGAATTTCTGTTAGATATTAAAATTAAAGATTCTTGGCATATTGTAAGGAAATTATAAATTCAAGATTTGTTAAATGTAATCGTTAAATATTCTGGAAACTTAGAAGGAGCATAAATACGGAAAAATAAAAAGAAAACAAATGAATTTAAAAAACTATTGAAAATGGCATTTTCTATGACATGGGAAAGCGTAAATAAAACAGAAATTAATAGACAATCATAAATACAGTTATATTTTTAGTAATAAATTATTATTACATTAAATTACAAATAGTGTTTAACTCTTTTGACAAGAAATATTTTTAAATAGAAATGTTGTCTACAATGTGTGGTGAAACAAAAACTCAAATAAATGAACGATTTACTTCGCAAAATTTGTACTATAGACAAAAAAAATGCATTTTTGTGATGATTTACTCAGAAAATTCTTTTGGATGAATTTTTTTTTAGGCTCAATAAAATTATTGTTGAGATTATTTACTAGGATTTCTGCAAAAAAATTCTGATAACTCGTTTTAATAAAATTTGCATTTAATTTTAATTTTGATTTTTTTTTTTTAATTTTAATTTTTTATTTGCACATGAAATGTGCCTGCAGACTCTCAAAAAAACCTTTATAAATATAATTTTTATGTGACTACTAATAAATATAACTGTATTTATGATTGTCTATTAATTTCTGTTTTATTTACGCTTTCCCATGTCATAGAAAATGCCATTTTCAATAGTTTTTTAAATTCATTTGCTTTCTTTTTATTTTTCCGTATTTATGCTCCTTCTAAATTTCCAGAATATTTAACGATTACATTTAACAAATCTTGAATTTTTAATTTCCTTACAATATGCCAAGAATCTTTAATTTTAATATTTAACAGAAATTCAAATCCAATATTCAGCCAACCTCTGTGACTGACATTTAAACATCAACTAAACCTCCTTTGGACCTCGCGACTCAAGTTCCCGAACTTCGTCAAGCGAGGTTCAGTCAAGGTTCAGGGAAGTATCGGTGCTGTCCGGGAATTTTAATTGCAAAATCTGTTTTATAAATGCTTGGTTTAAGTTATGGTTTAAAATTAAATCAATTGGAGATCTAAAGTGTATTTTATTTTTATCATTTACTTACTTAGATTGTATATCCACACCAGGAGTAGCTTTATAAATCGTAATTTGACCAGGAGTATTTTTAAATTTTCTCAAATTGATAGTTTTCGTTTGATTATTTAAGTTTATTACAACATATACAGAATTTTTTCCTTTCGCTTTTCTATTGGAAATAAAGTTTTTCATTTACAAAAAAATGATATTTTTGATGATTTAAAATTGTAAAATTATAATTAATCATACCTTGCAAATGCCAATATATCATTATCTAATACTTTTAATTCCAAATTTCCATTTCTGATAGATGATGTTTTTCTGAATGTTGCAAGTTCTCTATAATAATTGTAATAGGATTCCTTAGTAGCTTTTTGAAATTCTAAATTAAGAGTTTTGTAATTTTTATTTACTGGAAGCCATGTTTTTGGATTAGTTGAAAATCCTGTAAAGTACATAAACTATCGTCTATATATTTTTTTATTTTAAAAATATTCTGGTATTAATTAAATGTCAAAAATTTTTGAATAATTTTTAAAAATTATTTATTGTTTATACATTTTCAAATGATTCTCACCGGCTGATGTGGAATTATCCCACTGAAAGGGTGATCGTACAGGATCACGAAATCTGGATGGATCAGTTGTATTAATTGGAGTATCAACCATTCCGATCTCCTCACCATTGTAAGTAACACTAATTCCAGGAAGTAACAAAGCCATTGTCGTAACTGCAATTGCTCGATGAAAACCAAGTCGAGACACTAATCTCGGATTGTCGTGATTACCTGTCTAATAATTATTGAAATATTGACAATCACTTATGATTAAAACCTAATTCAAATAATAGTAATGAATAAATTAAAATATATTGACATTTATTAAGGGGGATTACTCATGAGAAAAAAATTTTTTTTTTTGATTTTTTTTTTTTGCTTTTTTACAATCCTTAATGTCTCTAAAGTACACTTCAAAAATTTTATGACGAAATTTAGCTCCTATTAAAAGTTATGGTACAATTTATGTACATATGTTGAAAAAAATGTTACTGCATTTTTATGAAATTTAGTATCTTAACGTTTTCGGGGTCGCTGATTACGATCTAGTCTACAATAATTTAATAGTCCTATACTTCTGGGAGAAAACGGACCAAAGTTGACTTAAAAATATTGATTTTATTTAAAGATATGAAGGATTTAACACTAAAGCCGAAAAAAGCGTACTTAAACTTTAACTGCGTTTTTCTCAAAACGTTGTTTTTAAATCGGTTGCAGGGATTGTGAATAAACGGATGGATATTTCGGCCTAGCTTTTTTTGCATATTATTCAAAAATATGTTCTTTAATGGTTATACCTAAAAAATTCAAAAAATTTTTTTTAATATGTGTTAAAACATTAAAATGGCGGGAAAAAACATCATTTTTTCAACTTTTTTGTTGAAAGTAGTGCCATTTTTTCCAATTTTGATTTTTTAAGGTAATTTTAGGTATAACCACTACATTATTACTTTAACTTTAAGATTATTTTTTAATTTTTGGTTTTAAATCACTGGGGAGTGCGATATGTCTGCAACCGCTGAGCGCCTCAAAATCGAAGCGTCGACTATGACACCCTCTACACAGAAAAAACCTGATCTCAAATTGAGTACAAAATTTATACTCGATTTGATACGCATCAAAAATAAAACTGGTTGTCTCATTTCAAGTTCTAAGGTAAAAGTATCAAAATGAAACAGGTAAGTTTCATTTTGAGAAGAAGAAAAATGGAAAAATATTGTAAAATAAAGAATAATTTTGCACAAATACATGAAATATAATAATTACAAAGAAGTAAATAACACGCTAGACTTAATATATTTGATTAAAAATTGGTTGTAATCGCGTAATAAAATAATAAAGGAAATATGTTTTTAGGTTAGAAAAATGAAAACATGTGTTTTGACAATAGGAACGGTACTACCAACTTAAATAATAGCGGTAAATTTAAAAACTTATGAAATTAATTATTATCTACGTAAATAATAATAAATAATTTTTATTTAAAAACTTCTAAATATTCGTACTGGTCAAAATAATCTTTCTGGTGTTGTTGAAATATTAGAAAAATTAATTGAAATACAAAATTACTCTGCTTATGATGCCAACTTAGAAATCTGAAATTCCAGCCAGTATCATTTTGAATAACATAAAGTTTGTCCCATACTCATTTCGATACCCAAAAGAAAATGAGTTGCAACAAAAATGAATTCAAGTTTTTTCTGTGTATACAGCCTAACACAATACAAAAATAAAAATAAAAATTATTGTTTTTAATACTACAAATTATACTTTTCAATTCGCAAAAAGTCTTTTTACATTTTATAATTAACTAAGCGAGAAAAAAATGTTGAATTTTGACATATTTTGCACACTTCTCATGAGTAATCCCCTTAAAGGAAAATTAGAAGTTCTTAAAAAAAATGCCCCTTTTTCCTTTTGAATTGATTAAAATGATTACCACCCAGTTAGCAGTTGCTCCTTGAGGCATAGTTAACATCCATTTATCCACAAAATTTTTAATGTCTTGTGCAGTTGACGAATTTTTTATATCCATGAGTATAAAATTAAAAGGAAAATGAATTCCTGATGTATAATATTTCATAGTCATTGAATTATTAGCATAGGCTTCGACCATTAATACTCTTGGTACTTGATCAACTTTAGCACTGTAATCATCAACTACTTTTCGCCATTCTGACATCAGTTCATAATTTTTAGGTTGATCTTTCGTATATATTGAAATTGTATAAGAATAGTCATTAACATCCGATATACCAGATAATGGTTCATCTAAAAATCTTTCATCTTCAAAAATATATGGAGTAGCGTCAATTCGAAAACCATCGACTCCTCTATCCATCCAAAATCGTAGAACATTCTTTTAAAAATAAACGTTCTTTATAAATATAACTTTTCCAAAATTTACCTCTAAAGTTTTATTTACTATAATTCTGTATGCAAAATATTATAAACCTTCATTTCTTCAGATAACTTCTCATTTCTGTAATTTAAATCAGGCTGAGTAAATCCGAATTGATGAAGATAAAATGCTTGTCGTTGCTCATTCCAAGTCCAGGCTGAGCCTCCAAATACACTTCGCTAAATTAGACAATGTTGATTATTTCACCTAAATAAATCAATAATCTATTTCAAGCTATTCAAATTGTAAATATTAGTAAAAATTTTACCCAATTATTGGGTTCTTTTATGGTATTATTAATTTTATGTCCTTTGTGCCACACATAATAGTCAGTATAAGGTTCAATTCCTTTAACACTTTTTTGAAACCATTCATGTTGATCGGAACTATGATTTGGTACAAAATCCATTATAACTTTAAGTGATAATTTATGAGCTTCTCGAACTAAACTTTCAAAATCTGCATTAGTTCCAAAAATTTTGTCAATTTCAGTAAAACTAGACGCATCATAACCATAGTCTACCATTGGACTTTTATAAATTGGTGACAACCAAAAAGCATCAACATGTGAGTCAACTAAATGACTCAGTCTACTTTCAATACCTTAAAATCATAAACATCAATTATTTTATCTCGATACACTAAGAAAAATGTTTAGTCAGAGCAACCAAAATTTGGTTGGGCCAACAAAAAAAAATTTTGTTAGTATTTAAGCAACCAAACTATTTGTTTGAGTCAACCGAAAAATTTGGTTGAGTGTTTTTTGTTGGCATAACAAAAATGGTTGGTTAGCTCAACCAAATTTTTTTTGTTAGGTCAACAAAAATGTTTGGTTGATCAAACAAACAGTTTTTTTGTAAAATTAAAAATTTTATTCTACCTTATTCCTTTTCTTTTTATCTTTTTTATTTATATCATTATTTATTTATTATCAATTTAACATTGAATTTATATTTATCCAATTGAAATATTTGTGGACTTTGAAAAATCTCATCTCCGCCTGGGAGCTGAAAGCGAATCAAATTATTTGGTTGTCGCAACCAAATTTTGGTTAGGACAACAAACGATCATTTGGTTTTTTATACCAAATTATTTTGTTGTCGTAACCGAATTTCGGTTGGAATTTAAAAATGTTCAACCAAATGATTTTGTTGGCCTAACCAAATGTTTGGTTGAGATAACTCTACGACTTTGTTTTAGCCAACCAAAATTTGATTACAAGAACCAAAATTGCCTAATCAAACAATTTTGTTGCAAACACTAATTTTTTTTCTCAGTGTACATATTTTACATCAAATTTACTATTATATGAATTTTATTTCATTATTAATTCATGCACATTATCAATTATTATTGCTTCATCATGGAGGAAGCATATTGTACAGTTAATTCTATGAATATTGCCAAAAATTAAACATCTGATAAGCATTTTCGTAGAATTGTGGTACCTTTACTTTCAGTACATTTCTCCTCTAGCGTGATATTCGTTTCACTCTCTGCAAATAGTTCTAAATCCAAGTTTTCAATGGATTTTGTTTATGGCAATATTCATAGAGAGAGAATCGAATTCTGAGACCGAGCGTGAGCGCCTTGATAGTCGAGAGGAGTGGGGATTACTCTCGAGTGAAAATAAGGGGAAGCGACAATATTGATGGTGGCAATATTCGTAGAGTTGACTGTAATACCGAAATTTTTCGAACTCGATTTTTTGATGTATCTTTATGTTTTTCGACCTCAAGAATCCAAAAATCATATTTTTAAAAAATGTCGTTTCGTGTGTGTGTATATACACTACATTTTCATAAATATCTCGAATACTACAAGAGCTAAAGGGATAATTGTTTTCTAAATTGCAGGTCTCACTGTCGCACAATTAATGAGAGTATTTGAGCTTTATTAATAAAGATTAACTATTATTTTTTTTGTATTTTAAAATTTTTGAAAAATCGTTTTTTGCCCATAACTTAAAAAAATGTATTGACACCAACAGATGTTTATCTCTAGTTTTGTACAGTTTTTCAAGGCGCATCTTTTGACCTATTAGCGAATATCCTACTGTTATTTTATTCAGAGTTATTAACATTTTGAAATTGAAAAATTTTGAAAAACCTGCCTTTTTGCATTATTTATTAAAAAATCTTTATGTATAACTTTAAATTTATTATGAACAACTTGAAGAATATTTAAAACGAATAAATTGACCTATTATTGAACCTTTTATTATAAAATATTATGAAGTTATTGATGTTAAAAATTTTTCTCTGCATATGCCTAAAAATACAACTTAACACATTTTTAAAATTATTATAATACTAAATAAGTTACCATAAATTGATCACAAAAAATCGATGAGGAATTAAAGTGTTCATGACATGAACATGAAAAGTTCATACTTCAACTTAGCAGCGGTTTTTTACTCCCTTTATCAGATTTAGTCAAAATTTTACTAATTTAATTAGTAACACCGTATTTTACTAATGAATTAGTTGTTTCATCACTTTCTACTAAAAAAATAGTCACTTTTAATAACTAAATGAATTGTAGAGATTTTCTTCTAATTTCTTAGTCTTCCCTATTGAAAAGTCCTACAAAATTTCATAAGATCCTTCGTAAGATCTTACGTGGGATGCGTTTAAGGAAGCTCTCAGACAACATACGACATTACTGTACGAATTTGGATCAGGCAATGTTACAGGAAACTATATAGGAGGACTGAGGATTGAACCCAGGTTCGACGTGCGCTAGCTAAAGACCCTATACACTAACCTAACCACCGACTGCGGAGGAAAACAAAAATCTTCCTCATACTCTGTAAGTAGAAACTTTAGATTGCAGAGTGAGAGGAAGATTTTTGTTTTTCTCTGCAGTCGGTGGTTAGGTTAGTGTATAGGGTCTTTAGCTAGCGCGCGTCAAACCCGGGTTCAATCCCCAGTCCCTCCAAATTTATTTTCAAATATTTCTCCAGAATACTAGAAATCGAAAAACAAGCAAGGCAACAATGACATAAATAAAAAAATAAAAATTTTTTTATACTATATAGTTTCCTGTAACATTTCCTGAACGAAATTCGTACAGTAATGTCGTATGTTGTTTGGGAGCTTTCTTAAACGCATCCCACGTAAGATCTTACGAAAGATCTTATGAGGATTACTAATAGATTCGTTTTAAAAGATCACACATGGAAAACTTTGCAGGAATTTTCAATAGGGTTAGTTACATATTGAATTAGTAACTTTTGACTAATTCACAGTAAACAAATCCGCCCTATTTGAATTAGTCAAAAATGAAGGTGAATAGTCAAAAATTAAAAACTTATTAATTACCTTTGAGATCACCTATTCCGTCTCCGTCGCTATCCATGAAACTTCTTGGATAGACTTGATATAATGACATTGTTTCCCACCAAAGCTTTTTGCTTTGTACATGGCAGGAAAGAAGAATTAAAACGCATATTTTGACGAAAAATTTCATTTCTTCTAAATAGTAAAAGCACTATTAATTTTTAGTATAAATAATTTATAAGAATTATTTCATATATAAAAATTAATTAACACATTACTTTGATATTTTGAAAAACAAACTTTTAATCAATTTGAAAATCAAAATTCAGTTAGAAAATAGATTAATTAAATTATGATAAAAAATTTGAATTTATTTTATTAAGTATTGAGTAAAATTTATTTTTTGAATCACTTTAATAATGTATTTTATTTTACAATTTTATTTTATTAACAAGCTTAATTAAATTTTTACTTTAATAGTTCGATTTTCAAAAAGTTACTTTTTATTTATCTAATTTTTTTTTATTAAAGTAATTAATATATATATATATATATTTAAAAATATAAACATATTTATCAATATTCTTTAATAGTAAAATTTTAATTTTATATGGGTTTTAAAATTTCGCTTTAAAAGACATTCACTTACTTTGCATTTGTAAATGGATAAAATGCATCAGATAACGAGGGAGTTTGAATTTCCTGTATTTATAACATCATATTAGACTGGAAACAGAAAACGCAAGTTGTTTAAAACAATGAATCAATTTTTATGCTAATAAATTCCTGGAATATTATGTAGAATTGAAATAATTCAACGTCAATGTCATTGAAATAAAAATACTTGATGAAAACACATTTACAACTGTACTAATAAAGAAAAGAAATAACGTGCGCTTATTGTAATATTGCATAACGTGTTATTGACTTTTAACTTAATGAAATTTCACTGATAATAATATCACGTAAATTAATACATAGTAATTAGTAGAAAGGCCCCAATAGTAAATTTTGCAAGCGGTTTTTTTTATCTAAATTGTCATATGGCTCATTAATAGTAAAGCTAAAGACTCAAATTTTTATCAATTTAGGGTTTTTTAGGGTACTTTTCGGTTTTTTAATTATTTTAACAACATTTTTTTGGTCATTGAACATATGCACTTGAAAACATTTTCCAATTTTGGCCTATTAAAAATATTTTTCTATGAGTGCTCCATGTTGAAGATCCGTACTTGGAGTTGTGCAATATATTTTCATTTAGGTAGGGGAATAGTGTCAGGGTTGGACACTTGGCTTTTTTAAATAAGAACAATAGCGCCACCTGTGTGCTTATGTGACGAATCTTCTAGTAAAACCTAACTTTTTGTGGCATTACATTTTTGGAGAATCAAAAGTAGCGTCTCTTGTGACTTCGGTGCAATCGAAGAGACAAAAAAAGTTTTGTTTGACTTGTGAATAAACCTAAAAAATGTGTAAAAAAAGCAAGAATTCAGCAAGATAAGCTTATTGAATGTATTGTGGGGTACATAATTTAAGAAGAAAAAAAGTGAAAAATCGAATCGCGACACATGTCTAGTTATGGTTAGCACAATTCGAAAATGATGCTTCTAGTTAGGGTTGGACACTATACAGTTAGGGTTGGACACCCATATTAATTATGAATTTGACACAATTTATAAATAAATTTTATTTTATTGATATTTCAGTGCAAAATTGTGCCAAAGATATTAGAAAAATAACACTTTAATTGTATAAATTTTGTTCATCATTTCATTGAGTTATTTGGAACAATAAAGCGTTATTTTTTATAATTTGAGTTCATTCCTTTTTTAAACTCATGAAGCTTTACAATTTGTAAACAATAAGTAAAGATAAACATGAAAAAATAAGAATAAAAAACATTACAAATGTTATTTTACGTTTTTACCAATAATGCGTTTCGATTTTCAAAAAGTGTCCAACCCTGACTGAAAAGTCCAACCCTGACTAGATTTTTTTTTTAAAATGTTTATAACTTTTTTAATTTTATACCAATCAATTTACGGTCCACAGCAAAAGTGTTCCTCTTTTGTAGATCTTTCCACCCATATACCACAATTGACTGAATTTATCTAAACAAAATATTTATAAACAAAAAACCAAAACTGTGTCCAACCCTGACACTATTCCCCTACTCTCCATATTGTATCCGTCAATTTTTATTTGAAAAAATCCGATGTCAAATTTGCAATTAGCGACTCTAGAAACCCCTGAGTCCACCATATTGAATTCGTCTTTTTGAATTTTGAAAAAATGATATAGGACTCAAGTGCATATGTTAAATGACCAAAAAAATTTGTTGTTCCAAAATAAAAAGCTAAAATCAAAAAGAGTAAACATCAATCCTAAAGAAAATGTGCTTCGGTTAAAAAATTATATTCTTTTTGTTTATAAAAACATCGCAGACATCTTGCAGACAATAATGATGACATATATACCATGCCTCGTCAACTTCAATTATGATAAAATAATAATTATAAGTTACAGTGGCTTTTTTACGTAATAAAAAATATTCCATAATTCCTTTGTATTAATCCATACTGAAAAAACTTTCTAGTAGATTGGACTACTATTTACCTAACTATACTGAGTAGGCGAAGGTGGGGTATTGGGAGCTTTTAAATTTCAAGTACTTAGAGACCTTGTTAGAGACTTTGAATTTCGTGGAAATTATTCGAAAAACTTTGCCAATCTTCCTGTATGTCATACAAAGACAAACGGTCACATTTCTTACAGATTTGTACCCTGTTGAAAATTCCTATGTGAGAACACATATGGGATCCCATCCAGGATCTCTTGTGAGTTCTTATGTGGGTTCCCATACAGGTTCACACATAAGATCCTGTATGAAAAGGTTCCTGGGATGAACTTGCGTGAGATCAAGCGCACGATCTTATGTCTCTGTAAAAGCAATAACACAGGATCCCATGAGGTTTCCTGTGTAGGTTCCTATATGAACAACACGATAAATAGGAACACACATGGTATCTTATCCGAGATCTTGTATGAGTTCTTACATAGGTTCTCACATATAAGAAGATTAATAGCAGCTTAATAAGATTTTATATAATGCTTTTATATATATGCTATTAATCTTCTTATATGTGAGAACCTATGTAAGAACTCATACAAGATCTCGGATAAGATCCCATGTGTGTTCCTATTTATCGTGTTGTTCATATAGGAACCTACACAGGAAACCTCATGGGATCCTGTGTTATTGCTTTTACAGAGACATAAGATCGTGCGCTTGATCTCACGCAAGTTCATCCCAGGAACCTTTTCATACAGGATCTTATGTGTGAACCTGTATGGGAACCCACATAAGAACTCACAAGAGATCCTGGATGGGATCCCATATGTGTTCTCACATAGGAATTTTCAACAGGGTAGCAACTACAAGGAAAAATCAAGTTTCTAAGTTTTTCTTCGTAAATGGAAAATATTTCTGAAGATCAAAGTAAATAGTTAAAAATTTATTATTTAATTATGTTTTGTGATTTTATCAGAGATAAATATGTGTAGATTTGGATACATGAATAAAAATAGAGGTAATAATTAAATTTGTTTATATTTTTTTCATTTTTTCAAATTGAGGCCAGTGAAATTTCTTTGTGGTAATGGGAAAATTGTGTCACACAGCAGAGTTTCGTTACCTCGATATTGTTTTTTTTATTTCTTTGAAAATTAAAAAAGGTCCATTTATAAAATTTGATATTGTTGCATATTGAAGCATTTTTATTAAAAATATTCCAAGTTAGCAGCCATTATGATTGCTGTGTGATGTAGAGTTAAATATTATTGATTAAAAATAATATTTGTTAGGGTAAGGGGTACAGTGACCGACACCCTGGGCATATTTTCAACTTTAAATGACATTTTATCGTAATTTATTAAAGATTTAGTTACAAAATAAATTTTAAATAAAAGATTTGGGTTAAAATTTATAGTACACAAGTTTAAAATTAAAAAACACCTTGATAAGAGTTTATAATATTAATTTAAAAATGTATGGTATGAAAACAGTGAACGACACCCTTTAATAAAATAAAAAATATTTAAACTTCTATTTAAGTAACATGATATTTATTAGTATTATCATAAATTTTATTATTCAGACTTAATGGACAAAAAAAGTTGCTTTTAAAATATAATTATTGAACAATTTTTTCATATTTATAAAATTTGTAATCAATAAAGTAAATTTTTTGAGGTTAGTTTTCTAGAAAGTATTAAATATTGAGGAAAATATAAACATATAAAATTTTGTATAAACTGTATAAGTTTTTAAATATTGTATATTAATTAATTTACTAGTGATATTTAATTAAATATTATTATTTTTATAGTTATTATCGTTTTTAATAGCAGGTGTCGTTCACTGTCTGGGTGTCGGTCACTGTGCCTTTTACCCTAATTAATATTACAAACATGTTGTCAATTATACACATACACAATACACACACATATAAATTTTCTAATGCTAAATATTCAATTATTATTTCAAATTAATTTAATAACTATTTATAATTTTATTTTTCATTTATTTTTAATTTTGAAATCAATGGTTATTTCGCAAATGAATTGAGATTATTGAACTTCATATTGCGAAATAACATGAACTAAATTACAAATCGATTTTGCTAATTGTGGAACTTACAATGTACAGAAGTTGCCACATTAGTTTGGAAAATTAGGAAACATATAAAAATTACAAAGGTAATTCAGGTGGTTGAACCGATCACGCCACTCATAAAATGCAAGTTCGTTAAAACCTGCATGTAAACAACGAGGTGTTGATTGCAAAATCAACCCTCCCACTACTTAAAATTACATACAAACAGGGTGTGATCGTTGCCACCGAATTATTCTTCGAGGAGTCTTAATTTTTTTTCCACAGAGCGGATGTGTTTCCCGCAAAAAGGTGGATGATTATTAAGTTTTACTCGCACTGAGAATGGTTGATTTTATTGTTTATTCCCCGCAGTAAGGGTTGAAATTGTGAACCCAATACTCTGAATTTTTTAAGGGCAGATTTTGAAATACAGTCAAACCTGGATAAGTGACACCTGGACAAGTGAAAAACCTCTTGAAGCGACGGAAATTGCTAGGTCCCTTCATTTTCCCATGTAAAAACCTCTATAAATGAGAATTTGTAAGTGACCGATATTTTTTTCGGCCAGACCTCTATAAGTAAAAGATGCGCTTCTCGAACCTCTATAAGTGACAATTCTTTCATTTTATTTTCTTGGATTAAGTGAAAGACGCATGTTTCGAACCTCTATAAGTGAAAATCGTTTCCGTATTTAAATTTTCAACAGGGCAATAGAAATGAGTAAACAGTAAATAAAATGTCAATAGAGGTATAGAAACAAAGGCGCTTTAATCAAATAATAATTTGTACACACGGTACGCAGAAAATTTTAGATTCAAACCGACCGTAATGGGAAACGTTCGCTTATTTAACATTTTATAACTTTGTAATAAAATTTTATATCTTTAAAACTATCGAAAGAACGTTAAACAAAATTTTATATTAAAAGAGTTCATTAACGAGTAATTTGAATATTCTAATTCATAAATAAAATCAGGTACACGACACAAATTCAATACAACAAAATAATGATCAACAATATATTCAATAAATCAGAGTCAATAAATTCAATTTTAAAAATTTAATTTCATAA